AGAGTCTCAACGTTTCTATGCTGAAGCATTAGGAATGACTTCCTTTTCGGAAATAGGGATGGCTCTACATTGAAGGATTTGAAATCACATGCCGAATTTGATACAATCGGTAAATGGAATGAGCAACAATGGAAAGATTTCTTGAGGAAATGGATAGTGGATGCATCCCACGTTTCTTTACTCGGGACTCCCTCCGAAGCGATGTCGAAGAAGATAAAGAAAGATGAGGAAACTCGAATTGCGGAGCGAAAGGAAAAATTAGGACCCGAGGGTCTCGAAAAGTTGGCCGCAAAACTCAAGGCAGCAGTTACTAAGAATGATGCCGAGATACCTGCTTCGCTCTTGCAGAAGTTTTCCGTTCCTGGAACTGATTCGATTCACTTTCATAAATCTACTACAGCAAGGTCTGGTTTGGCTAAGAAATTGGGAGCACCTAAGAATGAGATTCAAAAGGTCATTGATTCGCAAGCGTCCGAAGTCCCGCTGTTCTTACAATTTGAGCATGTTCCGACAAATTTCGTTCATCTGTCATTACACTTTGGCACTTCCGAAATCCCTCTAGAGCATAGACCACTCCTCAGTCTATTCATAGATAATTTCTTCGATACACCTATCCTTCGAGATGGAAAGAGAGTTGAGTTTGAGCAAGTCGTTACAGAACTAGAACATGACACTATCAAATACGAAATGAGAGGAGGGTCTAGTCTTGGTGATGCGGAAGGTCTTATGATTCAATTCCGAGTCGAGCGGGAGAAGTATGAAACAGCTATCGAATGGATTCGCACCATGATGTTCGATAGTATTTTTGATGCCAGTCGTCTCAGCACCGCCGTCACCAAAATCCTTGCTGATATTCCCGACAATAAACGTGATGGTAATAACATGCTTTACACCGCCGATGGTATACTTCACATGTCTAATGAATCGAGCATGAAAGCACGAACTACTCTTGTAAAATCGGTCTACATGAAGCGTCTTAAGAAGCTTCTCAAGAAAGAACCCGAAACTGTCATTGGCTGGCTTGAATCCCTCCGTAAATCAATCTTCAAATTCAACAACATCCGAGCCCTAGTCGTTGCAGATATCAATAAACTTCCATCTCCAGTCCAAGCCTGGAATCCTCTGATCTCCTCTCTCGACAAACCTACCCCAGAAACAGATCTCCTTCCCATTCGCAAACAACACGCGCTTCTCTCTCACGATGGACAGAATCCCGGCCAAGCAGGCGCCATTATCATCCCAATGCCTACGTGCGATTCCTCCTTTCTCCTAACAAATTCCCGTGGTCCAAAATCCTACACCGATCCTCAACTCCCTGCACTCCGCGTCGCTTTGTCTTTTCTTCGCGCCGTGGAAGGTCCATTATGGACTGCTATCCGTGGAGCTGGTTTAGGATATGGATCATCATTTCATAATGATCTCGATACAGGTTTTGTTCAGTTCAGTATCTACCGATCACCAGATGTGTTCCGAGCTTTTGCGGCCGGAAAGAAAATCCTTGAGGAATACATTTCAGGTGAGAAGAAAATGGAAGATGCAGCACTAGAAGCGGCTATTAGTGATATAGTAGTTGAAGTTGTCAATACACAAATTACAATGGATCAAGCTGGGCAAGATAAATTCGTAAAGGGCGTTATGAAGGGATTACCTGAGAATCATAACGAAGAGTTATTGAGGAAGGTTAGGGATGTTGGTAGAGAGGAGATTAGAGCCGTTATGAAGGATGTTTTATTGAAAGCTTTTGAGCCGGGTCTAAGTAATGTTCTTGTTACTTGTGCGCCAATTATGGAGGAGGTATGATTTCTTCTTTCATTTTTCTATCTTCTGCTCCTCTTATATATTCACATCTATCTCCTTCCTCTGCCTTATCAGCTCCCCTAGTCCGCATACTCCCTACTATTTTATTAGCCTCATACTAACTAAATCAACAAAAATAGGCAATAGTCAAAAACTTTCAATCTCTCAACTTCAAAACTCAAGTCCGTACCCTCTCAAGTTTCGAAGATAACTATGGGTTAGCGGCTCCAGAGGATGAGAATGAGGATGGGGATGAGGATGATGAAGATGAAGACGAGGAGATGGATGATGATGATGATGGAGATGATGATGGGAGCGAGGACGATGGAAGCGAAGACGGAGAAGAAAGTGATGTAGAGATGAAGAATTAACTACCTAACTAGCTGCATATTTAACATCTAGTCAATCAATCAATCAATCAACAAGGTTAGAATTTCATTAGGAATAAGATAAGAAAGAATTGAGTTGAGAATTGGGAAATAATCACTCATCATCATCTTGTTACGACGAGTAACATATTTCTGCATCACATGACTAATCACGGGATCAGAGCCATCATGTGACCGGCTCTAGAGAATCTAATTAGAGTCATTAGAGCCAGAACACGAAGGTCTATATAATCAAGATGGATTTTCTTTGTATAGAGCTTCGTGCTCAAGATCAATCATTTAGTATACTCTACTATTAGTTACGAATTGCATATCATTATTGCCCTTACTTAAGTCCCTGCTTGACGCCTAGTTATAAACCACCTCGAGAGCCTAGAGCACTTCCACGTGATCTAGACGGCAAACCTCGTAACACTTCAGAAACCCCCATATATATATTAATATCAAAAAATCAAAATATCTTCTTTTTTCAACGTAGTCATAGAATTCTACGCGGTAATTTATTAACGCATTTTTACTCCTATGTTACGAGGTTTGCCGTCTAGATCATGTGGAAGTGCTCTAGGCTCTTGAGGTGGTTTATAACTAGGTGTCAAGCAGGGACTTAAGTAATGACAATGATGCAATTCGTAACTAATAGTAGAGTATACTATATGATTGATCTTGAGCACGAGGCTCTACAGGAAGGAATTCATACTGAATATATAGATCCTCATACTCCTTGGATCACCTTAGATCACCAGTGATCCTGAGTGATCCAGCATACTTGTTTATATGCTCTGATGGTGCGTGCATATAAGTTCTTAGGGTGACCGAAATCTCATAGTAAATTGAGCGAATCAAAACCGATTTGCACATGGCCCAAGCTTACGAAAACAAGTCAGCTGTTACCATCATAACATCCTACACCTACTACTACTACTACTGCTACTACTGCTACTACTACTCTTAAGCTCCTACCTACCTCCCTCCCACCTAAATAGAAGGAAGGAAAGAAAGAAAGAAAGAAAGAGTAGACACCCACCCCCGCCCCCCAGTCGCTCCTCTCTAATCTTACAACAACAAAATACACGGAGAGGATGATGATGATGACGATGATGATGAAGATGCTTAGTTTCAATTCCATTCAATTCCATTCATTCCATTCAAATCAATTCGCTCTCCCGCTCTAGCATCTCTCATCTCTTCATGTACGAATTTTTGAATGTGCATCTTCCCTATCTTTTCTTTTCTTTCCTTTCGTCTTCTTTCGTCTTCTTTCGTCTTCTTTCCTTCATTTACTCAATTCACGCTGGATCTTTCGCGTCCTCTTTCTCTTCGTCTTCGTCCTCGTCCTTGTCCTCCATTCCTACTACCTATCATATCGTATCAAAGGTTCCGCCTCTGCTTCCGCCTCCGACCATGAATTACAGAGGAAAATGGAAAAGCCAACCCGTTTTATCTTCCATCGGATGGGCCTTGGACGTAAAAAGAAAAAAAGAAAAATCAAAATGAATTAAAAATCCAGTGTTAACGCCATAACTACTCGGTGTGTTGAAAAGAGTACATTTTTTTTTGATAACCCCCAGCCCTTTTCAGCCCCCATGAATGTATGCCTGTGCGGAACGACCGAAAGGACAGATGAACTCCCAAAATGATCAAGTCGAGCCAATTTATTGTATAATCACAAACCCCGGCTCTCAAATGCCGATGTTGAAAATGTATGATGTAAGGAACGAAAAGAAGATGATTAATTAAGGAATCCTTTACACGCCGGTGTACCGCAAAGACATGGAATACGATCTGTACTACCAATTTCACGCTCGAATTTATAATCGTAGGTGAGTTCCTCGTCTAAAGTATGAAATTAGTATGGACCTAGAAATGGTTGGGATTAAATTAAACTTACTCTGTGCGATATCACGCAGCGCATAGATGACAATTCTCTTACTCTTCTCCACCGTGATAATTTTTGCCGTGCAATTTGGCATACAACTGTGGTTGATAAATCTTGCAATGCCACCTTTCTTTGTTGCATCGATGACCGTATTTTCATCAATCCTGAACAAGTAACTACTTCCAATACCGCTCTTGAGATATCGGTTTTCTCGAAGATCTGCAACTTGTTGCCGAACCTTCTCGCCAACATACTCAATGATCATATCATTCATTGCGATATTCTCCATGGCATAAAGACCCCAGTTATGGATAGCAGAGCGGGCAAATTTAACAGGCTTCTTACGTTTCTTAAGTTGATTGAAACGCAAGACATCAGTATCACCACCAAGCGTCTTCTTCTGATCGTTGAGGTCGGCAACATAACGACGATTGTTAACACGATTGGCACGACCAGAAGTTCTGGCAAGAAGTTTCTCCGCCGCAATCTTGGCTGCCTCAGCTGCTTCTGCAACCACATCTTTACCAGCTCGTTTAGCTTGTGCCTCTCGTTCTTCACGTGCCCTCTGAACCTTGATACGATGAGGGAGATAAAGAGACTTTTCAGAGTTCAGAATCTTCTTGGTACCTTCAGTTCGAGCACAGCCTGTCGAAGTCTCCACGTAGTATCCAGGTACAGTAGTCTCATCTTTGACAATACCTTTGTATCCGTTTCTATTGAGAGATTTGATCTGCCCTTGCCTCCATGCCCAAGTAGCGGGGTCGCTCAGTTTGAAGTCCGTCTTGAAGATTTCGAATGCCGGTCCAGCGTCTTCGTCGTCCTTGAGAATATTCTGCAGTCCGTCGATATCGAGGATATTATCAAAATCATCATCAACAGTGGGATAAGGTGCTTCGCCGGAGATACCCCATTCAACTGATGTCACCACAGGCGCGGTATCGACAATATTTTCCTCAAATTCAGACTCCTCGACTTCCTCTGGCACGATCTCTTCCTCAGGGATACCTTCTTGCTGTCTTTTGAGGGCTTCCCTTTCTTCGAATATCTGCTTCTTGGACTTCTTTCTCTTTGCCGATTTGGCGGCCTTCTTTCTAGCCGCCACAGCCAAAGCAGCTTCAGTCTCAGATTCTGTCTTTTGAAATCCATCAATATCGGGAATATTCGTCTCAAGAGTGGGGGTTTCCGGAAGAGGCTCAATCTTTGCCACGGATACACCAAAAAGTTCCTCATCGGTCTTCTTTTGTCGCTTTTTCGCGGCCTCCACGTGCAACTCTAGTTTCCTCTTCTTCGTTTGTGCCGTAGGCTCAGAGAAATTGGATTCACTAACAGACTCTCCATCTCTGGTATCCAATGATGGAGATCTCTCTTTAACATGATTTTGGCTTATCGAATCCGTATCATCATCTGATGCTTCATCATCGGTACTCATACGACTTATCGGGCGTGACTCTCTTTCTTCAGTACCTCTTGTCCTAGAAGGAGCTTCATTATCATCATCCGAATCTTCATCTTCTCTACCAATAAGGAACTGCATGGGTCGAACATAGGCTTTCCGTGTCGGCCTGGCACTGGAGTCAGTAGAACCGACATTGCGTTTCTTTTCCGTTTTGGTCCTCTTTCGAATCCTAGGCAAAGCCGTAACGTTGACTTTCCCTACGGTTAAAGCATTACGGTCCTCAAATCGTGAGTTAGGCGTGCCAATAGCTGGAGTATTGTCTTCATCTTCTTCGATAAACGGCGTTTTGGCATTCGGGTCATGAATGTTTAACTTTCGTCGTTTCGCCACGTGATTCGCCGGATCCATAAAATTCCTCAGACATGGATTTGCTATCCGTTCTTTGACCTTATCCATCAGATGTGTCATCAACTCTCGTTTGATAACTTCTATAGCTTCACGTGCGGGATCAAAGTTCTTTGCCCGTTCTCGTTTCTCTTCCTCAAAATCAGCCTCTTCCTCCTTTCTAATCTCCTCGAGTTCTCTTTTCCGTTTTTGCTCAATCAAGCGTGGGTCGGGACTACGAGTGCGACGATGATGACCCCTTTCTGATGTGCGATCGCGATGATCAAGTCTTCGACCTCCAGTACCCCATACATATAGCTTCATAATCATTTCATAGGAAAAAAGCGCTGTGCCGTTGCAAGAGTTGTAACACCTTTCTGCCTCGAATCTCCCTTCATCACTGAGAGCAAAGACCACATAATAACCCGTTCTATCGACCCGTACGTCTTCCAGAAAGTGATTCTTCAGTCGCTTCTTCAAATGAAGAATTGTTGCTGGGATAACGGGAACGTAATCTTTCGAAATAAATATGTACGGCTCATCCTCCAGTTGTTGGGCAATTGGCTCATCCTCGATCAATATCTGCTGGCGCGGTTTGGTGGGAATTGCAGGCTGCGCAATGCCTGGTCTAAACTGCGGCCTGCCAGAGAGGGCAGCCGGACCTTTTGGGGCGGTTGGTGGAGGTCCGGAGGTTTTGACAACTTCGGGCTTAGGAGGCGGTGGTGGCTCTCTGGGCGGTAGGGGCAAAGGTTCAGGTTTGGACTTTTCTAATGCACTCTCAAGCATGCGAGTGCTGCGCTTGCCCTGCGAATCGAATTGAACCTTGATTCTTGGTCCTAATCCTACCACGCTGCTACCCCTCATAACGGCTTTTTTCGCAGCCTCTGCCGCCGTTAGAATTGAACCATCCTTCCTTTTAGTGTCTCGGTATCGAAATGTGCCAAAACCCAAGCAACTTCCTGTCTCAGGATGTAATTTGTTGCTGCTCTCCGCTATTTGGCCATACTGTGTAAAAACATTTGTGACCTTCATGAAATTTATTAATGGGTCATATCCAGTGACAACTATTTCCGTCGGTGGACCGGGTCCATAATGGGTTTTTGGGTTGTATTTGTACTTTGGTAGCATAAATGGCGAATGATTGAGACGTGATAAAGCATTGTGGTAATCGGTATTGATATACGACAATCTGCTTCCTTTTGCTAACCGTGGATCGGCTGGGGGAGCATCATCTTTCTGAAAAGCCATTAGCGAGACATTCTCACACGCAAAAGATGACACTCCCCGCAGCAGATTGTATACGTACCAAACCAAACTCCTTGTAATGTGGACGGCGATTATGTTTCTCTTTTGTCGAATGTATAGCGGGGTCGTGGAAAGGATCATATGTGCACTTCTTGCCCTTCACACCTCGTGCAGGATCTCGAGCGAGGACTCGTGGCTCGGAGGGAGTATGATCTGCCGGGGCAGAATTAGGTATAGCGACGACATGCTCAGACTTTGTGTTTTCACGAACGACGTTATTTGTAGCGCTGACAGACACATCGGCCTTGGCATTGCTGGGACTCGCAACACGATTAGGTGATGAGTCGGTATTTGTGAATGGTGTCAAGTCGTTGATATTTCGCGAGCCACCAAATGTGTGCATGCTGTTGGAAAGCTGATTGTTGGTGCTGAAAAGGGATGACCCAGTACTTGAGTGTGAGCTTGCTGAGCCTACACCGTTCAAGGTATCGCCGTGTGCAGATTCGGTATCCTCTGTCGTCAGAGTAGGAGGGTCCGGCATGGGAATTGAAATATCTTCTGAAAGACGTGTGATAGATGCATTGTCAGTCAAAGCTCTCGCATTAATATGAGTGTCAGCAAGCGAAAGAATGGCGGGCGAATCTGCCTGCTGAGCCTTTGACTTCTCCCTCTCCTTTGCTTTGTCTTTCGCAGCTCGAGGAGCCGATGGAAAGAATTGTGCGAAACTTGCCCCAGATGCGCGAGACATCGTGTGACTGTAATTGATCTACCTCTCCTTCCTTCTGCCAACCACCATCTCTTTGTATAAGATCAATATGCGACCGCATGCATTAAAAGGATTGATGGCAGATGGCCGATACGCGCAAAGGCGGTTAATAAAATTGACGCGACTTTCAACTCCCGAGGAACAGATTTAATCAACCAAGTATTGTCAAGCTTTGTAATATGGTGAAAAAAGTGAGGAATATTTGGTCGCCGTCGATGTGCGAATGTTGGCAGATGAAGAAGAATCCTTGTGCGACAGATTTAAGATCAATCTTTTGACGTTGGACGTTGGTTGTATGGTGAATATGTATAGTTGGAGTAAATGGAATGGAGGATTTGAATGAGTTGAAGTTCGATAGTATCAATTTCTCGCTTTCCCAATAGGTTAGATTTAGGAAAATGGGCTACGCTTAGCCTCAATAGGCTAATTACCTAAGAATTCAAGGAGATGGCAGGTAAATGACAAGGATTTGATGTCATGTATTGGAGATTGTTTACAGTCAGACCAAAGTTATATCGAAATGCACCGCCTTTTTCATTTTTATTATAGAATTAAATAATCTACTTATTATTCTATATATAAAATATATTATTCTATTATCTTACTACCTACCATACCCTTCCTTACTATCGATCTCTATTTCACATTCCTTCACCCTTCAACATGAATGTGCTGGTAATGACTATATGTACGGTACTTACTCTAGTAACAAACATGAAAGGCACAATACCAAGTCCGCTTTCGGTAAGGCTCTTACCTATGAAAGAAAACGTGACATTCAAACATCCATGGATATCACACAAAGATTATTAATTTCTAGCTCACTCCCTCTCCTGAACTCTAAGCATAAAACATCTCCAAAGATAAAATCATATCTCATAATTAACTTATATATACCCGGTGCTTTTCTCCCCAATTATTCTGCCTCCACGGCAGTGGCCCAGCGGAGTGTCATTCCACGAAATGATTACTATTCCTAGATGAGATTTACCTAGGTAGGTATTCTTAGTATCCATATGCATCTGCTGCACCACCCCCAAATATTCAAAGGATTTCCTTGATATGTATGAGAAGTTATCTTCTAATACTGATAATTAGCCTTAAATACGAAGAACAATCATTACCTACTCAACCCAAACCACCAGCTACCTACCCAAAACCCAACCCCCAATTCTCTATCTCTCTCTCACCTCCCTCCTAACCTCAAGCTCCCACTAGTAACACATATCTCTTTCTGTTATTGTATTCTATCGCACTACGATGAGAAAACAATAATTGAGATCTTTGTGAATACTAGATAACCATAAAATATACTGTTATTAAATAATTTAATAAGGGTTTTAATCTTATATTTTTTTAATGCGAAACTGAGTCGAGATAATGGCGTCAACTGCAAATATCGAATATCCATAAGATCCAACGTCTCTCAAATTCAAGCTCGCAAGAATGATGACAAGGTATTTTAAAATTATAATTACTACTTCATAAGTTTAGCTTAAAGAATAACATAACCATATACATCATACAAATATAATAACCGCGCAGCACAAATAAATGAAAAAGTTTTTGTATACCATGCATGCCACGCTTAGGTATACAAGCCGTGGTATCTTTTCCATACTCCAAAGCCAATAGCCTCATTTCCATAACACCATAACCATCATAATACAACCAAGATACATTGATCTGGTATAAAAGAAACCTATTCATTATCTCCGATCGTCAAAACAAACTCCTCTTCATCCTCATCAAACTTGATCAGGCACTCGGGTAAACCACATTTCAAGGCTGGCTCTAAATCCTCAGCATCAACATCAAAAGCACCCAAGAAATCCAATTTCTTGTACTCTGCATGACTCAAGTTCTCTTTTTGAGCAAAAAGTGCTGGAGTAATGGTTTTATCGGAGTCATGAGAAAGATTACTGCTTGAGCGCGGTAATGTGGCATTGAGTCTCATGTTCGAGGTTAGAGGTGCTGCGTCCTTCTTTTGAAGAACATTGGAAGCTGATCTACCTTTGGTATAACCAATGGTACTTCTAGATGTGGCTGCTGCTGCTGTGGCACGCATAGTGTTATTTGTAACGGGTGCAAAAGTAGGTGTCTTTCTACCTCTTAAGAATGATGATGCCGGCCTTGGGATTGCTGTTGATGGTCTCTTGGAAGGCTCCACTACCGACCTTGGAAGAGTTGATAGGGCGGATGCTGCTCGGCGAGACGCCATTGCTGTAGGACCTCTGCTTGGGATTGTTGCTTTGGCTTTTTCTTCCTTAACCGTAGCCTTGGCTGGTGCTCTCTTTCTCAAAATTCTGAATGTTTCAGGAACATCACCAACCGTCCAATCCTCTTCCATTGATGCCAATATTTGCTCATCCGTCTTCTTTGCACGGTCAACAGCAGACTGTTCCAAATCCCGCTCGAGTTTTGATTTACCACTCTTATCATTGGTGTTATAGAATTCACTGAGCGCTCCTTTGCTAAGATTTTCAGGCTTAAGCATATCGTAATTAAGACAGCCGGCAGGGAAGACATCTGAATCGTATGGTAGGTCCTTAGATCGTGGTGGCATATATTCGATTTCTATATCTTTAAGAGGACTCTCATCTCCATGTACATCAATCTTGACCTTCTCCGAAACCTTGGGCTTGGGTCTGCGAGCACTCGTTTGTTTGGATACAGTTTTTTCGAGCTCTTTCTCAGGTGCGGGGCCTGCAGGGGTCTGGAACACTTTGGTTTTCGCATTTGTAGTTTTCATACCAAGGGGAGCTCGATTGCGAGGGCCTATTACTAGTCAGCCATTGGCCTGGTTATGTGTCATGTAAAATTCTTACCCATAGGTGTAACAAATGCATTTTTATCCAAAGTAGCATCTTTTCCTCCGACACCCTTGCTCTTTGTACCAAGTCCAGTTCCTTTCCCTCCAATTCCTCCTGGAGCGTTCTCATCATTCAATGGGACCTTTAATGGTGTTTTGGGGAATTTATTTCCTGGAGTCTTTGGCTGTAAACTTCTTGTAGACTGGTTGAGGGGTTTAGAAGCAGCGACTTGTTGATGGCCATGAGCCAAGTTCTCTTGATCCCGGATTGCAAACATATTGACTTAACTTTCGTTGCAATAATTTTTAAATGTAAGTTATCTTGAGGAAATGTATTACATTAGAATCATGAAGTTCGTAAGTTAGTTCTCGACGCGTATTTAGTAAAGGCAGATGCCATGAAGTTTATTTTATTTGTAAATATCAAGGGAGTTGAGATTTATTTTGATTTGTTTCTACGGCAACTCTTTCTCTTTCATTAACCCAAAGCTTCTTCCCATTTTTGGTATCACACCCCCTTGCTCACAGACCAACCATTCACCCCTGTTTAATGTTCGGTTGGCAATAATACTCTCTTTGGCCTCTCTCACCCTTTAACATCTGCAACATTTCAACAGTCGCAACTTCTTCAACTTCTTTCATACCATCATCAACAACCATAAAGATATTTTCTGTGATATCAAGCTTACTACTACTTTACCTCAATAAATCCTCTTGACCAACAAATAAATCTTCAAAATGGATCGCATCAAGGAAGTGAGTAACATGATCCGAACTAACCCCGCCATTTGTCCATCAGAGCTACGAAATTCTCCTTTCCATCAGGACATGGTCGCCGATACTGTTGTGGGATGGTTCTGAAAGAAGGATGCTGATTTTGCTTTTCATAGAAAATGAACACCCTCCGCATCGAGGCCGATGAAGCTACCGCAAAGGTTCAGGAGCTTCAGGAAAAAGTTAAGGCTCTCGAGCAAGAGAACCTCCAGAAGGAGCAAGAGATCACATCCCTCACACATAAGAACAACTTGTTGGAAGGCGAAGTTGAGAAGTTAGAGAGCGGGATCAAGGAGGCCAAGGCTGTGGCAGAAGAAGGCACTGCACACGGTACACAGAACGAGACTCTTCAACGAAGATTACAACTCTTGGAGGAGGAAGCCGAGGAAGCCGACAAGAACCTCCGCGAGACAAACGAAAAGTAAGTGATAAGTTCTTGGATTTCTACAAAAAATAGGGGGTTTGATTCATAAGTTTTGCACATCTGGCACATCTTCATATCCACAGAAACATAAACTGACTTTGATCTGTCTCAAGACTCCGTCAAACCGATGTCAAGGCCGGCCACTTCGAACGCAAGGTCCAGGCTCTCGAACAAGATCGTGATCAGTGGGAAGCAAAGTTCGAGGAGATGGCCAAGAAGTATGCTACTGCGCAAAAGGAATTGGACGACTTCCAAGCGGAGATTGGCAACATTTAAATTGGTTTTTGTTTTACAGTGGACATTCTGTTCTAGAGTTTTTTAGGTTGCATGGTTGCCGAATAATTGCAGTTAAGCCTCGTATGCGCTGGCGGTGGTACGCTGTTTTTACATGATTTGCTTCTTGATCCATATCGAAGTCACATACCAAATATTACTGCGAGTTCTGATTGTGAATTTGTTAATAGATTCCCTTTTAATTATTACCTCGTCGCGCATCTGCTGCTGCTCTGCTCCCAGACTTCTGTTTTTGTCTCGTCACCTTTCTTTCCGCCTTTGACTCATATGTGAACTTCTTCTTCCGTGATTTCTTGGGCCAAACTTTTTTGGCCTTCTCTTCTTGTTTCGTGACCTTTCCCTTTGCCTCATCTATACCATCGTCGGCGTCATCTTCGTCCGCGGTCCTTTTTATCCCCTCTTTCGATATTTCTATCCCTTCGATTGTGACAGTGGTGTATTTATCCTCATCGATATATTCCTCTTCGTGATCCACCACTTCTTCTTGCACATCTTTCTCTTCCTCCTCGTCTTCATCATCTATGCCCCCCCACTCATCTCCATCTCCGCCATCGAACTTCTCGTCCACATCCTGTAATAGCGCATTTACAGCTTTAACATGCTCATTCAACTCGGCTCTCCTCTCTTCTCGCAACTAAACATCAACAGATTAACTAACGACAACAGTCATAGCAACAAATAACAAACCTGTTTCCTCATAACAATTCTCTCCTCCCTAGCCTTTTTTTCGGCTTCCTCCTGTGCCCTCTTCACCCTCTGAACTTTCCGCTTGTGAAAACCAGTCAAATAATCCTCGCGAGCACTTAAATCGAAATTGATTTCTTCAATCTTGTGGTCGAACTTTCTCTTCTTTTTCTGAGGTGGTAATACTGATCTTTTTGGACGAGGCTTTACTATGAATGAGGAATCCATGGTGATTGATTTCTGATTTCGATTGCTTTTGGCGCAGTGGGAGTTCTATGTGTTTTGAGGTTCGAAATAATATAATCCTGGGGAAGGAATAATTTGGGCGGATCTTACCGCTTTAGCTTAGTCATTCATGTATGGAAACTCGTGAATCTCTCTCTGAGCGACAAAACTAGACGAAACAATATGTGCTTTAATTGGAATTATAAAATAGTTTTGAATAAATGAAAAATAAAAATATAATAACAGTAGCTTATACCTCCAACTTGCAGTTTAAGTATACTTTTTGATGACATCGACTGCTCTATCCAATTTGATAGTGATATCGACCACCCTTTGCTTATGTAATCTTCGATAGCTCGAGGTTGCACTTGTCGGAGCTTAATGCAACAGCTTCATCAACAAGACCATCCCGCATCACAACCTTACAACTACGAAGTCAAGATGCGGTACTCGATTGTTGGGTCGCTACTTTACTGCGCTGTCGCAGTGCAAGCGTTTAAAGATACATCACCTTTCCTTCTATTCTCATCATCGGAGTGAGTTACATTTCCAACCATTCGCCTCGTACTTGACAGTTACTAACACAAAAATGTCAGATTACCTTCTTCGATACAAATTGAGCGTCAAGGATTAGATACTGCATCATCAGTCCTTCAAAATACCAAGAGTTTCCTCTCTACCTGCCCTTCTGATGTCTACATCATCATCCAACAAGCAGCTCTCGGCGCCTCAGATTTCTCAGCGAAAGACTCCGTTCCTCATTTGAAAGCCGCTGTCTCAGATTCTAGGGTTCGAGCAACATATAATGTTATGGATGTTGTTTATGAGGGTGGTAATCTGGCTGAGGAATTGGCACAGCACATTGAGACGAAATGCGGCAAGAAAGTTGAACGACGAAATAACGCTGAGCTTGAGTCCACCGATGGTGCTAGAAATGGTGTTATTGTATCAAACCTGAATGCATTGTCAACTGCGAAAGTAGCAAGAACTGAGGAATTCAATGATCAAGGTTCGTATAGTTGCTCACATCATCTTCTAGGAAATCAAAAACTAACACTCCACAGATATTATGCTAAACAGCGCATTCTACGAACATCTCTCCAGTGGTCCAGAATACACCGTTATCTACACCACAACACCCATTGACTCTATTCCACAAAAGGAACCAGTCGATGTCTATGAACCTGTTTTCGATGCAAGCGCCCATTTCGATTTGAAGAGAGACTTCAGGAGCAGGGCCGATAATTCAACGAATTCACCAGATCATAGACCTCTATTCGAGAAATATCAATATTTCACTCCTGGTATTTTCATGGGACTGGTTGTCGGACTCCTCCTTCTCAGTATCCTTTCTGTAGGTTTAAACGCAGTATCGAGTCTGCAAGTTTCATATGGAGCTTTTGATAAGGAGAATGGACCATCTGCTCAAAAGAAACAACAGTAATGTGGCTGAGACATGGGAAGATGCTAGATTGGGATGGAATGGTTGGGACAGGAGTTATTGCGTAGTAAAGGTGGTGTATGATTTTGTATGTATAAAGTATGCATGGGTACTCAATAAATGGTATGGGATTTTCAAACTTGCCTTTTTCTAATGATTGAAGAATGGGAAACTGCCAGTTTCTAATTAATATCATGCATTGCTAGATGTAGGACCCTACGTTTGTGCTATGGTGAGCTGAAGTCTTCCCCTGAATCATGTGCGTGAAGCTTTTGATAATTCACTTACAACTAAAGTCACCAAATACATCCTAAACCGATCCTTCCTGTAATCCATAAACCTTCAGTAAAAGTAATATGAATTCATAGTTGATCCTTCAGGAAAAAGACATAGTGTAATATCTACCCATGGGTGGATATTTCATTCCTCTACCCTTCTCCCCTTCTTCTCCCTGCTTTTAAACTAGCTGTATTGATTTTCTGGTTATTTATTAATTAATTAATTGGATGTTTTGTTTTATTTAGATGATGGATGATGGATATCTATTTATTGGAATAAAATACTGAATGTGGTATAGATATTAGGTTGGTACTTCCTTCTGTTTACCTTTTTGGAGGGGGGGGGGGGGGGAGGTCGTGGTCGCTTCTTGTTGGATGGGCTATTGTTGGATTTGGATTTGGATTTAATTCTTGATGTACTATAATTAGGAGGGTTATTATTACTATAATGTGGTTTATTGAGTAGGATGGGATGTAGTATGATTTTAATCTTGATATCAGTTATTGAGAAGGGATTATGAGGATATGAGGGTGATTTTTGGGGTGATTGGTGGTTGGGAATACTTGGGGGATAGTTGAGGGATAGTTGAGGGATAGTTGAGGGATAGTTGAGGGATAGTTGAGGGATGGTGATAGTATTGGCATTGAGTGGTAGAGACGGGAAGTGGCAGAGTGAGTGGCGTGGGTATGTGAAGAAGTAGAGGAAGTGCTCACAAGGAGAGGTAGAGTGGTAGATAAAGATACGAGGATAGAAGAAGGAGAAGAGAAAATAGAACATTGGATGATTTAAGGTGAGATGAGGATTTGAGATTAATAAAGAACCTTGGGGGGAGTACACGGAGAGGGAAGGGAAAAGGGAGGAGAGGGAACAGGGGATGAAACTGAAGAGAAGATAATATGGAAGAGCGGGTGGAGGGGGGAGTACGGGATATGTTTATGAGAAAGGACGTGTGTAGGGGAATATGGAATGCATCTGCTTATATATGGATGTAGTTAAATTGACTTGATTTATGTTAGGGAATGCATCTGGTGAGGACATGTGGGAATGAGGAGAGCAAAACAATTAGAAGGATATCCACGCTTTCTAATATTACAAAATGAAGAGATCAGGAAATCACATCTGTATATGAATATGAATGTAATTGAAAGTATACATATCACATGCACATATGATTTCTCTCTAGAGATTTATCAGAATATTATCTCGCTATTTATATATACTCGAGAAAGCTCAAGAGGTCCAATAAACATACTTTGATCATAATCTTAATGGAAATTACTAGTTAAGTATCTCAAATATAATACCACTGTAATCTTACACTTCATTTCGGAAAAAGCAGAGAAATACTTATACTTGTTTGAATCTGAGTAGTAGATGTTTGTTGAGTTGATCGTTGGTTACGCTAGGTTCATGGGTAAAGCTGTGACTGTGGTGTTTGCTGCTCGTTTTTAGCCTGTGATCGAGGAGAGGGAAAAGATTGACAGCTGGTTGGGAGATGTTTGAGGCTGGACTAGGTTGAATGGAAATGGGAGGTTGAAGGAAGTTCGGTCATCTTGCCCATAGATGGGGAGAGGAGAGGACGGGGGCGAGTGGTGGGTTGATCTAATGCCACTACCGGAATAGCATTTGAGAGATCGAGGTTAGCGAACTGGGTGTTAAGTGTTTGTTCAAGAATTCCAATGTCATATAATCACACCAGGGTACGCAGATCTTCTTTCAAAATAAGATGTACTTTATAGTATTATCTTATGACAATACACAAATAAATAAGGAACCTCAAGCATGCAAGGTTCCATGCTGTTTCCTCAGCCAATCCCAATATCTTCAAAGTATTTTTAATCCCCCTTCCCAAACGCCAGACTTCCGGATATACATTACCCAAGCCACCGTAATCAATGCCCCTAGCGAATTTATTTCTCTGGAGCATCTGGTAATCTCTCAATAACATACTTTCCCCTCGCCACACTCATAATCGGTACACCAGGAACCTTCCTAACTCTTCTCTTCAATTCCCTATCATTCGTCGCCACAATATAGATCTTATGCTTCTGTACTCTGTCCACAATACAGTCATCTGCATAAACACCTTTGTGATCACATTGTAATCTTTGCCATCTCTCATCACGAGCAATTCGGAGCGCGATACGATATCTAGGGCCAAGTTTTTCCAATTCGGCCATGACGCAGGAGGTGATGATGGGAATACATTTGGCATAGAGACAATCCATAAGAGATTCGAGGAGAGGAAGTTTGCGTTGAACGGTGTGAGAGAGGAAATTGGTATCAACAAGGATAGAATATGGAGGGACGAGGGCTTCGTTGTATTGGAAGAAGAGGGCGGAAGAGACTTGAGGTCTATGATACGTCATTAGCTGTGAACTGTGGAGATGGAGAATGAAGGGAAACATACGCTTCTCGAACAAGCTCCTTTGGTTTATTGGCTCCTTCTTCCCCTTTATCTTTGTTTTCCTTTAGACGAGCATCTCTTTGACCAATTACTCGTTTGACCTGGGAAAATGTCAGTATATTGGTGGGCGGACTATCGATAAGAGGTCGGGAAATGCTTGTAGATGGTACTTACAGCGCCAAACTTGCGGGTTTTAGCTGCTTTGCCCATTGCATAAACTCGTTGGATGTATAGCCAACTAATTAATATATGGTTGTGTAGATTCGCGGGAAGATAGGATGCGACGGATTGATGATGTTTTTTTGATAAGTTACTCTTGAAATCATCAATCAAGCAAAAATGATAAATTTCGATAAATTCTGCCAATCATCTTTTCACCGCCTTTGGGTCAACCTATCCACTAGCCCAGCAGCTTACATAAATATGCATTGTTGCCCCTAGTAACTATTAATAAGTCCGCTAGAGTGTTTATGGAATAGCTTACATATTCTCAAATAATTCACTAACCTCTTTTGTCTCATTGTATATCTCTTGGATGGAGAATGCAGGAACACGAGGGTGGGAAAGAGGAAAGAGCGAATAGACAAATACGAGGGAGGATAGAAGTAACATTACATAATACATAAGATCATTTGTATGTATGAATTCTCTCTTCCCTAGCTTAATTTATTCTTACTCTTCTGTTCAATGCAACATACAAAATACAACATACAACCTCTACAACTGACTTCTTGAATAACCTCATCTATTCAATATACGCGTCTCTTCCATTCGTTATTGCTACAGCATTTCAAGCAGTGTTTCCATACCCCTTCATTAATTCCACACAGTTCAGCCTTGTTTGCACAACTTCTACGATATCCCCACAGATTTGGATACCCTTGTAAACATTACTGTTTCACTGCTGGAAGAGAGATTCATTCTCAACCATCAGTTTCCTGCTGCACAACAACGAAATTAAGGCCGTGATCAACTTTGGAGGCTTTGCTGGGACGAGCGATCAATTTTGGAACTTGGGATTGAATTGAGTTTCGACTTTTGGGAAGGATTTGAAGCAAACATACTCGATTTCCATTCATTTCCCGTAGGATTTCATTCCTTCGGTCCGTCGGTTCGCTGCGACAACATTCGATAGTCGGAGAGTACAAACCAACTTCTATTACGAGCACCAACGATTTATACTCGAATACGGATTACAATATACATAAGATGCGATTCCCTAAATCGGTAGCTACTGCTGCCTTTGCGGTATCATTCTTTGCCATGCCAATCATTGCTGCAACTACCGCAACAACAGCGGCTACAACAGCTACTTCAGATCTACCAAACCTTTCGAGTGTGGCAGCCTCGGAAGCTTCTGCCGCCGCAGCATCAACGAGAACCACAACATCAAGTGACACAACGTCAACTGGGACAACAACACCACAGTCGATTGCCGTAATTACAGGTGGATCTACAACCACTGGAAAAGCTTCTTCTACGTCCGCCTTACCAACATTGGCTGGAGCATATACAATCCCAGTGGCTTCCGTTCCTCCAACTTCGAATGCACCATATATGCGATCATCAAGTTATCCTGAAGGGACAGTTTTTATTGCAGTGGGCGCAGTTCTTGGATTTATGGCATTGTCTGTTTTGGTTTGGCGTATGATGGTTGCTTGGGCTTTACACAGATCCGTTAAACGCGCCGCCAGTCAACCAAGCCATGTGGATAAGAAACAATTGTTCCAAGGTCCTCCAGCACCATTCTACAAGTACGCGGACAAGGAATCGACGCTTTCGCTTGGAGGAGGGTTGGGTGGAAAAAGTGGCAAGAAGAGACCGACGACCGGCAATGGAACCCAATCTCAAACATCTTTATTCTTCAGTCCTACGGCTCTCGCCGGTGGCAATACTCCAGGGAATCGTACATCGAATTATCTTCCAGCCGGATACTACGCAGCAGGAAATACAGTTCCAGGTGCGTATCCTGGTGATAGACAAAGTATCAATATGTCAAATCTTACTCCACAAGGGTATACAACACCTAGTAGCCCTACTCATGGTACTCATTTCGAATCGACTACATCAGATTTGAGGCACACCGATGGAAATGTAAGGGCACCGAGTGCATATTTGCAGGATCTTTTCGATGGGGATAATTCTCGCCAAGCGCCACAGCAAGGAGGACGCGATAGACGATCTACGCGCTACTGATGTGAATGAGGGAAGTTCTTGATTGTTGGATTATGGGTTATATTGGTGTGTTACCATTTTGTAAACTGCGAGTGAATTGAATTCATAGGCGTTCTTTGAATACATGCATAAAACATGAAAGGTTGGTTTACAAGTTACAAGGGGGTCGAAACTTTCAGAGTAGTTATTAATGAATGGTGCGTACATGCATGAGAGGTTGGAGCGTTTTTTATGGAATGATTTGATGGTTTGATGTCTATTGCGAATGCATCTGGGGATTGAAATGCATTTTTTTAAGAGTGGAGGTCAGGGTGATGGTAATGATGTGGATGGCAAACGGAAATGTTGTGAAGCTGCCCGTTAGCTTGTATATAGATCGATTGATACGATAGCGAGTTGAAATGACGGGAAGTTCTTAAAGTCTTATTGACTAATTTAAGATATGTACAGTGGTGTTACATCTGCAAAGTTGCGGAATGCCACAGAGCGTGAGGAAGGTCAATAAATTATAATTATAAAAACTCTATTTCTACATCTTTCTCCACGCTACCTTTAGGGTTTACTTTGTGTCTATTGCGTTCCATAACATTTACATTGGTCATTTAAATCCTTTCAATGGTTCTGTGGACTCAGCAATCTTTGACAAACTTCCTATATAGCCTCATCATTTTGAAGACTGTATTGTCTAGGTAATATAGATTTCATGGACAACTTCCTCACTGTAGTTCATATCTGCACTAGTCTCATGGCTAGCTTCGTCTTGTACGATTCTGTCTACAATGATTCTGTCTACTTTATACGGCATGCATTATGAATCTGTACTATACTTATATAATGCAACTCATCCATTGATATCCCTTGATCTCCCTTGACCTGATAACCTTCAGAATACAATTTTGAGAACAACCCATCCACCGAAGGACTTTCCTACAATTTCACGCAAAGCCATGGAACCTCAGCGCCCTTTCTTGGTAACCAATCCCTTTCCTCCCAAACACTTATCACAAGTCATTACCATGATAACTCGTCTATGCCACGAAATCAAATTCTCCCGTGGCAGCAATGACACCATCGAGATATTAGAGGTAAAGAGAGGTGGCAAGTACAATGTTATACTATTTAACTGTGCCATGAAAGTATCTCTCCGCGAAAACGAAATCCGTCACCGTCCCTGTGTATTGAGGACCCCCAAGATGGCAGTAGCGGCACCAAGCCAATGGCACGATATCCATATGCAAAGAATGGCTGCTTTTCACCACAATGCATCGAAGCACCTTACGATTCCCGATGTCCTCGCTTACGATTGTACAAACAATAATTATATTGGTTCTTCATTTATGATTCTGCAGAGAATGAACCACGAACGGTCTTTGCATGAGCAATATCGCTTATTGAATTCTAATCTGCATACAAGATTTAGGGTATCCAACGCGTACGATTATGCAGTACTAGGCCTCAGTTCAGCGGGCTTCATCGTGCAACAAGAGAACTCATACCGATTTTCTCACTATGGTACTTTTCAGGTGGCAGAAGGTATGGCGCTTAAAAGCGCACAGCTAGATACAATCACCGATCGCATAGGATTACTCGTCAAACCATTCATGTACAGTCTTACGAATTCCACACGAGCGAACTCTAAACCGATAGATTTTATATGCGAGATTCTCTTCGCGCAGGAAAACCAAATGCGGACTCCGGCTCAGGAGCCCAAGTTTAGAAAACTAATCCATATCGCCTTGTGTATTAAGATGTGGGAAGATGACAATGAGGAAAATCATCCCGCGCATAGCCTTCAACCGGCCGTTCTCTGGCATCCCAAATTTAACCCTAGCTCTATTTTCATGGCTTCGGAGATTCTGTACCTGAATCCTGAATCGGGTATCGATGAATATGAGTGGAATATTCCTTCGCAGTATACGCGTGTAGAAGGAAAGACGTTCGTTCGGTTATCTGGGGTTCTTAGCTACGATGGATGTCTAGCACTTCCCCGCATCATGACGCGCTGTCCGCCTTCTTTCCTTTGGGATGGGGATTTGCGCATTCCGGTTGAAGGGAGGATTGCGGTTAAGGAGGCGTTTGATCATTATATGGAGGAGCGATTACCAGGGTATTGTAGGGATGCTTATGGGGTTTTGGGGAGGATTGTTAGGGCGTTGGGGTTTTATGCGTTGTTTGGGGTGGAGTTGGGGTGGGGGGAACTTTCTTTTGAGGGGTTGCTTAGGGAGTGGGAGGGTTATTCTTTGACGAATGGGGGGGTGTGAGGGTGTGATGGTGTATTTTTGGGGAAAGGGGTGTGTTTCATGGGAAGGGGGGATGTAGTTGGAGTGCTTTTTGGCTGATTTATGGGTTGGGTGGAGGATGTTGTTGTGGGAATTTGGTCGCGTGTATGGCTAATTATATATTAATGGCAATATCGTAAGCTTAATCGAGCTAGGAATTCCAGGGGTTGGGATGTAGATGGAGATGGAGATGATCGTATTCAAAGAAATCATATAATACAATACTGAGCTATTGTATAGAAAAGAGAAAATAATATTATATCACACCTCAATCAATACACCCTTTATAAAATTATAAATAACAACACTATGATCGATAAATCGTTAGCAATACTGTGACGGAAAAGTCGTAAACGGAGTCAATTCAATTACTTAGAATCTAAAACTAAAGAACTAAGAAGATTCTAAGTAAGAAGGTCTTTATATACAGGGCTAGTGCACGTGAGCCACTAGTGGGATAACAACCGTCACGTAACAGAAGCTCTCTTACAGAGAGCTTCGCACTTCCGTGTTACGAGGTTTGCCGTCTAGATCACGTGGAAGTGCTCTAGGCTCTCGAGGTGGTTTATAACTAGGCGTCAAGCAGGGACTTAAAGTAATGACAATAATGATATGCAATTCGTAACTAATAGTAGAGTATACTAAATGATTGATCTTGAGCACGAAGCTCTATACAAAGGGAATCCATCTTGATTATATAGACCTTCATGCCTATGGCTAGTCAGGACCGCTGCGCGGTCCTGGACAGCCAGCGTTCCTCAGCGGTCCATAACGTGACTTTAATCACGTTACCTTAGTTTAGTCATGTGACGCGGCATAGAAGATAGCCGTTGTAACATTCCGTAGAACTTAGAAGAGAGATTAACCTACTAGACCAATATTACCTCAGTTCTGCCCTATCAGCTTCCCACTATTCCCTGTGTGAGGTCATTCCTTTTAACATAAGAGACTATATATCTTTATATAGGAATTAAATAAAGATCTTTGTAGTAGGGAGAATGATAATATAATTAAATTATTTATTAATATAAAATGGGTATTTAAAATAGATGTGTATTGAATAAGTGTATTGAATAATATAAATATAAATATAGTATAATTTTATTTATAATCAAATTTGAGATTTTTTTATTATTAATTAATAACTATAATTTAATTAATATTTAAATAAGTTTAATAAATAAGATATTATTAATAAGTGTATATAAAGAGATAAATAATTAAAATAGTAAAATAAATATTAAAGTGAATGGTTTCTGCGTAGCACGTGCACAAGGCACTAGTCCTATTAGGACTAGATTGAGAAGCTCTCTGTAGGAGAGCTTCGCACTTCTGTAGTACTAAGATGATGTGTGATTCATATAGAAGGCCAATATAGCCTCAGTTCTTGTTACGCCGGGTAACAAGAAGACGCTCACATGCTACCAATATCATGTGACTGACTCAGTGAGGATCAGCAAGCTCAGTACTGAGCCATACTGATCCTACTGATCAGCTAGAACACGAAGGTCTATATAATCAAGATGGATTTCCTTTGTATAGAGCTTCGTGCTCAAGATCAATCATTTAGTATACTCTACTATTAGTTACGAATTGCATATCATTATTGTCATTACTTAAGTCCCTGCTTGACGCCTAGTTATAAACCACCTCGAGAGCCTAGAGCACTTCCACGTGATCTAGACGGCAAAACTCGTAACAGTTCTGCCCTATCAGCTTCCCACTATTCCCTGTGTAAGGTCATTCCTTTTAACAATAACAAGTATTTAAAAAATATTATAATTTTCATCGATGGATTATTTTATATTATATGAATTAAAATAAATGATTAATATCTTTTGAATTTTATATTTTTTAAATCAATAATAGAGTATTTTTATAAATAATAAACAGTTTTTAATAATATTTTATTAAATATTCAAGAATTACAATGATATAGAATTTATATCTATATATTCTAAAGGTGTATACAAAGGCAATGCGGTCTCATTAAAGTGAGGTATATATGAATTACGCCGTATATTATTCCCATCGCTGGCATTTCAACGCCAAGACTAAAGAGGTAGTGAGGCACACTTGTAGCTGCTTGCGTATTGCTCAACTTCGACACTTAACACCAAGATTATGTACTTGAATCTACTTAAATCGGACAATGATTCACTAGTTCTATGTGCAGCGCAGAGTAGATATCTGACTTTAATGCATCAAGTGTTTGGCTATCCCTACTTCCCCAAAATATGTTGATGATACTCCGAACACATATAAATAGCTATTATAGAATAACTATATTTGTTTCTTATGGAAAGAAAAATCAAGACTGGACAATAACAATAATGCAGCGACGACATCAAGCTCATCGTTTAGATTACATTTTACTGATTGATATACAAGATATGAAAGTTCATCAATCTTCTATTAACAGTTCTAAACAGCAGGAATGTCTTTATTCACAGCATACTTAAGCAGATGAGCAACAATCCACCAGTGATCACGCAGTCTGTACTTCTAGATAATGCGGATACTAAACTTGTTGAAAGGCTTGGGATTTCTTGTCAATTTCAATACTGGAGTAGGAATAATGATAACTAGTGTAATAAAGATAAAGCCTGAAAGAGATCGAGCAAAATTTGAACGGAAAAAGGTTGATTACATGGACAGTATCTCAAAATCGTGGATGATAGGTAGCATGCTATCCTTAGTGAGACTGAACCATATCGAATATTGGCATGAAAAATATTAAAAAGAACTCAGGCCCATCAGAGATGTCTTTACCACATCTGAGGTTGGTTTATCGTATACTCGAGATTCCCGTTTGCAGGAGCTTCTTCGATCTCCTTCGCCTTTCCTCTTCCTTCCAAAGCATGAAAATTTGCAAAGACTTTTTGCTGTGTTATTGTACTTATTTGTTGACCTCCTGGGATCTTGGCAGCATATGCATATATAGTACATATGCATATAAGGAGCAAACAAAACTCAACTTTTAATTCATTCTTTCCTTTTTGGTATACTGTTTGTTTGCTTTCAATATTTTGATTTCAAAGCACTTTAATTCCGAAGGCTGAATACCCAACCTATTCCTTCATTTTTTTGAATATATGCTCGCAGCTTAACTGCTTAGCTAGAGAATCAATCAATTCAATCTGATACTCTTTCTAGTCTCAAGAAATCCAACATTATTATACTAGGAGAAGAAGTTTTTGATAGATTTGAGTTTATGCTGGGCGTTGGGACGCGGAAATTTGGTACAAATCTAATAGTAGACATGTAAAACAGCCATGTCATTTATTGGTATGTTAGCATGAAAGCCCATGTAAAGATTGAATAAATTAACGCATAGCCGTATGAAATGTTTCTGCACTATAAATGAAGTTCAGTGTGGCAGTTTGGTACCCGAAATTCTCTTCCGAGAAGGATATTGCTCATGGTTGTCACTTGAGTCGTAAGATTGACCTCTGGGGCCAGCTGGGCCCAGACCTCCAAAATGCATTGTAGTAAGCATATAAAAACCTAGAACAGCGGGGTTCATCTACTCAAAAATAAGACTATCATGCATAGGCAAACTGTATTCAGTTTCCAGCAGTTGCATTCTACAGCGTAGCAACCAGCAGATCCACCTTTTTCGATATCGTCTTTACCCAAGAACCTCTTGCTCTCTCACAATCACATATCCCTGACGCTCACACACTTAAAGAGCTCTCCGAATACTTCCAAAACCTGAACAAATGGCCTCCTAGGCTCCAACGTGCCAAACTGCCCCAACATCTCCTTCGCTTATCTATATCGTGCTAACACAAGCTCATCTGGGTATACAGTGTAGCGTGATGGGTATACAGCGTAGCGTGATGGGTATACAGCGTAGCGTGATGGGTATACAGCGTAGCGTGATGGGTATACAGCGTAGCGTGATGGGTATACAGCGTAGCGTGATTTCAAATACCAATATCCATGCTATATATTGCATGGACTGTGACACGAGATACTAAGTTTCAATTTCAAAGTTTCCTAGATGCCTCTTCCCAGTGCCACGGTGCCACGATTCCATTCTTTCCGAACAACCAGTGGACCACTCTCATGAGTCGTAAGGACGAAACTGGGGCAGGACTCAAATCTTTTAAAGGTCCTGGTCAAAGTAAGAATAAGTCTAAAATCATCATTACCTAGACGCTAAGCTGAACTTACTCGCCAGGGTCGGAAGAATGAATGGGTAGGAATATTTGCGAGGCCAAGCGATAATAATCGATTACTGCATAACCTCGAGAGACTGTTGGTCTATGCATGCAGGTTTTTTCTTGTTGGATAAATCTCAGATTGTCTTTGTAGTTAAATTAAAATTATTAAATAAAAATTACAGAAGAAAAATCTTTTAATTATCCTGTTAAAAGTTATATAATGACTAGATGGTATTTTTGTATGATTATAATAATAAATCACCTGTAACGATACTATACTGGAGGCAGCAGCTGCCTAAGGTTTCGTCTGATTGGTAGTTGTGGGTTAAGGCTTTATCACTGGTCTTCACTTGGAAGTGAAGTCGTTACTAGATCAAGTAGAATGTAGGTAAACTAATTGATAACTAAGTTGAGCACAAAGCTCCTTAACTACGAGACTAAATGAATGTTTATATACCCTATATCATCTTTTGAGGACCTTTGGGACCCTTCGGTCCTCAAGGTCCTCGAGGTCACGTGAATTAATGAATCGTGACATCACCATCTTTTATATAATAAAGGTATATAATTAATGAATTAAATAAGACAGTATAGTTCCATTCTTAAATTATTACTATTTTGGCTTAAGAGGGTTGAATCCCTTACTTGTTTCTCACAGAATATCTACTCAGCCTTATCCCTGACATAAACGATGCCAAGAGGCATCGAGGTGGGTACCCGCCGCCTACTCGCTTGATTTGAATTTGTGGGGAGAAACTCTAATTTGACTAATGAGTTTAGTACTTTCCTTCATCCCACTTTAGTCTTAAGGATTTTCAGAAGATTCCAGGAAAATGTAAGTAAAATGCTCGTTTATATCTATATTTATACAATCTAGTTCATATTGAGTATAGATATATAAGGTTTATACTCATTTCTTTCCAAAACGGTCCTGTTTAGGAGGGGTTGTTCTATACTGTACTTTCCAGCCGCACGAGTAATTATCTTCAAGAAGAATAAAGTACATTTCTTACCTAACTAAAGACCTCCAACGATGATGACATATTTTGAACCAAAGCGAATGAAGGTTAATCTACCGTTCAGGACGAGGCTGAGCTAAATGGGTTTCCTTGGCCTAAATAGTTACGCTTCGATGTACTGCCGAAATTGCGAGCTGGAAGCCAAGGCATAAACCCAAAAACTAAGGTCTTACATTGCGCACGAGTATGTTTGATAGGGAGAATCACAAGAAAAGCAGTTTGGACAAGAGAGCTACCGGTAGGCTGGATATAGCCAAGAAAGTACCCATAATTGATTATACGCCATAATATAACCGACAAGAATAGCTTCATTAGTGCGGACTTGGAAATACGACGAACGGTCTAGTGGCTGTTTGACTTTTCGAGGAGCTCGATCATAGAAAATTGGATTATCATAATGGTAAAACTATCAAATGTACTAAACCATACCTCTAAAGGTATGAAAACCTATTAATTTATTATTTGTATACCATTTTTGTAAGCTTACTAGCCTCCATTTCTATCATATCATTTTTGAATCTGCAGTAGAGTGTATTACTTGGTATTCCTTCCATCGGTAAAGCACATCTGATTTATCAAGTAAGATCATATATGCTATCAGTAAGAAGTATGTCGTTGATAAGCCAGATTTATTTTGATCGTTATTGAGAAGATTTAGAGAGAACTATTAGTATTCTTTTGAACCATTTCGGTAGCCTACGACTCGTGCACTCCACCTGAATATAAGCCACTCTTTCGATTAACCCTCAATTTAAGAGTGGAGTATGACATACCTTCTAGCAGTTCGAGTAGCAGGTAGTATTCCGGTAGATCGCCGGATAAGCTTATCTTGAGTCGATCCCAATATAATTTACCCGCATATGGGGCAAATGGGATTCAACCGTGATAAATGGAAAGCTTTCAAAGTCCGACGGCCCGGAACTCGTATTCCTAAGATTATCTATCAAGGTGTTTCTGGGGAAAGGAAAGATCTTCTCTTTTTCACTTCTATACCTTTCCAGTTAGTTACTTCTACACTGAATGTCATTTTTATTTCTTCTTATAATCTGAATTCTTTGTAACCTTCCAATCCCTCAGTGTCAAATCAATGACATTTGCTGATTTATTTACGTTGTTTATGGGAAACAAACTGATCCCCTAAAAAACTTCGCTTAAAATATCCGACTGGAAAGAAGATCAATACGGAACTAGGCTCGGATAGGAAATGCGAATACTATACGACCAGGTATGGAATTACGTTTGAAGAAGGCTGAGATTACCCACTTCTGGTGAACTATCAGTAAAGTCAAATTTCTGCAAAAGCTTAAGTAACGTAACATTTAATACACAAAATATCATAGAAAAACGTTGAATCCGGCTCGTTCCGCCTAAACATGGAGTGCCTGAATCCAATCTTGGAATACTACTACAAACAGATATAACCAGGTCTAACCTTACTGTTATCATGTCTTTGAGTTTTGCTAACCACGACGAGTCCCGTTAGCATACACGTGCGGCCAGTAAGTGTGTTATACGCCCCTATTCTAGTCTTGATTTTGAGTATCAAGCCTCAAAAATGGGGTAGTTTAATTAAAAGAATCGATCATTTTTGTATTTTTATTTTCAAAATCTAAAAAGAATCAAAATTCTTCAGTTTGTTTATTTATATTTATTATCTTGCTATATTGAACATAGATATACAAGAACTGTACTCTTCTGAACTTTCCAAAAATCTACTGACCCCTGCTTAAACCATAATTTGACTGTGTGATATACTTACTGGCCGCACGTCTAGTGAAGATTTCAAAAAAGGCTACAAACTTGAGAATGGATCCCATGTAAGATCCTATTTTGAACTGAAGCACCCCAAGAAAGTTAGGACACCAAAGGGGAGATCCGCTATATTTTGACAGGGAGCTTCTCCATACGCTCATGTACATCATGCAGTATTGCTGATATATCCGAACTCATCCCAAGAAAGCGAGAGGAACTAGAACATAATTATACCCACAACAATTAACGTGGGTCAAGATGGTAAGCTAACAATTTAGGACCTTTTAAACTTTCAGACAAATAGACTATCAAAGCGATTTTCTGTTGATATTATTTTTAAAACTATTTTAAAGCTTTCTTTAAAACAAAAACCAAGGGAACTCTAAAGGCTAACAATATCAGCCGGATACCACATGAACATTAATTGATTAGTTTACTATCACACATCAAGATGGCTAATACTTAGCTACGATCAGGAGACTTGAAAATTATCTGTGGATCCATAGCAGCAAAAAGCTTAGCGGGATTCGTCTGAACGTGGGATATCGTGACACCATCACTACTATGCTCCGTAAACCATTCATCAGATGGACTCGGCCAGGCAATGACACCAAGACTAATTAATGCTCTACATTATGTAGACGACTTCCTTTCTCCTTCATCCAAGAAATCTTAACGAGAATCAAGCAGACCCTAAGGAGGCCTAGAGCAGGTACCGAAATTGATGCGTCTTGGTCGGTGGGATTCGGGGAAATGGAAGAATATCTAGCTGGAAAGTGGTTGGATCAGAAGGTTAGTCGCACTACTTAGGTGTATTGAGTACTTACATCAAAAGCCATATAAGAACCGCTGATGCACCCTCTTCCTTCCTATTATCAACACTCACAAACACATCATCAACATCCATAACAACATCAACATCATCATTAGCATCAACTTCAGTCACATTCATTCAAAATGCTTTTCACCAACACAAAATTTCTTTCTGTCCTCGCCGCTGCTGCAGCAGTCAAAGGTGCTCCAGTCGAGGGCAACGACATCCAAGCTCGCGCAGTAGTCAACCACGATTCTATCAATCCATGGCCAGAGAATGTGCCAGGCGGTGCCCTCGGTAACACCTTGAAGAGATTTGAGCCTTACCTCCACATTGCTCATGGATGCCAGCCATACAGCGCGGTTGACGGCTACGGTAACACCAGGTACGACAACTCCTCTTTCTGTTCGAATGACAATCTATTAACACATTTCATAGTGGCGGACTTCAAGACACCGGAAATATCTCCGCTGGCTGCCGTGATCAAGCCAAGGGTCAAACCTATGTTCGGGGTGCCTGGTCTGGTGGAAAATATGGTATCATGTACGCCTGGTGTAAGTGATCCCAATGCTCCATAAGTCTATTCTCCTTATCTCTAATATAATTCTACAGATTTCCCCAAGGATCAACCAGCCGCTGGAAATGTTGTCGGAGGTCATCGCCACGACTGGGAGTACGTCGTCATTTGGACCAACAACCCAGAAGTCGCAAATCCCGAATTGCTTGGTGGGGCTGCCTCCAGCCACAGTTCCAATAGGAAGTCAACCTCCATACCAACACAGGGTACCAGACCCAAGGTCGAGTACTTTGTCGAATTCCCAACCAACCACGAGTTGCAATTCACAAACACTTTGGGAAGAGATTTACCCATGATGTGGTACGACTTCTTGCCAGCAGTTAGCAAGACGGCCTTGGACAACACAAAATTCGGTGATGCTAACTGTCCATTCAACAACGCCAACTTCGCAAGGAAGCTCGCAGAGGCACAAATCTAAGTTGCTGCCGTTTCAATAAGGGCTTTTTGGAGTCAGGGTACTGGCCAGACCTGAGACCACAAAGCCGCTATGTCAACGCGCTTTTGAGATGTTTCCTTATGTTCTGTGGGATTTTTAAAATGGAATTTTTGTAAAGTTTGTTTAAGCCGAATGAGTAGTTAGTGTTTAGTTTTGGATATTCAATTTTGAATTCTTTTGCAAATTTTTGAAATTCTTATAAGTGAATCCAGACATTACTCTTAAGATACTTCTACTCTTGTTTGAATCTTGGAAACTGAAAACTATGCAGCTCGTGAAGCTAATGGGATCATCAAGGGTCATCAACCTACCTTGTGGTTAGGAATATTAGGAGACAATGCTAATCTTCGTAGAACGCCTAGATGCTGTCCATAGAGCCTAGAACTATACATGGTGCAATCTAGATGACCGGCAGAAGAAGGGTACAGAACAGCCCAGCCCACTGGTCCCGGACCCCAGACCCCAGACTTCGTTCCCGCTCTGTCTTTAGCATCTACCAGCTGATCCATCAACCAACAAACCAATCACAATCACTTCAATAGCTACTTGTCAGCCCACTCAATTATGTGTCTAAATTATCCAAATCATATAAAAAAGAGTCAGGCAAAAAACCGCATATCAGATGTCACCTTTTTCGATCGATACATGGCGCCCTGACATTCTTCCACTGCTAGGTACTAACTGTTAGGTATTCCTTCTAGATATTTTTAGTACTTTCTACTAACATAGCAGTTTCAAACATGTATTCAGTAGGGTTACGCACTTTTCGAAAAGCAGAGTATGATTACACAAAAATCATCGCGAGCTTTGTGATTATTTACTATACTTCATATAAGATCTTACAAAATTTGAATCTATCAATGTGTATATAATCCCTTGAAGCTATTCAGATATTCACTTTGAGTCTCGATCTTCTTTATATATTAATATAAATTTCAAATGTGAAATATATAATCATTGAGCAGAGTGAAGGATGGATAGCGAAAATAAAGTAAAGTAAAATATTAGAGAAAACAATAATTGAATAAATCTTCCTCAATTTTGATCTATCAAAAATAATTTAATTGTATTTAATTTAACACCGAAATCCTATTAAAAGATTATATATAATAAAAAGAGCTAGATTATTGTACTATGATATAATTATACCTGCCTAACCCTACCTCAAAGCCACTAAGCGAACCAAATTCCCAAATAAATCCCGCTTACTCTCCGCATCCATACTCCCCATGCCTATACTTGACCATACCTATTCCATTTCCATAACTCAACTACCCTCAGGCACACGTATCAGCTTGCTGTATCCGAATTGTGCTCTTGCTCTATCAAGCTTCCTCCCATATATTGGTATTAGCCTTGATTTTATAATGGACGAATAGAATTCTATCCCTATCGGACATTTCAATTCCGCAAAACTGCTAATTATACGCTCAATATTAATCCATGAACAAAACTCGGGTTTTCTCATAGATTAATTATAAATCTTTTGGACGCAATCAGTATCTGATGCTTTCCTATAACTGTATCAAATCACTCTTGACAAGATTCCAGAAAAGATGATTCATTTGAATGCAATGAATGTTATGTATCCTTAATGTATATTTAAGTGTTGCTTGTGTGCTAATTATAGTAGATAAGAGGCATGAGTATGCCTCTAGCAAGCAAGCTATTTGTGCTCCGCAACACCGCGACGGGATGTGTCCTCCGACATTTGACTGGATATTATATGCTTGCTTGAGTCCTTTGAGGATTCATTACTGGATCTAGGTCATAGGATTTTCCTCTCCTTATCTCATAAGAATTAGCACTTGGATCTCTATATAAAATATAATTATAGACCTAATATCCACTAGTAATTATTAAATTACAGAAATGTCACAGACTCTCTGAGATATTTACATACTGATCCTAAAATCAACAATCGCGGATGATAAACCCTATGAGCATATACATAAAATAGCAATTGGGACATTCTAAACCCGAAGTTTTGTGTTCAATATCATATGTAATGTGAGATTAAGAATACAAAACGCAGAATCAAAAGAGAAGAATCTAATCGGAGTACATGTCTCTTACCCGCAAACACGGTAACGCTATACAAAATACCGATTCCGTGTCATCATTCAGAATAAAGAAGAATGTATTTCCTGTGATAAAATCTTATATAATACAAACAAAACACAGAAGACTCGAAATTCCTCGATTTATATAGAGGAGATGAGGATTCAAAATGAGAGGATCTCCTTTTAATATATATATATGGGTAGAAGAATGATTACTAGTGTTTCTTTTTATTATAATATAGTTAAGAAATAATATTATTTGAAATCTAATTCTACCGATTATAAAATATGAATATAAATTTATTTATAAATTGGGATTATATATCCAACAATACCGGAAAACAAAAGTGATATTGGTATTGCTAGAATATGAAGTTATTGGCCTTTTTTGCAGGTATAATATTAGATAGTATTTCTAACTAATTATTAAAGATTGTAGGAAAATATTACACCTAAAACAGTATACTAGTATTATACTCTTAAACAGCACTGTATCTATTAATGAAAAAATAAAAGAAAATTTTAAATGAATCAATGACGTACCATTCAATTATAAATACACAAGAAAGATAAAGATGAGATATTAAGATCTTATGTATGTATGAATGCTAGAAGTAGAAGATAGGTGTAACTTCAAAGGAGCGTTGTTGCGTGGTAACTTACTATTGATAAAGTATCGGTAACTTAGAAGATTGAGGCGCTCGTGATATCTATCCATAGTGTGAGGTTGAAAAAGGAATATTGGGCTAGCACTTAACGCTGCGGTAAAATGTAATAATCATGCTGTATTTGTATAGGAAGATAGTGGTATGTGGGTGAGACTATTAGAAATTAAATTGTCGAAAGACAGCGCGAATAATCAACCACGGCGTAATAATTATAACATTAAAAATTTTCCACGTCAAAAGTAAAAGCCATTAAAGCCAAAGAACTTAAATACAACCTAAGACATAATCTTAGTATAACAATGTAATAAACACCAAAACAGCATCTAATCTAAATATTCTTCAAAATTCTTCTCCACAACGGCACCTTCTTCACCAAGACACTCTGAGCCCCATCCCCCAAACTCTCAAACTCTCCCTCCACAATAACATCTAAATCATTTCTCCTCCCCTCATCCAAATCAATCTCTCTCAAATCCCAAATCCGCGTCTTAAACCATACTTTATAACCGAACCAAATCAACGGAAAAAGTACCAGCAAAATATACGCATCTACGAAATCCCCAGCAGTAAACGGACTCAAAGTTGTCCAGCCCTGTACTAATGCCAAAAAGGCATTAGCCCCTAATCCGAAATACGCATTATATGGGTACGCGAAGGAAATAAATGGTAAATCGGGTATTCTTCTTCCTTGAGCGGTCCACGCTGAGCGGAATCGGATATGGATAAATGAGATGGAGCCCCAGACGAGAAATGTCGATACGCCGGAGAGATTAACGATGTATGTATATGCGGCTCCTGCGCCGGATGAAACATTCATCATACTTAATGCGCCGAAGAGATTCGTAAATACGATGGCGTAGATGGGTACACCTCTCTTATCGGTAAACCTTAGAAATTTCGGCGCATGTCCTTCCTGTGCTAGGAATAGAATAGTTCTCGATCCGATATAGATGGAACTATTCACAGCACTCAAACAAGTAGCTAAAATAAACGCGTTTACTAAATGTACTCCCCCTTCCCATCCAGCATTTTGAATCGCAACAGTCATGGGACTTCTCAAGGCCTTGGATCCGGCACTTGCTAAACCCTGTGCATTCCATGGACAAGTCATTCCGAAAAAGAGAGCCGAGCCCATGTAGATAAAGATGATACGCCAGAAAACCTGTCGAATTGCCAATGGAACCGCATGTTTAGGATTGCGGGTCTCAGCCGCTGCAACAGCGATAGATTCACAACCTGCGTAAAACGTCGAGCAGAAAACGAAAACTTTAGCTACCCCTCGAAAGCCATCTGCAAAAGCACCCGGATCATGCCAGTATCGAAATCCGAGAGTGTGATCTTGTCCGCGAAGACCTCCCGCCGCATAAATAATCGAAAAGATAAAGAAAGCAACCAGACCTCCAAGTTTCAGGAGCGCAAGCCAAAACTCTGCTTCTCCAAAAGCAGCTACGCCTAATAACTGGAAAGCGAGAAACACAAACCAGAAGATGAGAAAATATCCCCACAGAGGGATTTTATCGCTCCAGAAGATAAAAATGGATGAGAGGGTATTGTATTCATTTGCGAGAACAGCAGCCCAGATGATGAAGTAATTCCAACCGACTGCAACGCTAAAAGCAGGGTCAAAAAACCGCGATGTTAATGAGATGAAAGAACCAGAGGCGGGATATAAAGTGGTGAGTTCTCCGAGGGATTGCATAATGGAGAAGGCGATGAGACCAATCACGCCGAATCCGACTAGGAGAGAAGCGGGTCCGCCAGATGCTAATGCACCACCTGAACCGACTAGGAGACCGGGTCCAATGATTCCTGGGGGACGTTAGATTGATTATGAGGGGAGTGCGGGGGGGAGAAAGGGGGGCTGAAAATCTTACCTGCAAGTGCCATCATACTCAGATGTCGAGTTTGTAGACCCCGAGAAAGCCCACTATTGGGGTCAATTGGAAGACTTTCACTGACCACATCGTCGGATGTATCGTGAAGATTATCTTTTCTATCCGGAAGCGACATCTTTGGCCCTTTCTCATAAATTTGGTATCTGACACTCCAACAGGGTATAAATGGGTACGGAAATGTCACCCAGAAAGATAAATGTTTCTGAGTATTTGTAAGATGAAGAATACCCGGGGGTCCATTTAAGTGGCCATCTGAATGTGTTATATAAGTATAAAAATTATATTGCGAAAAGTCTGGGAATGATTTTCATCATAATTGGATGAAAAAAATATGATGCAATAGTAGCCAATTTTTAACAATGTCGCTTGAGGTAAATTTTATGGGACCCATGACAAAATTTGGACTGAACTTTTTTTTAAGATTAATATCTAGAGCAAGAATCAAAGGCTACGACATAAACTTAATGGTGTATGACAAGCGTGAAAAATGTATCGAAGTGTATCGAAGCGTATAAAAACTGGTGCGAGAACTCAGTGAAAAGATTTCTCTCAGCATATAGATAGTTTAGCATCATCCCGGATAGAAATACATGGATCAAATGAAGCAGAACATTTTTGCATGATCCTCTTCACGAAAGATCCAATGATTAGTGCGGAAGCAAAAATTCTGATATCAAGTATAAATCCACTCGGCCATTATAAAGGGGTATATAAAACTATATCTCGGGTCTTGTAACACCTCTTCCCTTATTCACTTGAACCATTTTATCCTCACCAGCACTAACAATTCCAACATCCTTATCCCAATTAACATCAAATACCTTAACTCCCTCGCCACCCACTGGTTTAGTCGTTTTGTCTTTCCTACTTTCTCTCTCAATGATATAAATCGCCTCTCCTACAACCCCAAGTCCCTCATCTTTCGTTCCTTGTCTTGTGCTTCTAAGATCCCAGACCCTACAAGTTCCATCATGGCCTGCTGATACTAATCCATAATTACTATCAGGATCCGCAAATATCGACGAAACGAAATTGGTGTGTCCACGGAGTGTCATGGCTTGTGTTGTAGCAGCCGAAGCTCGAGGATCGATGAGAGCAATGTGACGTGCTGTTGTCCCTGCTGCTATTATTTGATGACCAATTCCTGGTAGAGCGCATAACGACAGTATAGGATTTAATAAAGTTCTCGTGTCAACAATGCTAGAAGTTGTAATGTCGAGTGTTTTAATGGTATGATCTTGAGAAGCAGAGTATGCAACAGTAGAATCCTCAGGGTTGAAGATGACAGCAGTTGCCGGGCCATTATGGCAATCCATGAGAGATAGAGGACCGCGTTGAGGAGTAGATGTAGAAGTTGTGATTTTGCGTCGTTTAGCAGATGGTCCAGAAATAAGACTAGCATTTACTTCAGGAGCAGAGGATTTGTGAGAAGTCCAGAAACCAATTTGTCCGTCTGCTGAAGCGGATAGGATACGATTCGATGGTCCATGGACTGCGATTGAGTCAATACTACCAGTGTGACCATATAATTCCAAAGTTGGCTTCAACTGCGCAGAGAAGTGATCCTCCGCTTCCGAATAATTCCATATCCTTATTGTGCGATCCAACCCTGCTGATGCAATTTGTTTGGTCGAGAGGAATTTCGCCGATTTCACTCCAGAGGTATGTCCGCCAGCACTGGCCGGTGCAGATGTCGCAATGGCCTGACCTGATTTATTCCAGACTCTGAGAAGCCCATCGTAAGAGCCTGATAGTATGCGCTCTTGTCCAGCTTCAACCGAGCTGCTACCCCAAATTCCTACAGCAGAACTACCTGAATAAACGTCCACGCTGCTGACCCAATCATCATGCTCGAAACTTGCTTCATAAAGGGGAGGTATCAAACTTCGCACGTATTGTAAGTTTAAAGTAGTTTCGGAGGATAATCCATTCGCAGTGAGATATTCATCAAGGGTCGTTCGCAAGAATGTGCCGTTAATCAGGAAATCAAATGGTATCGGCGAAGAGGTATCGAGCATTGCCTCGGAGTTGAGAATCTGTGAAAGCCCATATCTGCGTACATCTATTCGATTTTTGTTAGTCTTCAAAAAGACATGAGAGAAATTTGAATTGAACTTAAAACTTACTGGTAGGAACAAGCAATTGCTGCTTTTCCTCTGGTAACTGGATATCTGGAGATGTAGTGGTAAAATATACTTGCACCTGCCCTTGCGCCATGTTTGCGACTTGAAAGTAGAAATTTCTGTGGATTCGAAAATGTTTGTTGATTTCTGTGCAGGAAGTTTCTTGACATGGAGCTATTCAGAATTGGATTTTTTTTTCCGGCCGTGCATTGACACCATCAACGCGATTTTGGTGGGTAGTCATTATGATTGTGCATTCAACATATGAGGACAACCACAACACAGATATTCACCTGAATTTTTGCGGATGATATGGCGTCTTGTATACAAAAAGGGAGAAGATATACTCATCCATTGCTGGTGCAGTCTAGATTGACTTAGTGAATTACTGTAGGGCGCTGAATCACAGTTTTACAGCATCGAAAATACTCCCAAAGTAAGTTCACTCACTAGTGGTTAACCTTGGTTCAATGAGTGCATTTTAGCATAGTCTTGCCAGTCATTCCAAGACTGATCCTTAAATACATCAAATTCTATGAATGGGTGGTATATCAGTTCCGAGAAAAATGATCCAAGGACTAATACCATCACAGGACACTTGATTTCTATGGCTCAAGCCCTCTATCTTTTGAGGGCGCAGCTCAGCTCATCCAGCGATCTCTTCAAGTGAAGTGAGACTGATAATTGTTGAGTGGCAATGTATTGAACTAGCAGTTGAGATCATCTCAAGAAAACTCAATCATTCGAAGAATCTACAATAACCAACATTGCTGATTTGAGGAAACACCAAGAGCCAGCAAGATTTGTTCTGCATCTTATACAGTCTATTCATTCTATCTTTATTAAGAAACTCCTTGCGCCAGCTGGATATCCTTTATATAAAATTACCATATTGTTGTCTTCGCCATTGAGCTTCCACATCATCTAATCTCCCCCACATTTCACCCATTCGATCCATCGATCTCCTATTTCCTATGAAACTGTTGACGGAACCTTTCCTTCTCATCGATCCACTAGTAGACTCATCCCTATACCACGACTTTCCATTACTTAATCCAAGCACTTCTTCCTCTCTCTCATTGGCATGCTGTGCAACATCATGTTCAGGATTCTGTGTTGGATCGTTTTCAGGATCTCCATCCTGTCCCGGATTGGCCATTTCATATTCCAGCAACTTAATTAATCTGAAGAAGAGAACTGCCAACCCGGCTCCCAAAAGTGGTCCAACCCAATATATCCAATGTTCTCGTGGAAAGTTCCAAACAATCGCTGATGGACCAAAACTACGAGCTGGATTCAAGGATGCTCCAGTAAAAGGAACAGCCACCATATGAGCAACAAATAGAGCCAATCCAATACCAATGGGTGCTACAAATGTAGCTTTGTGTTTCTCCACTGCTAACATTATGATAGTGAAGATCAAAGCTGCTGTAGTAATAGCCTCGATAACGAACCCTTGAGCCGTTGAAGTGCCGCTCCCAAGTGAGGTGCCGACGCCAAGTTGATTCGGGAAAATCTCTTTTACGAGAATAGCTGCTAAACATGAAGCGCCAAGTTGTGTGATGACAAGAAGAACAGCACGAACTGGTGACACGGCTTTTAGTAAGGCAAGTGCCAATGTTACCTACTAATATTAGCTTGAAGCCTCGTCGACATAAATCTCACACTTACGGCTGGATTAAACAATCCTCCACTAATGCGAAAAAATATCCAAGCGGTAACCATAAGACTGGCTCCAAAAGTTGCTGATATATAGAACAAGACCTCGAGATCTGGTGGCTCACGACCTTGAAGTCTCGTAACCTCAATACCTGCATAGCCAAAGAAAAGAAAAAGTGTCGTCCCGATCAATTCTCCAATAACAGCGACAATATCTGCTACAGTCAGTAAACTCTCAAATATAGATGTGTGATCACTCACGATTCTTCCAGTCACTATTCATCCATTTCATCCACGTCGTCACTGGTCGCTTTTTTCTATATCTTCGTATTCTATCTTGTGTCTGTAGGGTTTGCATCCACGGTCGACTTCTACTCGCTCTCTTATTTTGTATGATATTATCCCCATTTGTTAGACTGACGAAGCCATCCTCACTTGTTCTGTATGGTTGTACTTCTGTATACCGAGTTTCACCGACAGTGGGAAAATTTCTTATGGCTTCGTTTGACCTTCTCGGAAATTCAAACTCTTGCATTGGTATTGGCATATTGCTTCGTTGGACAACTCGTCTTGGTGGTGGAAAACTACGATATCGGCTATCGTCCAAACGGATTTGAACTTCATCATCCTCATTTGATACGGGACTTGCCCTTAATGGTTGGGGATGTTGTGTAATTGTAGGACTTCTCATGCTCATTTTGTTCATGTCGGTAAATTGTTATTATGATCTACCAGAAAACAATATGCACAATGGGAGATCAGAAACAATTATATGATTCTGGACTCAATGATGATCCATGAGCACATGTCACTTCTCTTCCCTCCACCTCACTCTCCAACACAAGCATTGTCCACTTCAACCATGCTTGGAAACTTCTTTCCCGCAAACCCAAAATCTCCATAATTGGCAACGAGCCCATAGGTATCAGTATTTACACTTTCCGATTCCATATCTCGCGTCTTCTTATTCGATATCCATACATCCATATTCATGCATACATAATAATCAGAAGATCCTCCCCTCGCAAAAATTATCTATCCGAAACTGCCATGATGATGCTATCTCGGGGTGTTCAAAGTTTCCGTGGAGTCGTGTGTTACCCGGGAACAATAGATGTTTGGGATAGACGCTAGGTCGGTCGAGAAATGGTAAGTCTTAAAACAATTTATGACGTTTTTTTTCGCACAGACTTTAACTACCTACGTACTCTATCTAAGAAGATGTCTTATTTTTTTCCGAGGGTTGCTTTGGTATTGTGTTTCTTTATCGCTGTCTGTTTCTCAATTACGTATCGTGCATCTTTTTTGTCCGCGAAATATGTCTTGTATATGTACCGTTGTAGGATTGCGATGCTATGTATTTATGTTTGATGAAAAATACATATAAACAATCCCCATACACGTACTCTGTACGCATTTCAAAACTACCAAAAGTCCACATATTCATCGATTCGATAAATCACCAAATGGCCTGAGCGTCCCGTAGTTTACTACTTCACTAGTTTACTGGTTTGCTGGTTTATTACCTAGATAAAAGTGTATTTGTAGTGCGGCTTACTAGGTGAGTACCTAGGCTAGGAATATTGTCGCACGGTTAATAGGGTGTTGGCTTTTCTATATTTAGATATATTTAGATGTATCTGGTATATATGGGGAGATAGGTAGATGAGTATCATTTTCGTGCAGAAACGGAAGATGGATGGATTTAAGAGTGGAGTGTGGATTGGTAGATTACTTTTGGGGATTACCTTTGGGATTGGAATAGAAAGGGGTATATATGATGGTATTCGGGATAAGGAGGGAGTGCTGGGGATGAATGGGTGGATGAATAGATGATTATGTAGGAGGAGGCTTTATTGATTGTAGAGGGTTCTAAGGGCTGATAATGGGTATGATGGGTGCGATGGGATACGGGAGGAATAAATAGATGGGTGGATGGATGATTATATTGGGATTTCTTAACCTTCTAACCAAACCTTCTATCGGTTTAGGCGTAAATAAAATAGAAGTCATCTTTTTGATGTGGATTTTCTGGAGGTAACCCAGATAAAGTGAGACTAAGGAATATTTCCAGTTCGACAAATTATTATTACTCTATGTCGTCTAACCTAACATGCATTTCCTTCTTCCGCCAACATCCCCGTCCTCCACCAACATCCAACATCTCCTTCATCCATCAAATTCCCCAACAAACTTCCAAACCCATCATCTCCTACTCCGCCCCACTCCCACCACCAACTCCCACCCTAACCACCCATCCACCCATCAACCACCTCCAACTCTCCACTCCCGGCTCCCCCCTAAATCCAAACCGGAAACAACAAAACCCTCGCACAACTACTAGGAACCACATACGGATCCGGCGCATCAAAATACTTAATCATCTGAAAAAGCTGCGGCGCATTCAACCCATGACTCCACTCACAAACCACCCATCCATCCGCCTCCTCCTCATCAACCTGAAACCCGGCACTCCCTTCATTGACAAACTTGCCGCTTCCGTAGCCAGCGGTAATGGTCACCGGTTCCCAACGCGCGTAGTTGGTATCGGAGGGAAAGGCGTTGATGCTAAATGGGTAGGCGTTTACGTCGAATTGGAGTTGCGAGGAGTTGAAGTACATGCGGGAGCCGGTGGAGTTGGTGGGGTCGACGAAGACGGGGTCGGCCATGCCGGCGCCGGTGTGGTAGGCTTCTACTAGGGTGGGTGTTAGTTGGGGTTTAGGGATGGGGGGATGGTTTGGATTGGTTTGGATTGGTTTTTGGCTGTGGGAGTGGGATTGAGAGGTTGAGTGGGAGATTCAGTGTTTGATTGTGGCTGTGACTTACAAACCCATCCATTGTGTGTGTAATCTCCATCCGTAACAGTCATATGAAGATAGAATTCCCGAGTATTGTTCAAAGTACCCGGAGTCCAAGCATCCTGTCTCGACTCGATAGTTGGAGCGGCCGAGACCAAAGAAAGAATGCTTGAAGCAGCAAGTGCGAGATTGCGCATTGAAACCATGATTGGTCGTTAAGTTATTTGTCGAAAATAAGTACTAAGTTTAAATCTCGAGTAGAGTATATGCGAGTATGATAGGAACTGATGATGATGATGATGATGGAGAAAATACTCTGAATCGGCGTGCCCAAAGTCCTTATATACATATTCCCTCACTCATAAACAGACGAACTAAACCATTCCCACACACCTTGCATTCCATGAATTCGAAGCACCACCTCACCGCATCACTCAACTTCCACATTTCACATTACCAGCTCCAAACAGTTTAGTTCCCCGTTTGTCATCCGGACAGAGCGATCGCGACGCAATATCCAAAACCAGTTCGTATTCAGAATTTCCGTGTCCCATCAATTAGGAACCCGTGAAGATCCTACACATTATCCTATCCTATACGTTATACTAGACTAGAACGTACTGTACGATATGATAGCGGCACAAAGATCATAGATTCGCGGTATCGTCGTACATACCCGGTAGTGGCGAACAGCTCACTTCACCTATCGAGGATCGATTAAGCGAATATCTATTTGTATCTTGCTTAGTACATATCCGAGTAGTATACAGTTGTCGATCGACCCCGCATCATTTTAAGATCTTATATGGTGCGGTGCCACCAAACCCAGTCTGGATGTAAAGTCTCACAATAGATAACCTTACGGAACATACAAACAAGGTCATAAACTACTAGGGAAGTAAGAAATAGCATGATTCAAGCATCGTATTGTAAAGATGATTAATTCTCCGAACTCTTAAATCCTTCCCGTATTTATCGTTCTCGAGGATGGTAAGCTTGTGGGTGATTCTGTGATGGAGGAAAATCAATGTAATCAATCAATTCTCTAAAAGCCCCGCCTCGTATCGGATTACGTGAGGGGATCTGCAGTATGTGCGTTTGTAACATGTATGTAAGCTTCGTGTTTGCCATGGAGTATCAGATGGTAGGAATGTGATAGGATATGATAGGATATATTCATTTTTATTCATATTTATTTTGCGCAGGTATATGGAATTGTATGGTGAACGTTGTTGTGTGTTACTTTGGTGTTATATTTCTAGAAGAATATTTATACATTCGATATTAGAACTAAAAGTAAGATCTTATTTTGCAAGAACTTAACCTTGCGCACTATATGAGAAGATCTATTCCAGAGACCATACAATAAATAAATATAACCATTTAAGAATTTACTATCCAAATCGCAATCATCAATTCCGCGTCTTCTACTCACAGTTTTGTTGTGTTTTGTAGTTTACACCTCAACACAAAATATAGCTCATAGAATAAATTATCATTGCTATCCGGAGGAAATGTTATGAATGTTTTCCATTAATCACAAAGGCTTCCATCGCACATACTGTATATCCCCCATGAAAAATCTCCCGGAACTGTACACAGCATTACCTTGAGTACAAGGACGTTATAATTACCACTTCAATTCATCCGTTCATTTCCTCCACGTTATAATTCTTTCCCATTCTCAATATCCAAAAGCTCCACCAGCCCAAGCCCAAGATCCGAAAATACTACGACTTCTTTCTTAATCCAAATTCGCCCTCAATCAACTCCAATATCTTTCCCGCGGCATCTTTTCTTCCTCCATATTTCTCTCGAACAAGTTCACCCATTTCCTTTGCTTTTTCCTGAATAGATTTATCTTCCGTCACTCGAATCAATGCCTTTCCACATTCCTCTCCATCAACATCAGGAGCATAATTCTTACTTCCCCACACACCAATACCGAAAAACTCCGTCTTCTCGGCATAATCATACGTATCAAACCAACAAGGCAGGATTAATTGAGGAATCCCAGTCTCAATGCTCTCAAAATACGAGTTCGCTCCGCCGTGATGAACACAGGCTATGATGTGACCAGATCGAAGGATAGAAATAGGTTCTGGCTTGAGCCATTTTACGAGCTTTACTTGAGCGGCAATAGGAGCGAGTATTTCCTCAATAGCTGGATCGGCTCCTGAGGGTGTAGGTTTGAGTTTCCAAAGTACTTGGATGGATGGATTGTGGGATAGGAGGATGCGCACTGCGGTTGCGAGATTGCGATTGAAATTTACGCTTCCATTTAGATGTGATCCGAAGTTGATAAGCACGGTTGGTTCTTTCTCCAACCATTCTAGGAGTTCTGGGTCTGCTTGAGAGAGCGGGTGGGAAGCGAAAGTGAGCGGTCCACAGGATGTCACATTTTCCGGGATATAGGGTAGTTTGAGATCAAACTCTCGTCCAGTGGGAAGCAAATAATGGATATCTTTGGAGTATGGAACAAAGAATGGATATTGTCCGGGAATGTTGGCTTTCTTACGTCCAGCTTCGATAGCTTTGATATTTGGGCTTGTGACGATGATGATTATGAGACGAATCGTGAGGATGATGTTCAAGGGGATGAGATACCATGGGAGAGGAAAATTGAAACCCGAACATACACTAATCAGACTGTTAGATCGGATTTTTTGTTTGAAAGACGGAGAAGAAAGACTTACGAGGCCAAACCCCATAATGAAAAGCCATTTGGTTGAGCTTGAGCTAAAGTATCCTTGAAACTATTTGGGCTAATACTCATGGTTTTCTTGCCCAAGACAGCACATGCATCAAAAGCATGCGAGCATAATTTCTCCACCACAATACCGTCCGGATTGACACTTTTAACAATTTCAACACAAGAATTAACTCCCTTAACATACTCTTCAGGAGTATAGGACGCCAGGATCAATGTCATATGCGCATAGACTCTCCATGCTTCTCTAAAACCAACGCCATGCCGTAGGCCATTCTGACCATCCTGACCAGGCAAGATTGATGCGATTTTCTCCACCATCCCAGGGCAGTCTATCGGATGGAAAACTGCTTTGCTACAACCAGTTGGTATTAGACCATATTCGCCAGCATTCAATTCATCGACTCGTGTTCGAATGGGCGAACGAAGATTTCCATAGTCGATAATATCAGAGACTTCCTCCGCAAGGGCACGTGCTTCAAATGAGGCAATATGAACTTCTGCCCCTCTTATAATAAGTTCATAGGCTGTTGCGAATACCACGTTACTTTGGCCATACTCGCTGTTTGTCATGAAAAGAATTTTTCGAGGCGGTGTTGAAGTAGACATAATTGATATAGAGTAGTAAGTAAGAGTTGAGAAATTAGTTGTAGAGGATGATGATGTTTTATAAATTTAACAGGGAATTCGAGGGGTAGTTCGAAGATTACATATGTATACCCAAAATAGCTAAATTGAAGCTATTCACTTAAAAGTGGGGGTTAAATCATCACCCAGCGCCGTAGAAGACAGAAAAGGTCGTAGCTCCCGAGGCTATAGATCCAATCTCGTTAAAGATTTCGAATTCACCCAAGAATGGCGATGGTACTGCACCGTACTTGAACCTGCATTAACGTGTTGACTACTAGCAAGTAAGAAACCATTGGAAGGATTCTGACTTATAAACGCTCTGATCAATATCTGCAGGGTGATATTAGTGTGGAGCTGGTGATTTTATCAATCGCACAACCATTGATTAGCTCCTATTTAAGGTGTTTTAGCGAGAAACCTGGCTGTCTACTAATAATACACCACGATTCTTTCAACCTACTACAGTCGTCTCAACTTTGAAATGAACCTGTTAACAGACTGCATTAGGGCTTTGATAGTTTCTATTTCGTTCTCACGGGTTTTGGTACTATGAAGAACTGACTAGCTTTCTGTAGTCATGCTATTGTAGCGGTGTTATCTACGCTCACTACGACCATGTTGTCGCCATTTGTTATTCTAGCTTCGAAGACAACTCTTCGACATGAACATTTGGCTTCATTGCCAATGAGGAGTTTGAGACGGCTGTTCCCAATGAACTCTTGCAGTCAATCAAATGAACGATCAGCTAATTGGGAAAATCTCGAGCCTACGACTGGTATCACCATCCAATTCCCCAGCCAATTCATCTTCAAAGCGTTTGATTCGTCTCGAATGAGCCTCATCAATGGCCCGATGCATCGATTTAAACTCAGTAGTATAGCACGGGGTGTCAATGTGACACTCCCCAACAAACTTGTAGTCTGAATATGTATAGTAGGATGTTTCTGAAACTCCCGAGAGATGTTTTTTATTTTCCTTCTCCAAATCAGCAAACCGCACACGCTTTGGTCGAAGAAGAAAGGGGGTGGTCAGATCAGCTGCTAGAAAGCAAATAACATCTCCTTTTCTAGCTGCTGCTGGCACTAGAGTTAGAGTCCCATCTTCAAGAGTGGCAAACTTTCTGTTGTAAAGAACCTCGGAAAAGATCGTCTTGGATATTTCACCATTTTCTATCACGGCATGGGCCCACAGAATAATACTCAATGTGGAAGCGAGGCGGCTTGCGGTGGTGATGCTGCTCCGAAGAAAGTCTTCACTCCCTTTAAAAGAGTGTAAGTCATCCAGAGACAAAGTCGAAGCAATTTCCTTAACTACATCCAGCCCTAAACCAGATTTAGTAAACATACTGGTAAGTGGTAAACGAGGCCTTAAAAAGACTTCAAGGGGTTGTTCCGACAGATCAATATCATGATAAAGCGGTTCAATGGTACTGCACCATCGATTGTATATTCCAGTCAAAGCCCGAGTCCAGACCTCTTCAATGGAATCTTTTTGTGGCAATGAAAGTAGAAAGTCTTCCTTTTGTAACTTCCAGGCAGCTTTTACCGGAGTGATAGCTCGTGAAGTTTTACTAATAGTGCCCGCCGACCAACCAGAGCATACGAAGGATGATTTGAGCCACCAACATTGTAGAGACTGATAATGACCCTTTCGTTTTCTACGGCAAGCACTCGACCCAGTCCCGCCCTCGACATATACCATTTCTCGCAAATATCGGTAAGGACGGGGATATCCTCTCAATGTCCAGTCAGGTGTCCATGATGGCAAATCAAGTTCTTTCTCCTTATGCCAAATCTCCTTGCCACCTTCTATATGTGACAGCACTTCTAATTTTCTGTCGTCCGGAGATGTTTCAATGCAGTAGCGTGCCAAATTTGTGTAGACGTCCTTTACACTCCTGGAGTAATCAACCACTAGTGCCATATTCTGAGAATATTCAACATCTGGAGAGCCTTGTAAGATCCCTTTGTGCGCGAATAGCATATCTCGCGGATCGGAGACCCCTAGTCCTCTCCTTGCCGTTAAGAGTTCTAAAATATCCTTTACTGGGATATCAGACGGCTTTCTAGTTAGCTTGAAGGTGTCTCGTCTTTGATTCATTGCAACAAATCTACCAAGTGACTCATGTAACCTAGAGGGACGAGAGCCTGATATTGAGATTGAGATTGTTTCAAATGCATTGAAGAGCTGTTTCCACTTAACACGGAGTTGCCCACACTGCACCCATGGATTTGCTGAAAAGATCAATTCTTGAAGGACCCATATTCTTGTGAACCAAGGTCGTTCCAATATGTCCAAAAACAAATCCTTTACCTTGTCTAGATCCATGCTCTTGGAAATCGCAGCTAATTTGTCCATTGCTGTCGAATTTTGGAAGTCCAGGCTCCGATCATGGCTACGTTGAATTACTTGGAGAAGTAGTTTTGATGATTCGGTAGACTCGCCGAGATAAATGACTGTGTTCCGTGCGACCTGGTAGACTCTTCCAATCTGAACTACTTGTTTGCTTTTCTCATTGTCATTGGTTTGGTCGATGCAAATTGCATCCACCCATAACAGTTGTCCCCTTGAGGAATCACGTAGGTGACGTAAAGCCGAATCGAGGTTAGCTGTGACCTCGAATGTTTTGTTGTCGATGTATATCGATTTTGTCACTCGTGCGTCGCCCCAGACATAGGAAAGTGCCGTATATCCAGAAATGATATCATTTTCGCATTTAGTCAACGTGGTCGTAACTAAGGTGCAATGAATATTGGTGGTAATGTCAACAGAAGGCTGTAGAACCAAAAGTCGAATCGAATCGAATTCATTTAATGGCTTGTATTGATACCTACTTTTTGCCATCCCATCACGATGCATGGGAATTGAGGTAGTTTAGTGGTGCGGTAAAGAGAATCGAGCCTTGCATAACCCAACAGCGTGACGGCTTACCAGGGTGGGATACTTTCTCCCACTTTGGTGTGTACTATTAAGGTCACGTAATATAATTATCAGCTATTTAACCATCAACACATCGATCACTCATAAATTTTACACACCCACCTCAATCCCCAATAAGTTAAAAAGCACAATTAGCACCTTCATTTGCAAAAACATAAATAACAACCTCTCCAACATCCCATCAAGATTTCCAAGGCCCAAAGGAAAAGTTCCGAAACCCATCACGTGCACTATCAAATTTCTAAATTTCTACCCTGGATCTTAGATTTATTCTCAACTCTTATAAACTTACTCCTTTATATCTTTTGTAGCAAATTATAATAACGGAGCACTTTTGTTCCTCAACCAACAAATGATATAAACCCTCCTTTCCTTCCATTACCTATTCCTTCCGCTCCCATTTTCCACTCCCCAAATCCAGCAGCTCAGCCAAGCTCAGCCCAGCCCAATAAATATCTATTTCCAAGTACTACATACAAAAATTACCTACAAACAATATCTACAACCCATCCACGGTGCTGCGTGCATTTCTCATAATAACTTCATTTCCCCTAATATCGTATACAATACATACAATACAATATTTAATTCAAAGCTCTTACAAAGATATCATCAATACAAATCTCATTTTCTTATATTAACCAGAAAAACGTCTTATCTAAATACTAGATATCAATGTGGTCATAGTGTGGATATTTTTAACTAGTACTGATCACACACAAGGTGGCATTTGTAAAGGCAGTATGTTGTGTTAAATTTGCGGAATACAGATATATACATATACAAAATATACAACAGAACGAAGGAGAAATAAATTTTTATATACATATACAAGCCCAGTGATATTTATGCCATTGGGACAAGATCATCCTCAAGTGGCTTTTTCCCCCTCGCCTGTAAATATGTGGCAACCTCATCGACATCTTTCCAAACTCTCAAAATATTCCCACCTACTACCTTTGCAGCATCTTCATCGCTAACACCTTGTTTAAGAAGTTCGGCTACTAAGTCCGGATATTTGCTTACGTCATCCAAACCCTCCGGTGTAGTTTCTATACCATCAAAATCACTACCGAAACCTACATGTTCGTAGCCAATGAGATCACCAATATGCATGACATGTCTAGCAACATGTTCTAACGTTGAGTTGTTTGGATAGAAATCTGGAAGTCCATTTGCATTGGACGAATTCGCGACACATGATACAAAGTCTGGTGCAAAATTGACCATAACGAGGGAATTGGTTTTTTTGACGAGTCGTAGGATATCGTCCGGAACATTGCGTGGATGAGGGCATATCGCATAGGCAGATGAATGGCTAAAAATCACAGGCGCAAGACTACCTGGCCAGTCCGCTTCCAAGCCCAAGACTGATCGCATAGTGTCTGGACTAGTGTGAGAGAGGTCAACAATCATCCCTAGTCGGTTCATCTCATGTATGAGTTGACGACCAGCGAGAGAGACTCCTCCCCAGTGAGGTTTTGACTTTTCAATGCCACCTCCTGGAAGCTCAACAAGTGCTGCATCTGCATAGCGGTTGTGGCAATTGTGTGTTAAGGTTGCGTAGCGAACTCCTAGATTATAATACTGGCGGAGGTTGGATATGGAGTTTCCGATTTGATGAAGACCTTCAATGATATATGGGGATATGAGTTGGCCATTTTTGAAAGCCGACAAAGCAGTGCTACTATTCCCGGGAAGTGAAAAGTACGAAGCGTAGGCGGCTTGGAGACGAGCGAGGAGATCAAGTTGGGATAAGGTATATGCAACGGCTGAATCAAAGTTAGTTGGATTTGACCTCGGTTAAGTCTTTTAGATATATAAGAGGAAATAAATGGGGAAAGGGGAACAGTATGAATGAAAAGGGGCGATGAACGTTCTAAACAGGCGGTTCAATTGTCTAAACTAATAGACTAGACATGAGCTTTCAACATCTGAAAACAATTCAATGTTCAAAGTAAATTCAATATTCAAAATTCTGGATATTCAAACACTTCCGACATATGAAAGTATTTTCATTGGACTACAGTCCGGACTGTTTAATACACTGGAAATTTTAAAAAGGGTAAGAAGAGATGAGAAGGAATATAAAGGGGCTTGAAAAGGCAATCGGAACACCAGCAAACATCACTAACAATGACCATAATTTTCAGTAGAAAAGTCACTCCAATTTGAGGGACATGGAGCAAATGCACTCCAGAAAGCTCCTCCGTTCTTGCCGGCTTTCAATCGAGGAAGATCCACGTGATGAGGCATTCCCCCATTCTCAAAGACATGGGTGAAGCTCTCATCATAGATGTGGTTCTTATAAACGGATCGAATGAAAATTGCAAGATCATTGTGTCCATCTATATCCTATTAGCCAGGTCTGAAATTCATACTGTCCAAGTGTGCCAGATGACCATACCTATGAGTGGTGTCTCAGTCAAGATTCTATCCACTCTCTGCTCAATTGTCTTTGGCTCTTGACTTCCAAATGGCCAACCGTGATCAAATGTATCATTGACAAAACCATCGGGTAAAATTAGCATAGTAAGTATAAGGAGGGAGCATAATCCCAGAACCCCGGCCATTAAATCATTGAATGACCGTTGCCCACGGCCCGTGGTTGGTTCAAAGCAGCCATTTCGAGTATTTTCCGGGTCATCGGGGTCATCAGCATTGATGTTGTGATGCGACGAACCCTTGATTTCTGCGTATGATCTATCTCTTGATAATAGAGGATCCTGTTCAGTGTAAGGCATGACTATGCGACGGTAGGAACAAGAAATTTAATAAGATCTGACAAGTTGATGCTCGCAACAAGTGAGAAAGTGAGGTAGCTACAGTACATTACATTACATTAACATTACCAAGCATTCATGTTATCTTTAGATAAGGAATAGTCACATGACCATCTCATTTCCACCCTCGTCCTTTACAAGACCCGGTGGGCCAAGAGCTTTTAGTATTTCCCTACGGCGTGCTCCGTAGTATTCCCCAGTTTGACCCAATGAATTGTCACGAATGCGCTAAGCCCCTTTAATGGATCACGGGAAGTTTCCTGACTTAGCTATTTTTGGACATCGTTGACCCTGGAACCTTTAATTTAAGGCCTCCATTCGTCAGCCACTCCCTTGACTCCCTGCACGTCAGTTCTGCAAATTTCAAGAAATTGTATAGTGAGGGCGGTGCAATGCAGTGAGTGAAGTCTGGAAAGGTACAGAAAGTTTAAATGCGAGTTTATATTTACTCGTATATTAAGATTGAATAATATAAAGGTAATTGGAGGATAAATAATAAATAATAAATAATAAATGATAATTACAAACGATGAATAAGATAATAACTAATAGTATTCTATGAATAAGGAGAATTCAAATTCTAATCATTCAATACCATCCATACCCAGTACACACCTATATACTAGGTAGTTGTATCATTTTATCTTTTTATGATTCACGACCTTTGCAAACTTCTTCTGTTTACATCTTTGAATACACTTAGCTACCTTTCTACTAATCATAGTCTGTTGGCCTATAAAATAAAGATACCAACTGTATCATATCTATCACATCCATCCAACAACTTTGGTGATAGCTTCACCCATCGCAAAATCCTGAAACCCCCCCGGATAAACGAAATCAACGGCATCTTTCGTTCAAAAGGCCCTTGCACTGCTAAAATCCGCAATCCGTAAATCCTTCTATTTCTATTTCCATTTCCCTGCCTGCTCTTTTACCACCATTCACTTTTTCACGTCAAGTCTGTCATTCGTTGAACAAGATCCCTTTTTACAGTCAAAAATTCTTCTTCTTTATTTCCATCCTTTCGAGTACCCAACGAACACAATAAACCCTGCTATTATTGCAGTCACGAATCAACGATAGAGTACATAATAATGGCGCCGCCCAGTTTTACGGACTCCTTTTGGTCTGGGGACTATGCTGGAGGTAAGGGGCTCTCCTCTCTGCACGCTGTACACATCCTTTCCTGCAGTCATTTACTAATGCTCTTCATCCAAATAGGTCTTGGTGTTCTCTTCGGTAAACTGCAGCAAGGAGTCGCCGAAAATCAACAAGTTCTCACCATTGCGCGAATGCGAGCGGAAGCCGAAGATGCTTATGGTATGAAATTAGGAGAAATTGGTCCCGCGACGGATAAAATAACAGGAGGTTTCAGCAGAGATGATGGAGCCAGTGTTCGAAAGGTATTGAAGAACTTCCTCTTGTGCCAACATGAGGGGTGGTGGGCTGACAAATATAGGCATACGATGGAGTACGGACGGAGATGGTAGAAGCTTCAAAAAATCACCGCAAGATCGCACAAAGCATTCGAGATCTTGTTGTCGCCCCCTTTTCGCGCTGGTGTGATGCGCATGAGAACCGAGTTCAAAATTCACAGGACGACCTTCAAGCGCGTATAAAACTTCACGACAAACAAGCAGAGCTGGTCAAGAAATTACGCAGTCATTACTTTAACAAGTGTCGATTAGTTGAAGATATTGAGGAAGAAAATAAATTGGCTTTCCAGGATCCGGAAAACAGTCCCAAGGCCAAGATTCCAGAGATCAAGGTTGGCAATAAGGATGATGAAGAGGATGATCTGTCTTTGGAGATTGGTGATGAGATTTACAATTCGGAACAGATCAAGAAGATCATGACACACCTTTTACAAACAATCAAGCTGGTCGACACAAAAGTTCCAATCTTGGGTACATATCAAAATACAACATCTGGCGCAGACATAGTGGAATATTTCCAAAAATATATGGGAGCAACGAGTATCAGCCATGCCGAACGAATTGGGCAAGATTTGGTCTCGCATGGCTTTTTACGCTTAATTGGAAATGTTGGCAATATCTTCGCAAATAGTTCCAAGATGTTCTACCAATGGCGACCCAAGGGTTTCCAGTTGACTGGAATCCCCGAAAAGAAGCCCAATGTTGGCCGAACTTTCTCTGTCGCTTCTAACTCCGATTTCGCAGATTCTCCTGTTGTTGGATCAGTTTCTGAATATTTGGCGGGCTGGAATCCGTTGAACAATCAACATCCTAACGAGACCCCAGGCGATCGTCTTCGTAGAGAGGCCGCGGAAGCAGATGAGAGATATAAGCAGGGTGTTAAGAAATTAGACCATTTGCGATGTCAACTGGAGGAGGCCATCTTCGAGCATTTGAGATATTTGGAACGTTGTGAGCTTGATAGACTCAAGGCTATTAAGACCATCATTCTCGATTTTTCCGGAACGATTAGTAATGTCATTCCTAGTCTGCAATCTACCGTAGACAAGATGATGCTTTACCAAGAAACTGTACAACCTCTTGGAGATCTGCGATATCTTCTCGAAAACTATCGCACTGGTGGTTTCGCGCCAAAGGTTATCGTCTATGAGAATTACTACAACTCTGCGGACGAACAAACTTTCGGCGTTGATCTGGAGGCCCGGGCTCGAGGGGATCGAAAGAGGGTGCCAGTTATCATTACTACCATTCTCACTTTCCTCGACAACAGATATCCTGACCTTGAAGGCGATGCAGCTAGGAGAAGTGTTTGGTTGGTTGATGTTCCCCTACATCAAACTCACCGAGTACGAGGTGTTCTCAACACCGGAAAACCATTCCCTATAGAAGCTTTGGAGCCATACGAAATTCCTATCATTGCAAGCGTTCTTAAGTTATATTTACTGGAATTACCAGGTAACTTCAACCCCCTTGGCCAATTCATGAAGAATTACCTCAGCTAACTCATCATAGATTCTTTAGTGTCATCTCACGTTTATGAAATTATGAAAACGATTTACTCAACCCCAGCATCCGAATCTACCGACTCAGCTCGAATCTCAGTTCTACAAAATACCCTCAGCCAGCTCAGATTAGCCAATATTGCTACTCTGGATGCTCTCATGACACATTTCACTAGATTAATTGAACTCACTTCAGCCGATGAGGCCTATATCTCTGAGCTCGCGACAATCCTTGCTCCATGTGTCCTTCGACCAAAGACTGAAACCTCGATGACCATGGAAGAGAAGTACTCATACCGTCTGATTCGCGATCTTTTTGCTCACAAAGATGCCATCTTTTCCGAACATAAGCGAGCTTCATCGCTCAATTCTGCTTCAAATATCGGTACACCAGAAGACCCAGAGCTATTAGTACGGATGAAAGCAATCGACGAGCCAACATGGAAGCTAGACAAAAGGCAATAATTGCAGCCGGTGGAGCTAGAAGTCGCGCTACTAGTCCTGCCCCAGGTCCACGTGGCCACCGCAGAGATAGAAGTTCAGGACCACCTGCGGCCGAGACACGATTCCCAGTACAAACATCTCCTACAGCTACAACTGATTCCACTCGAAATTCTAGAGGCAGTACGAGACAGAGCCTTGAAGTCCCATCATCAGCCGAAGCTAGTCCAGTCGTTGAACCCAAACCATCTCCTTTGTCATCATTAGTTAATGGAACTGAAGCTAGCGTCGCAAGTGCCACATATATGCCTGGATCTGGATCTGTCTCTGGATCTATATCTGGATCCGTATCCGGATCCGGAGATGGAACAGATGAAGTTACGTTAGAAAAGAGAACTAGCTTTCCGGCTGTTGAACAGAGAAACAGTTTAGGACGAGGCGGGCAAGTTTCGAGAAATAGTATAGGAAGAAAACCTTACGGCAACGTTGCGAGGATGAGCAAGAATTTCGATATGGTAGCAGCAGGTAATAGAGATAGTGTAGGAAGCATTGGTGAGGTACCAGAACCAGCCGCGGAACAAAAGATCGGGGTTAGTTTGGAGGATAAACCTATGGACGATTAAGAGTCAATATAGGATTTGATGGGATTGAAGGATTACATACAAGACGTTAGGATGGATGGATGGACGGACGGACGGACGAGCACAAACATGAATGTTATATGAAAAGTAAATCATGTACGATAATATGGTACGATATTTGCGACTGGCTTTATTCTTTGCCTACAGAGCGAGAAGCGGGATGGTCATTTGATACCCTTCCCTTGACAGTTTTTTTGCTTCTTTTTTTGTTTTTGAGTTTGAGTTTCAGTTGGTTTTTGCGCTTTTCGATGTTCCATGGGAGATGAATACACAAAATTGTTCATAGAAGTGAAGTGTATGGGTTTTGTGTGTGTTTGTGGTTTTGATTGTGATTAAAACTGTGATTGTGGTTATGATTATACTTGTGATTTTGACTGTGACTAAAACAGTGATATTCTCCAGAGTTATCTTCATCGATTTATTTAGTAGATATAGGAGTTTTTTTGTGGGGGGAAGAGGCGCGCGGGGCTGAGGAGGTTTCTAGACACTTTTTAGAGGAGGCAGATGGGGGAGGTGGACAAGAGAAGAGCATCCAACTCATTTGCTGCAGATATTATATTGTAATATTTTAATATCTCAATATCACATGTACTCGGTATAAGGAGAATTTACAATTAGAGTTGGTTTATAGGGGTCTTTGAGTGTATAGTGTATGGGCTGCTTGCTGTGTGTGTGCTTTAGGAGAGAGTTGGAGGATTGGAGGAGGGAAGAATGGGAGAATTAGATAGAGTATATTAGATAGAGCTATCGTTAGTCGCCTCAAAGTCAGTCGGTCTGTGAAAATGAGATCATCTACCAGCACCCTCGTCCCAATAATCAGCACACAGTATTAATTCCACGTATTATCGTCCTATAGCATATATTTCGTTCGTTGTATTTTGAAGCAAAATATATTATCTTACATTTCTTCATTGCCAAGAAACAGTGGGATAATAGAGGTAATTGGTGAGCGGAAAATGGAAAATTAGACTATAGTTTCAACTCCCAAGCCAGATTGTAGATATGAGAGAGTTGAGTTCGTTCTGCTTCTTGTAGTTGAGATGTCTTGATACTTCTATGTCGCTTATTTTCGCCGCAGCAGAAGCTATACTGTTGATGGAGGCGGAAGTGAAGAGGTTGAAGTTGTCGTTGAGATGTAGGGACTGCAAGTTAAAAGAACATCTTCAGCGGAGCAAAGTTCCCGCTTCAAGACAACATTCGCCATACAAACTAGAAGCCTCTCCCATAAAAACCAAATCCGTCCTCTAGCCTGCCACTAAATCTCCCCGTGGTTCCATAAATGTCTCCAACTCACTCACTCCTTTAAATTCCTTGTCTAATCACAAATACCACTATTTCCACCTCTTCCATAAACATAAGATCTTACATCTCAATCATGCTACTCAGCTAATTCAATCACATACATCAGATCACCCCCACGGAATCCGACGCAGAAGGAACTCTGGAATTATAAAATAAACAAGCGAGTACTAAACGAGGGGGATTTGGCTTATGCGCTGTATAAGAGAGGTAGGGTACAGGAGGAAGACTATGTATATAGACGTGGTTTTATGAGAATGAATTTGAGTTCTAAGGAGAGGATTTCTATGGGAAGTCTGAAGATTTGGCTAAGGAATGGACAAGTTTATCTCATGATGTTGAGATAATTAGGGGGCTTTGATTTTGGCGTTACAGGTTATACTGGAAATTCGAGGATGAACTTGTGCTTTTTTAGGTTGATCGGGAAAGATGGTTTACATATAATTACAAATTATTCTTTCTTCCAACGTAAAGTGCGTCTATATCTTTATTGATGCAGGGCTCAGTATATAGTCCTGAGTACAGCTCGGCAATGGAAAGAGGTCGATTCTTGGGTTTGCTTCGGAGGTTGAAATTTGTTTGGGTTAATTATTGGATTTCTTTTTGGTATCTGATTTCATTCGAACATTTGACACTTTTCAAATATTAACTGTACAACTCATAACATCACATACAATATACCAATTTAAACAACTAAACACGCTTCCTGTACATCAATCCCTGCTCCGATTCCCATTTCCAGTATCTTGTCTCCTTCCAAAATCTACTTCAATCTCTATACTAACTTAATTCAAAAAGTACAATACACACAAAACAGAAACCAATGTGTCCTATATATTACCTCTAGAATTGAACTGATCCAGCAGAAGTTTAAGCTCTTCATGGTAAGATCTGGCATCGAAAAATCACAAGGATAGGGTGAAACAAATAACTTGTATTAATTGTTATATATAGAAAATGATGTATGCTATACATAGAAGAAAAGGCTATCTGGGAAAGTCTCCTACTAGATTAGATGGTGTAAATAGACACGTTATATTTATGATATCCTGTGTGGAGGATTTATTATTATGAAATCAAGATGATGCAATATTTATCATTTGGATAGGTATATGAAGGAGAATAGGATATTATAATTTATTTTTTTATTATAAGGAAAAGAAGAAAAAGAGAGAGAACAATTGTTGGATCGGATGGATATGGGATCATGTGGGTTTTTATTGCGGAGTATACTCGAGTAGGATAGTGGCTAGAGTGTGAAATTATGAGGAACGCTTAGAGTTTATATGGAGCTCTGTGGTCTCTGTTTGCTACTAGATAGGAGGTATATGAACAACGATTTAGACAAGTGCTAAGAAATAGTGCGATGTATAAATGATGTGCATCGATACTTTTCGAAATATTCAGGTAGATACTTGAATCTATCAATATTACACCATAATAGTATCTCCACCAATATCCAACGCTCCATCTCCAGCTCCATCATTTTCAATAAACCCTAAACCATCCATTTCCCGTAAAGTATATTCTATAAGGTAACTCTCATCAACCAATTCTTCCATTCTCTTGTAATGTCTTTCCGAATATACCCTCAAAGCATCTAGCACTTCCTTTAAACTTCTCGGCCCTTGAGCTCCTTTAACTTTTAGATCCGATAATCTCGAAGCGGGGTAACTTTTCACGAGAACGGATAATATTCTTTGTGCAACAGATGCAGTCCTGGCGTTAGTATTCCAGTCTCGTATTCTGAGAAGAAGGCTGAAGATTTGAGCATCTGATAATGAGGCAAGGACAGAATCAACGGCTTTGAGACCTGATATACTTCCTTCTTCTTGAGCGCCAGTGACAACAGTTGTGAAAAGGGAGAGTAACCGTGCAGGATGATTAAGTGCAAGTGCGAGAACGATAGCTTCTCTATAGCTTCCAGCATGTATGAAATTTTGCAATTCTTGCTCCTGCTCGACAAATTGGGTATTGGCTGCCTCTCTTGCGGCTATGGTTGCCGATGTCGTATCCTTCCAGAATGTGACCGTTGAGTCCCCACTTCCTGATACTATCATGTTGGTTTTAGGATGGACAGTGAGAGCCCAGACTCGATCTTCGTGGTTGTCTAACGTGCATTCGGATTCTCCATTTGCCGCACTCCAGACCTTGACGAGCCCGTCACCACCTGCTGTGGCTATTTGTACGTGTTTTCTGTTTCTATCTTCAGGGGCAGGTAATCTCAGCCATGCCACTTTGAGTACAGAGTTGGTATGCCCTTCAAATGTTCGTAGACAGCTGTAGTCTGAAAGGTTCCATATCTTAACTGTCTTATCTCCACTTCCGGTGAGGATCAATCCTTTTCCTGAAGCCGGGCCGGAATCTCCTACAAGAGTTGGGGTATCTTTCGGCGCGAACTTTACAGACCAAACACCACGACGGTGACCACGTAATACACCTTGAACCTCTAATTCATCGGCAGACCAAATTTTGACGGTTCGATCTTGAGATGCAGATGCAAATAATTGAGAGCTGTGGTTGATGTCCAATGCATTGATGTCTTTGTCGTGAGCTTTGCGTGTGTATGAAGCTCTTGGTGCTTTTCCAGCCACCACCTGAGCTTGAATATCCCAGCGCTTAATAGTTTGGTCCTGGGAACCGGTCAACAAAAAGCTGGGAGGATGATCCAAAGGAGACTTGTAGGCGGCGGAAGATTCTGGTGGTGGCATATGAGGAAGTGCAATAGCACCAAGGGATTCTGCATGTCCAGTAAAAGTTGTGTGGCAGGTATATGAGGAGTTTTCGGGATCAATTCGCCAAAGTCGAGCAGTATTATCTTTAGCGCCAGTGGCAATCCAATGACCCGACCAGTCAATATCTAAACAGATGATAATATCTTCATGTCCCTTTAGTTGGGCGACGTCGGCACCAAAATATTTTGTAGACTCTGTAGAGTCAGTTGGAGAACCCTGATTTAGCGAAACAATCCGCAGTTCCTCAGAATTGGTAGCTAAAGCAAGAAGGGATTGATTGGGTAAAAGAAATCCTAAATCAATGATCTCGTCATGAGTACCCGAAATTCGTCGGATTTGAGGTAGGGCCGAGATGGTGACGGTTGAATCAGCGTTTTCCACGGGAGTGGTTGAGTGAAGGGTTAAAGTATGATCTGCTTGAATTGATAAAATGAAAGGAATACTGGGGAACGAGAGCGCGTCTACAATAGCATCTGCCTCCGCACCACTCTCCTGCGGTTGTGTGACTTCTCTGCCATTTTCCGTTTGCCAAAGCCTGATGTTTCCATTCGACCCTCCTGTATATGTGAACTTTCCAGCATTGATAAACCCTGCGGCTTCCACTTCTTCAAGCACGGGTATAACTTTTCGAATCTTCCACGTCTTCGCATCCCACCACATTATTGTCTTATCTCGACTTCCAGTAAGCAGCGCATTTTCTTCTGGCGAATAGTCTAAAGCTCGAACATCGGATACATGTGAATCTAAAACTGAAGCACAATTTCTCTTGTAAAGATCCCAAATACGGACTTTTCCATCTTGACTACCAGACGCGAGACGGAATCCTCTCGCGGTCTCGTTCTCATTGCTTTCATCATCCGCTTGACTCTTCAGACGTTCCTTCTTTCGATTTCGTGCTGAAATGCCTAATTCTTCGTCCTTACCACTCGCGACCAATTCGAAAAAATGTAGGGCGGAGATGAGTACATTAGGACCTCGAAATGTATGTGTGACGTAACCGCCGGCAATATCCCAAACTTTCACCACTCCATCTGCTGCTCCAGTTGCCAGTAGTGTGCTCGTCTGGTCCACAGCTAGAACTACCACTGGTGTAGCATGCGGCTTAAGAGTTCGAAGAAGTTCGTAGGTGAGAGTAAGGTCAGAAGCAAGTGATGGTCGTAGGGAGTAAATTCGCATGGACAGCGATCTCGAACATATGACGAGATGAGAAGCAGATGGGGTAACTGCAGGTTTGTTAATAATCGTTAACAGGGGAGATCAATGCAATATGACTTACGACTTAACGTCGAGATGACCTCTCCATCCTTTAGGCTTGAGTTAGCAATTGGAAAAGGTTAAATTAGCCAGGAAGGCAACCTACTCCTTCTATCCGGGCTAATTCCCTCCCTGTATCTAAATCCGTCAATAATGCATCCTCCCCAAGGGTTGTAGCAAGTATGCGCCCCGTTTGATCAAGCGCAACACTCCCTCCAGTATAAATTGGTTGTATAGTGTGCTCGGGTTCAAAAGTCGTTTTGTAAGGGGCTTTAGTAGCCATAATGACCGAGTTGATAGTCTCGCGAACTCGTTTCCTCGGTACAATGTCTAGATACCCTGGAATTGAAGCTGATGATGTTGATATCTTCTACCCTCAATATTTTCTCTGCAATCAAAAATATTTTGATGTTGACAGGGGTGAACGATAAGCTTAATCTTAGCGTAAAGTGTCACGTGCCCACGTGTAGTTCCAGTCATTCTTCCTTTGAAGAGAAAAGAAGAGTGTTTGAAATACATATAGTAGCTACCCACTGGTATTTTTCTTCATCAAAAATTATTTCATCGCCGTTATATGTTACGGATTATTGCGATTTGCAATTCTCATGGAAGGCAAACCATGCCTTGGCGCAAAGTTCTAATCACTGCATAAACAACCAGCAATCATGGGAAGGCTTGAATCATTGACGGCTTGGGCATTGGTACGTTATTTCTTTCCTTAACCCGCCGGCGAAGGCTTTCCATGTCTTTGTAAAACATATTGTACCAGTTTTCCTGTCTCATTACCTCTCACTCAGTTAGTATTTTCCCAATGTATTTCACAGTTCGAACACTCGTGGAAACTCCATATTTGAGAAAATACTACCATCGAAACGATATACCCACAAAAGCTTTATACTCACAAAACTCTAGGGTCGGACACCATATGAAGATCAAGTAATCTGGCCCACCCCACCAGATATTTTTGAGAATTCTGGCTATATACAGATATACGATGAACATGGCCATCCAAGGAATCCAGAGACAAAACGGAGAGAACGTGAGAACATTCGTGCAGCCAATGAAGTAATGCAAGTCACGGGTATTGTCGAAGATTTGACTGCTGTGAGGGCAGCTGCGAAGCTACACAACACTCAAAAGATTGACGAGACAATCAGAGGTCTACGAATATTAGAAGCTGGTCGTGCCACACTCCATGCTGGTGTTTGGGGTGTCATTGCCTTTAGGCGAAGGGTTTTGGTGCGTTGATTTACCAACTCGATGCAGTGCTATACTTACAAATCGAAGCTCTACAGATCGTATTCTGATGTTGGAATCCTGGCGCTGATCCAGCATGAGAGAGCTACAAGATCTGTCACGAACTTATGCTTTTCTGGACTTCACACTGTCATAGCATATCATATATCAGATTGGGTAGGTTGCTTCTTGGAAGTTGTCCTAGATCAAATGTTTGATGAAAATGAGAGGAAACTTACCCCGCAAGAAGTATGGATCAAGTACATAGCGGATAAACTGTGAGCATTTACATGCCTAAAAAGTTTTTGCAGCAACTGATGATTCCCCAGTGTTTACATCAGCTTTCGTTACATTACATTGCACTTACGAATGTTTGCCATGTTTTACCAGTTTGGCTTGGTCAAATCTAGCCAAATCTTACCTCCATTGATGTCATTAATTCCATTCTCGAAGACATCAATGCTTCACGCACAACCTCCACCTTCTGCAAACATCATTTCGATTCTCTCATGGTCATTGGCCTTGGTTCGTTCTACAACTCCAATTGTGGCTGTTTTATTCCATGGGAAGATCAAGTATATTATGTCGCGCCTCTTGTATCGACCCATATATAAATCTCTACCGCGGCCGACAGGAGAGAGTATGTTTGCTGGACTTGGGGTAGAAGCTCCTATCTTGGAATTTGACACTCCAGATGACGCCGAATTGAATGGTCCAGTTCGCGGTGGAGAAGAAGATACTCTACGAGCCCTTGAAGGATTGCCCCCTTTAGAAAGAACAGAATCTCGATCTCGGCGCCATACTAATGCCTCGATGAGCGTTGATGAGGATGAGGATGCGCGACCAACACTAATTAGCTTCGATGTTGATTCTACATCTACACCAGCCGAACCGACTTTTGGTCTTGGAACATGGTCGGCAGAGTTACGGAGTGCAAGCGATCCCAACCAATCGAAAGACATCAAATATCGCAAAACCGGGCTTACTATGCTTCCAACCATACTTGCCGCAGAAGGGTTTAGAGAATTGGCTGCTTCTATTCTTATAACACCGCTTGAAGCCTTAATGATACGATTCATTGGTAGGGCATACGGGAACAGAGTTGGTATCGATTTGGCGGATTTCTATGAAATAGGTTTCCAAATGCCTAGCTTGAAGCATCTGGTCGCTTCGTGGGCTTTTCAGTTTATAGCAACAGGACTTGTCTGGAGCGGATTTACCTTGGCTATTGAGTATATTGCAAACAGAAAGAAGAAGATAGCGCAGGGTAAACCAGCTGCTCTCGAGAGCGACTCTGACTGAAGTGATTCCTTTGGTTATCAAATATCAACGTCGCTAATTTTCGTACATGTTGTGTAATCGGGCCGAGTGCATCCCCACGGGCATTCAATTGAGGGTTCGTTCCAAATCAAATGATCTGGAGGTTGGGGAATGGAGACTGGAGTTCGTGGGACAAATGCACTACTCCATCCTTGTGGCATGACTTGTCTTGTGGGAGACAAACTTTTGCCTTAAAATGGATATCAGGGGGCACTCATTATGTCTAGCTGTGAACTAATGATCTCCTGACTCGATTAGGGATTTAGGAATGAGACTAGTCATAGATGCAACAAAATAAGTTGCGATGTTTAGGGAAGGCACACTGACTTGAATGTGGCTCGTGTTCTATGGAGCCAGAAAATCTTAGATTCGGTCTCTTTGTGGGTAGAGGAATTTTTCATGTCTGGCTGAAGCTAGGATAGATTAACTTTGACTGGTCAATGGTCACGAGGGAAGCGACGAAAAAGCTCCGGAAATAGCCAGAGCTTACCCCATACATAGTATACTCTGGAGTCTGTACCGAGGTATGCATAGCAATGGAACTTATGGAAGACACGAAGAACAATCGAGGTGATTTGGTTTGGAACTAACGCTTCTTATCTTCTGTGGTGAAAACGCCCAATTCAAGCGTGAAAGCTTGAAGTCATCCGAAAGATCTAAATGACGCCTTGTTTAGACTCAAGGCTCTGGGCGTAATGCTTGACTCGTTTTTAGTCAGCCAAGGAGATGTGCCGACAGCGGGACAAGGAAGCTTGGGTTCAATACATTACTAACTAAGCTTTTGCTGAAAAAAAGTGGTTGGTCTACTCGTAAACATCCTAGATTGTTGGACTCAACCGGAATTCGCCCGCTCGGACATTTTGGCTATGCGCAGACGACGATGGTAGTTACAGTAGTAGTTACAGTACACTACCGGTACCGGTAGCTTACCCAAGTCACTCACTCAGTTAGAGATGCTCTCGAATTTTCTACACATTGCTTACATTCCAAAGTTCTGTGGGTAATTCATCGCCAAGCGAGTGCAAGCTGTCAGAATGCCAAAATGTCAGATGCCAAAGATATCTATCAGATCGACATGAGCATCTCGACGATCTCGAATGCCTCAACTACCAGTGGTGCCAATCTTATAAAAAAACTTTTCTCTCCAGGAAAAGATTTTTAACAAATCCAGCTGTTCGTTTCAGGTCCGTGTGCGATCAACAATCATTTTCGGCGTTTTTGTGGATTCTACACCAGGATATCCGTATGGAGTATTCGATAAATGAGCCTAGCTTCAATATAGTGCGAGAATTTGAGCGACCAGCAAATGATATTAGTCGACATTCGCGAGGGGAAGAAATCTTATGCGACATATTTCAACTCTTTTTGGACTTTCTCGTGATTTTATCCAATAAGGAGATCTCACAATGATGAGCTACCACTGAACCGCCAGACGCGGGCCAAGGATTTCTCCACGCATGCGTGGCATGGTTGCATAATGCTAACCCTGACGCCAAAATTTCTGTTATTTTCGATCAGACGCGTAAACATCAGTTCAACTTCAAGCACAGGTTGTGCTACCAAGTATTACCGATATTCTACCAGGCTACCAACCCACCAGATTGAAAACTCCACTCCCCACTCTCCACTCTCCAGACCCCATAAGACTCCATGGGAGGGGAAAGTTTATGCAAATTTCTTATGGAGAGAGGATGATCTCTGCAAGATTTAGTAGTGGGAGCCGGAGACCCCAGGGGCAGATTTTATCATGGAATCTAAGAATCTAGTCCGATGACCTAAGTGGCTCTCATTCGGATATGCGCCTGCTTTTGTGATTCGTTCCAGACCTTCTCTTACCGAAAGACTTTCGCAGAGAATCGGACGACAACATGGCATTCTTCTACCACCTTACCATAATAGGAAAAATTAAGAAGCAAGTTACCATCTGTCAACCATAAAAGTCTAATCCTTGAAGGGAATATTCTTCGGTTGGAACTCGAGCAAAAGAAAGTTATCTTGGTGCCCCAGTGTTTTAAATCATATATCTTCATGCATTCCCCTCATCTGTTCTGCACTTCCCCGTCTTCAATACATTTAATTTTCTTTTCGCACCCTGAGATTTTTTCAAGGGGTCCCTATTATTAGCACGGGGTGGACAGTTCCCTCTAGACGATTTTTCCTGCACGAAATATTTTTAGACGCACACCATATCATAATAGAATTCTCAATCATGTCAGATCTCCATACCAAGGAGACCGTCGAGCATAATGACATCAGTTCCTCTCACTACACCACACCGGCTAAGCTGAGTGAGGAATTATCAGATTTCGGCAACGAAAAGGGCGCCATTCCCACTCGCCCAAATCATATTGGGAATCGAGTTTCAGAATGGGAGGCAATACAGATCGCTGCTGCGGGTGATATGGAGACGATTGATAATGAAGTGCAAGATTTGGAAGCAGAGGTCACAGCTAGAGGCAAATCTCGTTCCGACGTATTTCAGTTGAGCTTCAAGGACCCCAGGCACTACACTTGGTATGTACTTGATTGGCGATAGGATGAGATACATTAGCTAATTTATGTCATCCAGGTTATTAGTTGCTTTTGCCTCTATGGGAGGTCTGCTTTCCGGTATCGATCAATCTTTGATTTCTGGCGCAAATCTTTACATGCCTAAATCGCTTGGGCTCGATACAAAACAAATTAGTTTGGTCAGCTCAGGTGTACCATTAGGTGCTGTTGGTGGTGCATTAATGCTTGGTCCTTTGAACGAAGCCGTCGGACGAAAGCAAGCTATTGTATGGTCTTTATTCCTCTACACAATTGGCGCTGCACTCGAAGCTGGTGCCGTCAATTTTGCCATGATGATGGCTGGACGTGTTATTCTGGGTCTTGGCGTCGGTTTGGAAGGTGGAACTGTTCCTGTCTATGTCGCTGAGAGTGTCTCGCCCAAGTATCGAGGTAATCTCGTCTCTCTATACCAATTTATGATTGCTCTTGGAGAAGTTCTTGGTTATGTCGTCGCAGCCATGTTCGTCGGTGTTAAATCTGGTGGTTGGAGATTTATGCTAGGATCATCGCTTGTGTTTTCCACCATCATGCTCGTCGGTATCCTTTTCATGCCAGAGTCACCTCGTTTCCTCATGCATAAAGGGAAAACTGCCGATGCTTGGGGTGTCTGGAGACGTATCCGTGGTACGGACGAGACTGCTCGTAAGGAATTCTTTGTCATGAAACACTCAGTCGATTCCGAGCGTGAGATGGAAGGTGCCCGCAAGAGATTTGCATGGCTTGATTTCATTACCGTTCCTCGTGCTCGTCGCGCCATCGTTTACGCCAATGTCATGATCTTCTTGGGGCAATTTACCGGTATCAACGCCATTCAATACTACATGGCCACACTTATGCAACAAGTTGGATTCGATGACAAGGAGGCTGTATTCATGTCCCTCGTTGGTGGTGGAGCTCTTCTCATTGGTACCATCCCAGCCATTCTCTATATGGAGAAGTTCGGTAGACGTTTCTGGGCCATTGCTATGCTTCCTGGTTTCTTCATCGGTCTTGTCATCATCGGATGCTCATACTTGATTCCTTTGAGCAACAAAGCCGGCTCGCAAGGTACTTACATCACGGGTCTTATCATCTACGAAGGTTTCTTTGGATCCTACGCATGTCTTACCTGGGTCATTCCATCCGAGGTATACCCAACCTATCTACGCTCCTACGGAATGGAAACTTCTGATACCATTCTCTTCCTCTGTTCGTTCCTCGTCACATACTTCTTTGCTGAGATGCAAAAAGCCATGTCGAACATCGGTCTCACACTCGGTTTCTATGGTGGTATCGCAGTGCTTGGCTGGTTCTATCAGGTTTTATATATGCCTGAGACTAAGAACAAGACTTTGGAGGAAATTGATGTTATTTTCAGTCAACCTACAAGTCAACTTGTTAAAGAGAACTTGAGAAGTAGTTTGGTTACCGCCAATGATTTTATTCATGGGCGATGGGGCAAGGTCTTCTCTCCTGTTTCTGAAAGCGATATCTTCAGGAAGGAGAATGGTCATAAATCTGATGAGGGTGGTATGGGCCACACTAAGCATGAAGAGTTGATGCAACCAGAGTCCTTGTAGACTATGGATTGATTAATGGTTTATGGTGAATGATCTCGGAAAATAGGGGATAAATGCTGAATCATGATAATGATTATAAGACTTGAAAATTTGGATGGGTGGAATATGGGAAGGTTACATTTTTCGGATGAGTAATGATTGATGTGTAAATAACAATGATATCCCTTGATTTTAATAATAAGTTATCCTTTTTCATGCTCAGCTTTTCTATTCCATTATCCTGACTTTTTCAATGTTTGAATATAAAGTCAGAAAATGGAAGTGCATTTTGATAAGTTAGACTGTCGCGATATGTTAGAAGCTCTGAAAGAATCCGGGGAAGAATTCATCTACGAGAAGAAAAAAAGTCGTGGCGGAAGCCACCGTAGTGATTAGAAGTAGCAGGTGCTCGATTTGTAGTCAAAAATGAGTAGTTGTTTATAGCTATAAATCTACGTGTAGAAGTATTTACATAATTTCGTAACATTGTACGGGTAGGAATCATACAAATCTCATCAAGTTTTAAAATGTAGATGTAGATATAGATCGTTCTTCCTATCCTTTTTTTGCGTTCATAATCACTTCTGTACTATTTCTTCTTTTTTTCTCCCGATCGAACGTTGCCTTGTCTCGTCAAACTCCATTCACATTCTCTGTTCAAAAAGCCTTACATGCTTCACGAACATTAAATCTTTTTAACCCCCTCCTTCATTTTGTACTCCCAGCCTATTTGTAAGCTTACGAATTATCATTTTTCAAGATGTGTAATTTGGTGAGGAGGCGAAGTTCACGTCATTAGATTCGTACCAGTATGATTTTAACCATGATATTGGATGTGATACTGTAATTACTTGCACAATGACTCTTCTAGCGATATTTGACTAATTGACTAACATCTCTCTCTCTTCCTAGCTCGGCGCGCGACACGGGGTAAATGCACAGGTATTGGTATCTTTAAATTTCTTTTCCTGATACAGCAACTTCAAACTTTATCTACTTCGCGAGCACAAGATAGTGCAAGTTAAAAGATGATTTATATAAATCTTTTAGCTATCTATCGGCTTCTTATTTCGTTTCCACTGAGAAGAAGAATCACAATATATAGACATTTCCTTCCTTCCTTTCTTCCTTCACTAAAACGAAAAAAGCAATAGACTCGTGAGATGAAATAATCTTACACAAAGCTCACCACCCATCGGGAAAATTGGCATCGCTGATTTCTGATGCTTTTCTATGTGAAATTAGCCTCAAATACCGTGTGTTTGGTCTTTAAAACATGGATATAAGATATGGGATACGAGAGGTGAGGTTGGAGAGGGAAATATAGGATCGAAGTTATGGTGAAGGAAAATGGTCATGGTGTAGGTAGAACTCTGGAGAACTTGATATAAATGTGAATATATTCAATTTTATCTAATGCAAATAATAATACCGTCATGGAGGTAAAGCTCAATAACACACAAGCAACTTAAGTAGCGAATAAAGGACTCTTTGAAGTGGGACCATCACCATCCAAAACATTCACTCTCCTCCTCGCTTAGCACAATATATATATCCAAACAGCCTCATAACCTTCGTCAAACATCTCATCGAACCGCCCTGGCACAATTGGTCGGCCGCTACGTTGTAGCCACCTCTGGGTGGCTGGGTGGGGTGGCTGATATCAACAGTGATGTCCCATTCGTAGGGCACAGCTGCAAATAAAATCTCAAATCGAAGGGGTTTTTCCTGTGGACGATTTTTTGCCATCTTGAAATGTCATCTTCTTGTAAGTTCCAACTTAATAAGTTATCGTTACAGTCCAGTTTCCTCCAGCCACATCTTCAACTGCATATTTCCCATTTGTCGCATTACCCGCCGCAATATGGTATGTTGTAGCAGCAGAGCTTCCATCCTTTCTTTGCAAACTCATTGTTGCGGTTTGGTTGGTATATGGCACACTAATAGAACCCGTTGTACCCACTGGAGTGGTAATTTCAATATTTGTCAACTTTCCTGATTTGCCCACGGCCTTGACCGCATAGCTACCAAGAGAAGTCTGAAACCCCGCCTCCACATCTGTCAAGCCTCCTAGATTTGGAGCCACACTCCAAGTCTTTCCAGCACCACTGGTAACCATCAATCCTGCTCCATGGAACGTAAGTGCAGATGTAGGACCCGTACTCCAGCCATGGGCATGCGATACTCTCGGATCATTCTTATATGGGGCATAGTGTAGACTACCATCTGTTGAATATCCTTCAATGAAAGTGCTATTCGTCATGCGTGGATCGTCCAGCATGAAATCTCCCCACATGAATTTAATCATTTGGACAGCACGATCGGCTCGACCAGCTAGATAATGCGCTTGGATTTCAAAACTGCTGACGAAGGGGGAAACAACATTACCACCACCTTCGGGGGCCGGAGCACCAAATTCATTCCAGCGGGCGGCCAAAGAGTCGGAGACCAGAAGTGCGCGGGATGGAGAATCTACCAAGCCAGAGAAGATGGACCATGCATTTCCGTCTTGTGGGTGGAGTGTTGTTAAAGGAAGGGTATCATTATCCCGAAAAAGATTTGCTGTATTGTCCCAAAGGTTGGCGTTCGCGGCTGACTTGATGCCAGCTGCGTAACTTGGCCATGACGAAGTAGCAGCTGAGTCATTAAGAACCTTTGAAAGCTTCCTGCCTAGATTGAGAGTGTAGTACAGAATAGAGTTCGCCTCGATATTATGACCACCCATACCGACCCGTAACCAATCAGCATTGCCTACGGGAACATTGGCCATCTTCGTCTCATCAATGAAGCTCAGGGAGTAATTCATTCCCAACTTGAATTGTCCCCAATGTTCTTGTAAATAGCCAACATCCCCGGTGAACAGATAGTAATCGTGAATATCGATTAGTGAATGAAGATGATAGGTAAAACTCCAGGTGTTCAAGATCGTAGTGAAGGGGATTCCGGCGTATGGTAGTGCCCCCGATGAGTTTTGGAGTACTAGTAATGAGTCGAGAGAATTCTTAATGGTTATCATGTCATTAGTTGAAACGAACACTGAAGGCCCGGAAATTGCTATGTCTCCAGGCCATACAAGACGATCTCTCTTAGCACCATCTGTGAGAACACTAGTACCATCTGATAATCACTTGTTAGTCTTTTCTCATGGAATGGAATAGCGCACATACTGGCAATAGTGTAATTATTCCACCATGTAACGGGCTCAGTGATGGTACTATTTGAGTTGATCACGCCTAGATGAACTAATGAATTGCCAGCTGTAGGATCGATAGTACACATATCATTAGTGTAAGCTCCGGCATACCATACTCGGTTAATCTGGTCGTCGTTGCTATGGAAGTAGCCTGTATAGGATCTGAGTTCGTTCTCTGCTTTATGAGGTACAGCCGTGTATTGTATAGTCAAGTTTGAGACTTCAACAGATCCGGAGGTATTGTGATAGACATTTAAATATCTGAATCCACCTCGTTGGTGTTGTGTTTCGGCTTTGTAAAAGCCGCCACTTGTGACTGAAAACCATAAAGCTTCATCAATTCCTGCGTCAGCTGTGGCATCACAACCGTTCTCGTTAATCCACAGTGAACTTTCAGTAAAGCTAATCCCGATAAATTGATCCCCGTCTCCATTGACAGAATCAACGTTGAAGGAGACGATACCGGCGATGTTCTTTTTGAAGTCATAAGTAACAGCAGAAGAGGAGGCAAAAGTCGCCGAGCTTGAACACCCGGTTCCTGTCAATGCTTCTGGGCTGGTGACTGAACCGTTGACATTGTATACTGACACACGTCTCAAGTGTTCGGGTATTTGGCGTGAGAATGTATTCTTCATATGGTACAGCTGCAGTTAATACCACAAACAAGCCAAGAAGACTGATAGAATTGGATGAGAAAATCATGGTGAAAATTTATATCATGGATTGAAGGAACAAATATAAAATTTCCATGAATTTTTGAACCAAGACTGAGGATGAAGAGCCTTGAAGCTGTAGGAGGCGGGTATTCGGTATGCTGCCTTCGATATGCTTCCTTCATGGTGAGTTTATATATTGTCGGCGTGCCAAGAATACGTTGATTACTATTTCTATTTCTCGCAACATTCGGCATAACAAAGGACGAACGTGGTAAACCTTGGCGTAATTGAAGCAGTGGATATCAACAGGGCACGGCGCCGGAAAACTGGTTTGGATGATCTTTTCCACTTTCTTTTCCTTTTCTGCTCCGCATCTTGGGGAAATTATGCGGGGCGATGCTTGGGTGAAGGCTGGCTCGGCTGGTACCCCTGTTTTTGATGCATTTGGATACCCCGCAATAACGTCCAGAGAGTGGACGCAATCCTTGTTCTGAAGCTAATTGTACGTTATATTAATATTTTGGTAATAATATGTTGATTTCGGTGTAAACTTTCAAGATGTTTGTCAGTCAAAAATTTCATGAATAATGGAGCGTCTAAAGGTAGAGTGGACGTAAGTGAGTTTGCACATTGGTGCCATGTAACCGTTTGCTTTGGAGGATTGATATCTTCGTCAAAGTCAAGTTCTTTCATCCAAGAGTGTCGTGGTGAGAGATATTTAGGCACGAGAGATCATCCAACTGCCCAGTGTAATGTCAAATGTTCAACATCTTTCCATGTCTAAGGGGTGATACAAATTCTCCTCCGGCTCTGCTGGGTCCTGTGACAAGTCACTATTTCACTTTTTGAACTTCACATGATATTCTCAAAATGGCATCTTGAATGAAACAAGTGAACATGATATTCCATACCCGCTATGATTATTAATATACACACGTACGCCCAAATGCCTAAACCTCCACGTAAAACTCTCGCATGCCTGTTTTATATCACAATCGCCAGATCTGGCCTGTCCATTTTCTCGTCATCCATGTTTGGATAGTAAGGCACGATAGCGTCCGCCGATAATACATAAGCGCTGTTGTAGAGCGTCCAATAAGCTAGAAATATAGTTAGTGCTAATCTATAGATGGGCAATGGGATTTCAAAAAAGTGACTTACGTTGTCTAACTTTGCGTGCTGGATGGAATAACCCAGCCCAGACATAGTTGAGAACCAGACCTGGTCCAATTGCCATCCTGATAGCTTCAATAGCTTCGACAATGCGGTCGATGACGTGAGGACTCGTCTCGAAGAGATTTGGGTATAGTAAGTTGAGAAGATGAAGCATAGCATCTTCACAACCAAGACCAACCACACCCAGTGCTACGTGCTTGACAACCGAGGCAGCAGTCTGTCTATGAACTTGGTCACGATCAATCAATGCATCTTCAAGTAAAGGTGTGATAGCATAGACATAATCTTTGGCCATCTCACCAATGTACTCAAAGAGGAAGGAAAGCGATTTGAGGACACCATTTTGAACATTGAGTTCGGGTACACGGTATTCGTTCATCAATGCTGGAAGGACTGTGAATGGAGCGCAAGTTTCTGCAACAATACCAATTGCTACAGCTGTACAGACACGAGATTGACGTTCTTGAACTCGAAGGTTGTTTAAGAGAGTCGCGAGAACATCCTGGGGTCCAATGGCTTTGGCGATGAAACCGAACGTGTTATTGGCAGCTCGACGAATACCTTTCTTGTGAGCCTTGAGCATATCTAGAAGTTCGAAACAGATTCTCATCCATTCTCTAGCATTAACACTCTCAGGCCCACGATCAGCGATACGACCAACCAAATCAATGGTATTTTCTTGTACCTTCTCGTGCCGATTTCGTAAAATTGGTGTAAGTCGAGGAAGTAGATCCTTGATTGGAGGTTGCATTTGGTTGATACCAACCACAGTGACAATAGAACGCAAGGCGCCAAGGATAGATCCAAGAACTTCGGGATATTCTTCACCGAGGTATTCGTAGAGCACAACACCTAGCTTGCCCATTAAAGCATCTTCACCACACTGTTTCATAACCATTGCTATTCGAGAGATAAGGTCCGCCGCTTGCTGTCGAACAGTCGCGGATTTGTTGTTTAATCGCCACAAAATGGTACTGACAATCTGGGGAAGGTATGGCTTACATCTCGTACCAAGAGCGTTGACCACAGTTCCGAACCCATTCAACATAACAATATCCTCGACACTCTGTTCCTGGAAAGAGTGCAAGATACCATCAATAAGTCGTTCTTCAAGTCTTTCACCGATATCTGCAGCACCAAGACTAGCAATGACCTTCTCAATCGTCTCCACAGTCATCTTGCGGTACGCCTCGCTTTCATCCTTTAAGTTGTTGACGATGCGCTCAACAATTTCGCCAACACCGACCTTTTGTCCCAGATCAACTGTGGTTTCAACCACCTGTCTATAGTTACGCTTATCCAATGCCATTCTCCGAACCCAGAAACTTTTGAAAAATTCATCTAGTACGTTCTCTTTCAGATATCCTGCCGTAACTCCGTCGGTCCCAGCGCACTGTGAAACAACCTTGAGCACTACCTTTTTCATTTCCTCGTCAGGAGATGAAAACTCTCTTAAGAGGATCTCCATGATTTGGCCCGTATAGTAGTTGGCATATTCTTCGTCCATTAAAGGAATGATGTATCCAACAGCCTTCAAGAAACCAGCGAGACCCTTTCCACGTTGTTTCCTAGTCACGAGTCAGTATGATGTATTCCGAATGTTCGAGCATCCAGGGGGATATCCAGATAGTTGTCATGAGTAGAGAAGAAAATGAAGAAAATAATACACTGACCTTGATCCGCTCCACAAGGGGTTCAAAATATCATCGAAACTTTCAATACCATAAGGATTTGCTGCCTCCGCTAAAGCTGCAATTGCCAAACTGGTGACAGTTCGAACCTTTGTCTGATCGTCATTAAGATTACCACCGATACAGTCAACCAACCCTTTCAGATGGGGGAGGACGGCACAACCCATCAAGATAGGAATTTGTTGAACGATCTTAACACCAGTATGTCTTGCTTGCCATGACTTCTTACTCCTACAAACCGCTCGTAGGAATGGAAGAAGTGCAGGGATGCCCAGTGCAGACGCGACAACAGCAAAGGCTCTCGCAGTTGTGTTTCGGACATATTCATCAACATGATCAATATCTGGTCGCATAGTACTGATCATGTGAGCCAACCCTGCTGCTTTACTGAGATTGGAGATAATTTCTCGACCTTCAACTCGAGCATAGTAATCTTGGTCGATAAGCAATGGTTCAATAACGACCAAAATCTTGTGAACATATGGTCTGACAAGATCATCAAGCTTGTAGAGAATACGGTCAATAACCTTGACTAGCAAATGGCGCTCTTGGTCCTCCAACGTCTTTTCCATAAGCAATGGAAGAATTTGATTGAACAAAGGTCCAGCACCAAATTGTCTGGCGTTATCAGTGAGTTGACGCAAAGCTGTCTTTCGCATCGGTGGTGTACCATTCTTGACCTTAAGTAAAAGTCTCATGATCTTTCTTTCCTTGAGTTCTTCGACACTCATTGAGTTTTCGTCGCTACCATCAGTGAGCTTTCCAAAATATGCCATATCCTCCGCCTTGAAGAATTGTAGATCTCCCACGCCTGGTATTTCTGTTGGAAGTTGCTTCGCTAATTGTCTTCCACTATCGGGATCTTGCATCATGAATCCACCAGCAGGTAATGGTGTAGCCATGACCTTTTGTGCAATAGTCCGGATTGGAGCGTAACCAGGCGGAGGTTCTAGAATTTTGTAGCCTTCAGATGGCAGCATCATGTCCAGCTCCTCGTCTGAAAGTGGTGCATTTCTTGATGAGATATCGGTCCCGAATGTAGTTGGTATAGCTGGGCCACCCATTTGCGATGGATGCATTGGAGTTACCAATCCTTGATTGCCCATAGGAGTGGCAGCAGGTGCTTGATCCCATCTAGATCTTCTCTTAGGCGTTTCATCAACTGAGACACCTCCAACTGCTGGTGTTTGATCCCATCTTGAACGTTTAGTTTTACCCTCCGTTGACGGCGGAGCCATATTGGCATCTTCTTCAACGCCCACATCCCATCTCTTCTTTCTTTTGCGCCCGCTTGCGACAGCTTCGGTAGAGCCAGCTTCGTCGTTCTCCTTATCGCCACTATCTTCCTTGATCAGCGTTGCAGTATGGTGGACAACCTCGCCGTTGGCCTTCTTCTCCTCGATGGCTTTCCTAACCCTTTCCTCTTCACGCTCGAGTTCTCTCCTGGCCATAACATCTCTGTAGCTCTCGGCATTTCCATCAGCTCTGGTGGGAGTTAAGACTCGGTCGTGTCGACGCTTCTGGTAGTCTGTTTCGCGATCTGAGATTCGTGCACTTTTCTCTCTGCCCAGAAGAATGTCTTCCTCCTCAACCCCGTTACCATGCGCGAACTCGTTCATTTGTTCCTTGGAAGCTGTGTACTGGCCTACCAATCGCCGACTGGTATCAGCTTCTTCCATTTCATCGTCGTCACCATCTGTCACCGCAATGGAAGTGTTATAGCCTGCGAATCTATCAACGCCATCGCGCTCATAAAGACTGGTATCGAAGCTTTCTGTCAGGGAGGCCTTGGTGGAAACATCAGTTCGCTGACTTGACGGATCAAATGTCTTCGATCCCTTCTTACCAGCAGAGGCAGCATTCCTCTCAGCCTGTAGCTTCCTGATCGTCTCGAAATCGGTGTCGGACATGGTGGCGCGTTGTAGTGATGCGCATTGGTGTTTTGGGATAATTTCGTATTGATTTTCTAATCGAGAAGGTAGCTTTGATAGCCAGCACTAGCTTTTACAAGCCACCCGCCACACGAGGCTGGATCTAGTGGGACTATCACGTGATATTGACTATCTCACAGTAACCGGATTGGACGGACGAGCGAGGGGGTCCTTCCGAATCGTGAATTCTTGGATTCTAAGTCATCTCTGCTTGATGGAAAGTAGTTAATAGTAAATTGATCTTGGTGTATCATAGCTTTTCGATATAGAGTTAGTCTGGTGATACATGTATAGGCTCGCTCATAATAACTTTTGATTGACCAGGGTGGAGAAGTGCAATTAGCACACAAATGAAAAAGGGGAGCTATTGAACATCACGTCACAAGTATGCAAGACGATACAACTCACAATACAAAAGCCTTGGGAAGTTTTGTAATTATGCAGTATCGCTCAATTTCAGTTTTCGTGTCATACATTCGCCTAGCCCAAACTCCCAATTGTCTTCTATTCTTAACCTTGGACCTTGAAAGTTCGTCCACTGGCTGTCTTTCTCTCCTTTTCTTCGTTCTCTGGACGTGCTCTTCTAAGAACTATTATTTGTCAGTTGAAGTGAAATCTATGCCTCGGAAATGGTGCTTACCTTGCAAAAAGTCCGCTGTACGTCTACGCATTCTCGAGTGAATGTATGCCTGGGATGTGTCAATACTAGATCATGAATTGCTTGTGTTTCATGATGGTACCTTTGATGCTTTGATATGGTAATGGAAGTAATCACGGAATGTTTGGATGTGGGAAATAACTTCATCTCTTCGCTGGAGAGTAAGGTGACGTGGAAATAAAACTGTATGAATTAGCAAATTGGTAATGAGGCTTGGAATACCGAAGGTATTGAGCTCACCAAATGTAACATAGCCAATATCTCCACTACCATTATCTTTTACTCCTGGGACATCTTGAAGCTCCAATGGCGGGTCGGTTCTGAATAATACTTGAGGGGCGTTTTGGATAGCTCTTCTTCGAGCATCTACGAATTCTTGGATAAAAACCCTTCCGAATACCCTATCTGTTTCCTCACGGAATACTGTGCTGAAAATAACCGTGACTCTGTCGTGGCTGGCCTTGATATAGATTGCTTCCTCATCTCGGTAATGAATCGCCATAACATCTCCACCTTCTCGGACACCTTGGGGAGCTTCCTCGGATGTGAACTTCGATGCTTCCTCCTGTAATTTATGGAATTCGTCGAAGGCATGCTCGAAAGGTGCAGCCATTGCATTTCGTTTTAACAGAGATATGCGTCTGATCAAATCATCTCGCGCTTCTTTAGGTAGAGGTTTTTAGTATAGGCCATCCATTGGTTATGGGAATTCTTACCTTTCTCTTCTGGCAGACTTTCTAAATCAACCTGCACCGAGAAATTGTAACCACTTTCCGGCGCAACAACATATGGGCCGTATTCCCGCTCAAGGACTTGCTGAGCGCCGTATCGTAGAAGCTCATCATAGCATTTGACTTGTATTGAAACGAGTATTTTGGTTTTGGATTCAGGGGTGGAGATGTGGAAAGTAACACCATCGAAATCGGCTACAGTCTGATCGATGTTCACCGGTGGTGCTCTGGCTTGAATTAGTTACGTTTGAGCATAAAGGATTCTGGTTTTTACAAACCCTGAGAACCTTTCCGTGAGCACGGATTGAATGAGTACATTTTGATAATCGAGGAGAAGCATTTTGGTGGTGGTGGGAGGAAAGATTTGTATTCCTCGTGTGATGTTTCCAATACTATGGAATTCAAGCTACTGCTTTACCTGTTGTGTTGTAGGTTCGGGGGGCTGACGACGTGGGGCGGATGGTTTAGCTTTAAGTTCAAGCGGCATGATAAATATCGTCTATTTTGTGCGGAAAGCATCTTTCATTTGGCTGCTGCTTTTACAAGCTCGAAAACCCATGCTTATCGGCAGCACTAAGGAATTTTATCGATTTTATCGCATAGCTCAGAAAAAAAGTTCTTGAACTATTTACTTTTGCGCCAGATTGTAAATATGGTCAAGTCTTACTTGTAAGTCTTCAAAATGACGTGAAATTCATATCAATCACTAATTTGCTCAACTCTAGAAAATACGAGCATTCGAAATCATTCGGTCTTGTCAATTCAAGTACTTCAAATGTTGTTTGGTCAACTGATGGAGCGGGCGTCTCGAGTCGAAATACAGGTTCGGGAAGAGCTATAGTGGCCGCTAATGAGGAGGTATTATGTTGGGAAATTAAGACAGGAGAACTTTTGAGTCGATGGAGGGACAATGATTGCAAATCTCAAGTCTCAGCCATTGCGCAGAGTAAAATGGACATAGACATTTTCGCCGTCGGATACGAGGACGGTAGCATTCGACTATGGGACTCGAAGATTGCAACTGTTATAGTCAGCTTCAATGGTCACAAATCGGCTATTACTACACTGGCATTTGACAAATCAGGGGTGCGGTTGGCTAGTGGTTCGAGAGATACCGATGTTATTGTGTGGGATCTGGTCGCCGAGGTTGGCTTGTTCAAATTAAGAGGACACAAAGATCAGATCACTGGACTCCAATTCATTCAACCAGAGATGCCACAAGAATCTGGCGAAGATGAAGAAGTAGCCGAAGCGGAGGACGGCGGTTCATTTGAAGGTTTTCTTCTCACCACTGGCAAGGACGCTCTCATCAAACTCTGGGATATGACATCTCAGCACTGTATTGAAACTCATGTCGCTCAAACAAATGGAGAATGCTGGGCTCTAGGTACTTCACCGGATGGTAGCGGATGTATCACGGCAGGGAATGATGGTGAACTGAACGTGTGGTCTATTGATACAGCTGGTCTATATAAATTGTCGAAACAAGTGAATGGTGTAGTTGAAGCTAGATATTTACAGGGCAGAGGAATATTACACCGTCAGGGAAAAGACAGAGCCCTGGAAATTAGTTTCCACCCACGCTTAGACTACTTTTCGGTTCATGGTTCGGAAAAGTCGGTTGAAATATGGAGGATACGATCAGAGGAGGAAGTAAAGAAGAGCTTGGCAAGAAAGCGAAGGAGAAGGAGAGAAAAGATGGCCGCCACTGATAAGTCAGCTATGGAAGTGGACGAAGCGGACGAAAAGACGGAAGATATTTCAACTGCTGATATTACAGATTTCTTTGTCCCATACGTTATCGTTAGAACGGGTGGGAGAGTTCGATCGACAGATTGGATACGCATCAAAGGCACCAAATCCATACAATTGCTTATAGCGACTACGAACAATCAGCTAGAAGTATACTCAGTAGTCACAAAGGAAAAGAGCAAAAAGTCTAAGAGCGAAGAAATGCCAGATTATTCAAGAACACTATCGGTGGAAATGCCAGGTCACAGAGCAGATATTCGAGCGTTAGCTTTAAGTTCGGACGACAGGATGTTGGCATCAGCATCTAATGGCGGTTTAAAAATCTGGAATGTTCGCACGAGAACTTGCATACGAAGTTTCGAGTGTGGTTATGCTCTATGTTGTGCATTTTTACCAGGAGACAAAATTGTAGTGGTTGGAACAAAATCAGGTGAATTGGAATTATTTGATGTAGCTTCAGCTGCTATGCTCGAGACTATCAAAGCGCATGAGGGCGCCATCTGGAGTTTACATGTCCATCCAGACGGCCGTTCTGTGGTATCCGGAAGCGCAGATAAGTCGGCCAAATTCTGGAACTTCGAGGTATTCCAGGAAGAAATTCCAGGAACCAGACGGACGACTCCAAAATTACGACTTGTTCATACTAGGACCTTAAAAGTATCGGATGATATTTTGAGCTTGAGGTTTTCACCAGACGCACGTCTATTAGCTGTGGCCCTTTTGGACAATACTGTCAAAGTGTTCTTCGTCGATTCTCTAAAGCTCTTCCTCAATCTTTATGGTCATAAATTACCTGTGCTTAGCATGGATATTTCCTTTGATAGCAAGCTCATCGTCACTTGCTCCGCCGACAAAAATATACGTCTCTGGGGTCTTGACTTCGGAGATTGTCACAAAGCATTCTTCGGGCATCAGGACAGTATTTTACAAGTCGCGTTTATTCCTCATAGCCAAGACGGCAATGGACACCATTTCTTCAGTAGCAGTAAGGACAAAATGATCAAATACTGGGATGGCGACAAATTCGAGCAGATCCAAAGATTAGATGGCCATCACGGTGAAATCTGGGCTTTGGCAGTCAGTCGAACAGGTGAATTCTTTGTTAGCGCAAGTCACGATAAGAGCATCCGAGTGTGGGAACAAACGGACGAGCAGATATTTCTTGAGGAGGAGAAGGAGAAGGAACTGGAGGAGTTATATGAGTCGACTCTAACAACGTCCCTGAACCCTGATAAGAACGAGGAGGGCGATGATAATGAAGTTGGTGCCGCCGGAAAACAAACAGTCGAAACTCTCATGGCCGGAGAAAAGATTGTTGAAGCCCTCGAAATTGGTACCGTCGATCTGGAACTCATGGCCGAATATGAGATCGCCAAAGCCAGTAATCCCAACACCGCTCCTCCAGCCCGCAATCTGCTCTTCATGGCTCTCGGTAATATCAGCGCCGAAAGACATGTTCTTAATACTCTCCAGAAAATCAAAGCCGCAGCTCTCCACGATGCGCTACTTGTCCTTCCTTTCTCTACTCTCCCCATGCTCTTCACTTTCTTAAATATATTCGCCACAAAAGAAATGAACATACCTCTTACATGTCGAATATTATTTTTCATGTTAAAAACACACCATAAACAAATTGTGGCAAGCAAGACTATGAGAACTATGTTAGATGGTATTAGAGAAAATCTAAGGAAGAGCTTAAGAAGACAAAAGAATGAGATGGGATTTAATTTGGCGGCTTTGAAGATTGTGGGAGAGAAAGTCAAGGATATGAAAAGTAAGGATTATGTCGATGAGGAAACTTGGGAGGAGGACGATGGGTCGAGTAAGAAGAAGAGAGGATTCGTACAAGTTTCGTAGGGTATTGCATTGGTTGGTAGATTCATTAGGATGGGTTAAGTGGGTATCAAAAATGTAAGATGTACAAGTTATGATTGAAATGATAGCAATTCATGGTGGAATATTTCAATACACATATTTGTAAAATTCACAATTGAGAACGAAAGAGGTATGTCTTCTTCCGATTTCAGCCAGTAGTTGACTATCCATTCTCCAAAATCCATATCCATAATTCGATTCATCCTCTAAGACTTTTACTCTTTCGTCCAAGGATAATCTACCTATCTATCTACAAAGGCTTGAAGAGATAGGAATCGACAAATCATAAATATGCGACTTGCGCAACACATATGCCACAAGATACGAGCAAAGCGGGACCCTAAAACATCTCAGTCGAACAAGGCACCAAGAAAAGAAGTCCAGTACCATCCTCTTTCCCTATTCTCCCCCTTCATCTTCTCTATCTCCTCGCGTAGTAGGTCTGACTCTCGCTTCCCTTCGTAGTATCTTTCCTCCGCTTCTTTCAACTGCCGACGGGCTTCATCTCTTTCCTTCTGAGTTCCCTCTCTTAGTAATTTTTCCCACAGTAACTTCCCTACTCGTACTTCTGCTTCATTTTTCAGTTTCTGCGCTTGCTTCGTCTGTTCCAATCTCTCGGCTGCAAGTCGCTGCGCATCATCTCTCTCCTTCTCCGCCTGCTCTGTCTCCTTCAATCTCTTCAATGCAATTTTCCGAGCTTCGTTTATTTCCTGCAGCCTTTCCTTCTGAAAGTCACAGATCCGCGTCACAAGCTCCAGCGCATCATCTCTTTCCTTCACCGCTTGTTTCTTCAATTCCAAACTCTCCGACTCGCGCGTAATAGCTTGATCTCTCTCAGCCTGAACCAAAGTTAATTGCTCCCCCCAAAATATTCCATTCCGTCGCTTCTCCATCTTTGAGATCTGATGACGTGTTTTCAAAAGTTGCTTTTCTGCGTCGTCTTTCTCCTTCTCCACTATGTCGAATTTCGTCTTTAGATCCGTTGCGCTTAGAACTGCGTCATCTCTTTCCTTTTTCAGAGCGGAACTTTTGGCTATTTCCATCTCGAGTTGTTCTCGGAGGTCCGATTTACGTTGAGTTGCTTCGTCTATTTCTTTTATCGACTCGTCGTCCCTCTGTGATGAGCCTTGACTAGACACGGTGCTATTCATGGATCCAGCTGGGGACGTGAGTGGGGATACGAGTGGAGATATGTTAGAAGATTCATTTGTAGATCCAGATTCTGATTCTTCGGGCAATTCAATCTCCCAAGATTTTTTCTGGAGAAATCGTGGGTGATAGGCAGGTCCAATGTCGACGGAGATGCTAGACGGTGCGGATAGTTTTTCATCACAATAGCATGCGTCATCGCCAGGGGTCCTTGCCCGTACGGCTTCTTGATCAACGTTGTCAGGCTCAGGATATGAGCGCAAACTCCCAGAGGATGGGGTGGGGGGATCTTTTGAGGGTGCCATTTTCATAGGGGTTGATAGGTTGTGTAGTATTTTTGGTGCATGGGAAAGAGATGTGGGATTGTTATATGCCTTTATGCTACTCTTAATATATAAATCTTCCATGCGTTTCAATTCTTACGTTATCTTTATCTCTTACTTCGAACAGAAACACAGAGTCCTACATTCGGAACCAAGAAAGAAATGAAAGACATTTTGGCCGGAATCTTCTCACAACGGATGATGGATCCAGCTCTTTCCAACACACGGAATTATCTTGTCGAAGCTTCAAGAGTAATGATCCTAATCAGCTAAAAATTTCTCCCTCGAAGTGATAACAAGGGCCAAACACATTTATGAAAGCCAAAAATGATACCTAAGCCACCTGACCTAGTTTTCAGTCTTCCCATCGGAAAAGACTAGATATTACCATATTTACACCACAATTCCACCACAAAATATGATCTTCTCTTCATCGAAATCATTCGAATGAACATGCCATTTCTGATGAGTCCACAGCAAAAAAAATTGTTCCAAGTTTAAAATTCTCGTAACTTTACTTGACAAATATCACCGAATGAATATTTCATTTATAATAATCTGGGCTCTGTTGCATATCTCATATATAATTCAATATTCATCTTCATTTTCTTTTCAGTAATAAGAGCCTGTGATGAGTTGAAAATATTGAATATGATGTAGCATTTTCCAGGAGTGAGAAGTTCCTGCTTTCTAATTCCATGGATTTATAACACATCGGGTATTCAAAGAGATTATTGCACACCTCACGTATCAGCACTTATATCATATCTGAACAGTTTTATGTGGAAACGTTATCTTAGGAAGGCTGAAAGTCTCATTTTAATTGGATTGAGAAATGTCTCCGAATTTCCAAACTGTTCCATCGAGGTTTCCTCCAGACTCTTCATTTACTTTCCACTATCTCTCGTATTGATATCCACTCCTTGGTTCTACTTCACGAATTATACCTTCCCTTCATACTCGTTTCAAATCTTTATTCTTCGCATAATTGGATCTTTGTGCCATCACTCCACGTTTCATTCTGTCTTGACTCATCTCGAATGTTGTATCATGCAAGCTTTACAAAGAAGGGTAATAAATGTACTTGTGTGGATATTCTAGATATTTCATAATTATACTCCGAAGGCGAAGTTGCTACCGCACTCTCGAACAAATAATTATATCAACAGTCATGAATAATATTAGACATATCCAACTATATCCATTTAGCCCGGGCTACTTTTGAATCGAATTATTGGAAATCTAATCGAGCTATGGACACCACATCCTCAGAATAACTCACCACTGGAGTATTCTCAAAAGGTAGTTTCACAGAAACAGGCCTAAGGAGTCTAATACTGAAAGCTTGTAGGGTTTCAACTGCGAATTTTATGATGAATTGTTCTTTTACTATTATAATGGTGTGATTTCTCCATCTACTTGGTATTTTACTTCTCTACTTCAATTTCCCCTCCCCCATAGATACAATGCCCATTTCCCTCCTCCCACTCATACAACAAACACTCCTCGAGTATCTACTATCTGTCGACAATGAAATTAATAGAGTTATATCCCACAAGCAAAACACACATATCCCTGTTCCATTCAACAGAAATCAAAATTTGCATTGCATCGCCAGTATGAAAGGACCAATTACTCAGGATATAGCATGATTCAGTCTCATAAACCAAATCAAACCAAATGCAAGCTTTCATAGACCCGACCCTAAAAATCACAGCAATCATTCATCGAATAATTCATATGGATCCGACATCCCACATATACCCTTCCAAGCATGTCATTCATTAAATCACTCCAATTTCCATATCAATCCATCAATGTCGAGAATTAAACCCCTTTTTTCATTATTAGATGAAAGTCCAGACTGTTGATTTGACGCGCTATGAATCAATCTCAGGATCAGTCGATTCTTATTTCCACCCCGTCGCTGTGCACTAACCGTCCTTCTTCAATGCCCGCATTTGAACCAAGTCGCCCTGAACACCTTTTAAGATCCTATACACCACGCTCGCGCAAGCCAAGCCAAGCCATACTTTAGGGACGAAAATACTGCCAAACTAATGATTTACTACCCAGCCAGATGCACCCATCAAGACCACTAGCATTTCCCGCTCTCATTCCCATCACCTTTCCTCTTCGCCTTATCTCAATCCCAATTAAAGCCTCCTCCAAACAACATCCTTCTCAAAAATCCTCACATCCCGCACATCCTGAAACTCAAACCCATCACAACTCCCAACTTTCAACCCGAATCCACTCTCACCAAGCACAACTTCATCCTCACTGTCGCTATCAATTGCAGGTTCGGTGTTCTTTCCCAAGTGAACCTTGGGTAGTCTTGCTTTCGGTGGATTTTCTTTAATACGACGATAAATACGGGTTATCGAATTTTTAAGAGCAAGATATTCGAGTTCACAGTCAGGATTATGAGCAATGCTGTCTACTGTGAATTTTCGGAATTCGCTCCTCACCAATTGGCAGGTATCATCAGAGCGGAATTCGATTGCGTGGAGAGCCCGGAGGTTTTTGAGACCCGAGAGATTTTGATTAAGGATGTGCTGATTTCAGGGTTAGTATACGACTTTTGAATGTTTAATTGGACTTGCAACAAAATAGGGTGTGAAGTTACACACAGACATACCATAACTGAAACATCAAAAGCAGCAGCCAACTCCTCCAATCCTTTAGCTTTCCGACACAACAGCAAAGCGGTTTTGGCATCTAAGTCCCATGCAAAGGGTGTTAATTGGTGAGGAATGCTCTCCTGATGTATAGAAAGGACTTTTAATGTTGGGGCATGTTTTTTGAGAGCCAATCTTCGGATTTGCCCTATGGAGATTCTTTTCTTTGAATCTGCGGGGTCTACCTTTGTTCTGGATGCTCGTTCAAGCAGGCATAACTCCGTTATTTTGGCGAGTTTTCCGATGCAGTCCAGGAAAGTTATGGTGACGTTATCTGTGTAGATTTCATGTAGCGGGAGAGGATAGATCCTATTTTCGCGTGCTACCATAGACCAAAATGAAGTTTGAAAGCCAACATTGAGTAAAGTAATTCTTCTCAATACTCTAATGTCAATAGCCTTTGATATAACGGAACTTTTTAGAGGTATTAGGTAGAGTGATAAGTTCTCAAGGGCAAGACCTCGCGTTTTCCGAATGTACTCGCTCATGCCCTTGTTGGTATTGACAACAGGGGCATCAATTTCTGTTGACTTTCCCTTCTCGTTTGTCTTAATGTGCTCTGGAGTTTGTTCAAACTTCTGATCAGAGACTCCTCGAGCAGGAAGAGTTTCTGAATTAATTAGCTCATCAACAACTTCTGAGGCTTGGTGTTCTTGCACTTCCATGGAAACAGGCTCGATATCCGTCTCGGTTTCAGCAATGATCCCCTCAACAAATTCCAGATCTACCACAAGCTCCGGTTCTTCAATATCGATGTCATCTGGATCTACGATGTCCTTGGATTTCGAAACTCTTGTCTCTGTTGCCGATTCGTCAAAAAGACCGGGTTGATCTTGAGATTCGCCCTCGTCCGTGACAGTTTCCTCTAACGGGTCGGCCGTAACTAGTGATTCGGAATTCTCTCCATTGACCTCTTCCGCACTATTGTCCTCTGTATGACCAGATCCCGCCTTGCTACTTTCGCCATTATTACCTTCCGTATTACTGGTGGTGCCTGACTTGTCAGAAGATTCACTTTCCCTTTTCAGGCTCTTGAGGTAAACCTGAGAACCCTTCTCGATGGTTTCCTGGACGAGTTTTTGCATGTCCTCAAATTTATGCTCAGCCATAGCCTTCGCCGATTGTTGCATCAACGCTACAAACATCTTCAAGGGACTGGACATTTCTGACTTTTCTTCGGGTCCACCTTCTGGCTCATCTGCATTTTGACTAGGTGAATCCGCACCGCCTTTCGAAGTGGACGATTCAGTGCTGAAGATCTTTGCCAAAGCTGCTTCTTGTGCCTTCCTTTCCTCTGTAACCGTCATTCCTTTTAAAAAAAACGCATTAGATACATTATCTGGAGCGGTGACAGGAAGTGCAGTCAATTGGCCAAATTCATCTTCCGGTTCAGATTCGTCATCTTCGACTGGAATTTCCACAGCTGGCTTTCTGGTTCTGGAAGCAAGTAGCTCGGAGAATGACAATCTTAGTGAACTTAAAGTTGACGATGAGTTATGTATACAGTCTCGAATTTCAGATAGATAATCCAAGGTATCTATATCAAGAACAGCTAGACTCTTTAAGTTTTTGAACCCTGAAAGAGTTTGAGATGTCCCGTCCACAATTAGGGTCCGACCTTTTCCCTCATTCTGTTTTGCCTTAGTTGATGTGAGAGATGACTGGCTTGGTACCAATGCTGGAGGAAAACCGAATGTTGAAGGGTTGTAGTTCGTCGAGGACGTTGGGTTTGGGTTAGTCGCAGGAACATTTATTGAATTTTCAGCTTGCATTCTAACATGTAAATGTTGTAGAGCCTCAATACGATGTAATTCTGTGAAAATCTGGCCACTCAATTTCACACGAATATCCCATCTAAGGATCAGAAATTAGCACGGTCACACGTTGTTAGCAGGGTCAACCAACCGAAAGCTCTCGAGAGCTTTAGCTTTGCGCAGAGTCAAAAGCAACAGAGTATTCATGAATTTCCCGCAAGAAGTATCATGTAAATAAGAACGGTAAGCTAGCTCTCCTTTTTGACTTCCATTCAAAGGCTCAAGTATAATTTCCTGTAGGTGTTGGGAGTAATCGTAATCACTTGTAACGAAACTATCCAGCCCCGACGCCAAACTATCGATAGGGGAATCATTAAGTGTGTCATTGTCATCTGGAAAGACAATATGGAAGCTTCGATATAGTTCCTTGGCTGCTAGATTTCTGAGATGCTTCGAAACGAGAGAGAGCGCAATCAGATCGGCGGTCGACGTCTAGAATAGAAGACCTGTTAGGATGTAACGCGGCGCAAAGATGACATGATGAAAAGCTGTTGAGCCCATCTTGACTTACATGTTTCAATATACTGGATTGGACCTCCAAAGGGAGGTCAAGAATTCCCCTGTTCAGATCCTTATCAGACATCGTTCCTGGATGTTTGAAGGAAGAGTCGACTTGATCAATATAAAGAGGGATTCTGTAATTGAATCTCGATCGGGCCTGTCATTCCCAGCCACAGTTCCAATGCTTCTAGATTCCGATCCGTATCTGTTATGTTATCATGAAGCTTACACTTATTCTTCTACTTTGTGAAGTCATTCAAATAGATCCAGAATTCCAGACCTCGTTGTAAAATGCAGAATTGGTTATTTGTTCGAATGATTCCTTGTATGAGGGTTAAAAGAAGGAACAAGCAAGTGATATCTAAGACATACCTTCCTTATTCAACTTTGCTTTCATTGGTGTGACTTTCACCAGTAATCACAGTCATAATTCCACTAGTAATTACAAGGCTGAAATGATAATTGGTTGAATGACTGATGTTTGATCTGATGATTTGATAATTCGATAAGCGCTTGTTCATTGTTCATTGTTTATTGTCTACTGTCTACTGTCTGTGGGGGTTTGCTCTGTTTGTTAGTGAAATGCGGGGGTGGCGACGGAACGGGGATGTGGCTAGACGTAACATTAATACAGCAGGTGAGATTCTATTAGTGTTACCCGATATAGAATATATAACTGGCTCTACTGATGGAACGAACGGTTTATAGCATTTGATTATTTTCGATTCAATGAGAATTATCTATTTTATTTATTCGATTTTATTATAATCTTTAAAAAACCTTCTCGTTGAAAATGTCTTTCTATATATATTTTTCATTATTTTATATTTTTAAAAAACATCTTTGTTTTGAAAGCACCTTTCAGTTGCTCATTTTCCCAGCTGCCGCACCTCGGCCATATGATTCTTATTGACCTTTGTCCCTACCCACCAAAATTCACCTCCCTCACCAAAGCCTCTCCCTTCCTCCCCTCGAAAAATCATACCCCTTCATCCCACCTTCCCCTTCACCATTCCCAGGATTTCCTTTTCCTCTCGCCAACCTTTCAGATGCCCTCCTTCTCCAAGGACTAGCTGTAGCCGTATTAACCCTGTGCAACTCAGCAAATTCAATTTGCTTATTCATTTCCTCCTCACTAGATCCTTCAAAATTGAAACCCTCGTCTATTTCCACCATTCCCCCTGACCCGCTCAAGGCATTCATCCCATTCGACAGCTCATCCCATGGTTCTGCATTGTGATCTTCCATCCCCATATTCATGTTCATATCGAAATCCATAATAGCACCCTCAGTTATACCGGTAAATGGTGGTGCAGAAACGACTAGTCCCAGCGTAGAAGAAGCTTGATTTGAGAGGAAATCCATGTTGGCGGGTGATGAGGTGTCAAACCCCAAGTCCATATCACAAGGATCAAATAATTCCTCATCGAAAGAAGCTAATAAATCATCATCGTTGAGAAAAGCTGGAGGTTGTTGCGTGGAAAATGAGAGTATTGATTGGGCTTGTGGTTGATACGTTTGAGTTTGTGAATATGGTGAATGGTTTTGTTGTTGATCGGTTGAAGGAACTCCATAATGAGTTTTGAATTTCTCCAAAAGTTCCTTGTCATCCGCTGCTGTGTTCGGTACATTCAAAACATCCCTTGCTCTGGCCCTCAATAATCCATCAGTTGGGACGCGGCCTTGTTCTCTTTCTGTCTTAACCAAATCGACTAATGCTTCTTCTAACTCCCTCGAGCAGAAAACGTGTGCGGGCATCTTATATCGCTTTTTGAGTCCTTTGATATATCCATTTGCGGTTTCTCCTCTCAACCTCACCATCTTCTCGCTTTCGTCTATTTTCGCAAGATTGACTTCTATTTCTGCAGTATCACACGCCTTGAGATTCTTTCCTGGATTTAGGTAAGGTGGATAGAAACCTGAGCCGCCTGAAGAAACTCTCCAGGAGACATTTGCTGTGGGAAGACCTGGCCCGGATTCTTGAGGCGACAGACCGACATCACGTTTAAATCGCATTAACCACTCTGCGTTGTCAGCAGCGGTCTGGTTCCACGGGTCGTCGTCATCATAAATTACCCAGCGCGCTTGGTTTTGAAGTTCAGCATCCGTTGGAATCTACGGTTTGTCAGTACATCAAAGAGATTATCGAGTAAAGAGATGGTCTTACATGTTGATTGGGATTATTTGGCGACATACATCTCGCCACAAATCTGGAAAGTTCTCGGACTAATCGATTGTAACAATTTGCATCGTTGAGGAAGTACTTCAGAGGTTGTGTAGGGTTAGAGTTTGTAGATGGTTGATTGGATGCTTCAAGTGTATGAACGGGCTGATTGTAGTTCATATTTGGCGAATCCCCTTTACTTCCTGGACGACTATGAGCCTCGTAATTCTCCAACTCCCAATGTGAGGTTCTTGATGGAGATTCGGCTCGCTCAGGAGAACCTATCACTGTTGGAAACATAACGGAAGGTTTATTTTCTGCCGCAGGCGCAAGTCCGTTTCTCGTCTTGAATATATGAAGATATAGTGGATCGTCAGCCCACGTTTGATTCCATTGATCATCATTTCCATAAATGATGAGCCTAGCGTGTCGCTGAAGATCAGAATCTGCGGGCTTTATACCCAGGGAGAATTGAAGTTGCACATAATCTTTCATCTCTGCTTCTAGTCGGGCGTAGTTGTGTATGGCATGATCAATAGAAGTTTCGTCCTTTGATCTTACACCCTCATTGGCCATTTCACAACTCCTGGGCAGGCCTGCACGCCTTCTGAAATCAGCGAGCCAGCCAGTCGAATCCTTTATCAGGTACTTGAACCACGAAACAGCGCCTTTGCAAGGTACTGCGGCTGTTAATTCAGCTTCGTCAATAATCCTACATGCTTCCACTTGTAGTTCAGAATCCGTAGCAGTTAGACCAAGCATTTGTCTCGAATTAACATAATTCCGTAGGGCTATCTCTTTTGGACATTGATGCATTGATGGTGTCGCATCGATCAATGAGCGTTGAACTGTTTCCAATGACTTGCTTGGTGTCATTTCAAGGACATCTTGTTTGTCTGTCTGGCATATATCCAACCTGGAGAACAAGATTAGGTCGCTTAGCCAAGAGCCTTGGGAATAATGCCGCGAATCAGAGACAGCATCCAAATTGCGGATTATTTGGCGTGCTATACCGAGCAACTCTTTGTCAGTCGGTGTTATGCCTTGTACAACCTTATCATTCACGTATTGGGTGAGACCGCTCTTGATCAGGATTTCTGGTGTGCGCTCCACATTTAAAAGATTTTGCGAAGCTTCAAAAGGCCGCATGGTCATTCGTTCTTCATGAATCAGATCTATTACAGTATTAGCCATCGCGAACGTGGAAGGATGGGGAACAAAAATACTTACAAGGGGGAATTCCATTCTCAACGATGTTGAGGATTTGTGGTTCGAAACCCCAGTCACCCTTCCAATCAACCATACTTTTTCCACTTTTGAAATGTTCGGCCAAATGATCAATTCTAGCCGTCCAAGAATCCATCACTATGCCGCAGAAGCCACATCTAGAACGTATTTCTGGTGTGATTGCTTTCCAGCTGTCCATGCTCCAACTAACAAACTTCGCATCGTGAACAAGGTTCAAATGTTGTCGTAGGTGATCTTTCCTATAGAATGTCCTTTCTCCAATTGACTTCTCGGCACAACTTGAATGGTTATGTGTTTCAGCATGACTAGCTGATGGGTTTGGATGATCGCAATATACGCAAGCTGGCCGTCCATGCTCTTTGTTGTATTGTATAGGGCCATTGGGACAACAGATCCACCTCTCAAGGGATAAATGTAGAGATTTCTCATGCCTCTGCCAATCATGTTTTGTCTTGAAGGATTCGGTACAGAAAGTGCATTGAAAGGTACGGGCGGGACCTGCAGTTATAACTTTTGCTGGTTTTGGTGCTTGTCGACGACGACGACGTCTACCTTTGGGTCCAAAAGAACCAAAAGAGCCAAACGATCCACGAGATCTATGAGAATATGCCGAAGCAAATGAACCAGCGCTAGAGTGAGAAGTTCCCAAACTACTAGCCGACGATACATTGTAAAGGGATCGGTTCGACCCATCATCAGCGTAACTGGTGTATGGACTATCCATACCAGAATTGTAACTAGAAGCCGTAACGGCCTTTGCAATAGCGGTTGCCGAGGCAGGTTCATGTTCGGGTGGAGAGTGCTTCCAACGTTCCAAAGGATTCATGTGCTCCAAAGCAGGAGTAGCTTTCCTTGGAATATCCATGGCATTTGCATAATTTCCCGCAGTTGGCGGAGTAATCGTCGGTCTCGTCTTCCCTCTTCGGCGTGCATTCGCGAGCCAATTCGTTATTTGCGTTTTATTCAATCCCGTTTTGGACATTAGAATCTCCCGCTCCGAGTCTGTTGGGTATGGATGATGATGATGTAGTCCGAGCCAATCCTTGAGGATTCGTACGGACTGTCTTGAGAATCTCGCTCCGACTTTAGGACTATTATCCCCAACGTCCGATATGAGATTTTCTGTGGAAGTTTTAAGAGTTGACAAATCCGTCGAAGAATCGTTTCGAGATGCTGAGTACGGATTATACCCTTCAAAAGGAGACATGGGTGATATGAGAGGATTGGATTGAGGGAGACCTTCCGCTATCTGCCAATCACTGTGTTGACAAGGTTGGTTCAATACCAGGCAATTTTTTTGAGAAGCGACACTCTCTCCCTCTAACAATACTTTGCATGGTTCAGCACATGCTCTGCAGTGCTCACACTCCTTGACTGAAGATGTGATTTCTTCCTCGTTGATGTCTCGATTTCCCTGGCTGTCGCCAATACCGTTAACTTTGCCAGAGGCACGATAATCATATGATTTTCTGCCCGTGATATTCAAATCTTGTGTTAAGCTGCATTGTCTCGCAAGCGCCACACAGCATGTGCAAGAACCCTTACGGAAACCCTCTTTGAGAACTTTGCAATGAGTGTTCTCTTGGCGACATCGTGTACAGGGCTTGGGAGGCTCTGACATTCCATCAATCCACCTTGGAAAATCTTGGAAGTCGTGTGCTTCAAGGGCCGTTATATCAAGAGTCGATGTATTGACCAATGCATTTTCAGAAGCTTGGGAATGTTGTTCTTCTGGAGCTGAGAAATGTTGAAGGCGTGTGAATGGGTTCTCATCTCCTTCAGGATCCGCAAGGGTTAGGTCGATATCATAAGGATCTAAGCTCGAAGTGGCATTGAGATGACTGAAGTCATAATCGAAGTGATCAGTGGTCGAATGGGTGGCATCCTCAAAATTGAAAAATTCGTCCATTTCGTCAATTGTGGTCATCTAGAGGGCGCGGTGGCCGTTGGGATGAAAATGAAAGGACTTAATTGAGTAGGTGAGATGCGGGGGGGGTGGTAATCCAGTTCAGGAAACCCACTCCTCCAGGACTACTTGAGTAGGGCAAAGGAAAATGATGATATTGACAAGAGTCCAAGAAAGGGCGTGAGGAAAAGAATGAATAATCTTGGGTGTAGGGTATATATTGGTGGATGAATGACAGATGTAAGAATAAAAAAAGGAGAGTAAGGTCAACTTGGAAACATATCAAAATCCAAATCCGACTCAAAGTCAAACTCAAAGTCGCTGGTCCTTCATCTAGAACAGTCATCTTCATGCTCAATTGCTCAATGGAATCCTTGTCAAAAAATGTCAACACGCCCTTCGACAACCACATCTGACCTTAGTCAATCATAACCGTGCATTAATCCCCACACCACCATATTGTGAATGCGGTGAATCTCCGATTGGATATCATCAATAATAGGATAATAAATGCCTTAGCTGGGTATTTATTACCTTATTACATGGAAAGAGGAATCCTTTATTTTACTTTCCTGGCCTTACTCAAGTGCATCGCTTAATTTCCCTTTGAAGCCTTTTAGGCTGTTTATGGGTTCAAGAGTTTATGGGCTTTTCAAACTTTATGCGTCCGTTCCAGTCTATCTGATAAAACTGATGGGCCAGACACCAGTTGTATCATGAGAACAACAGAAGAACAGAATAACAAAATCATCTGTAGCTCTAGAGCATGCCTTTTCATTGCAACTCGTACATGCCCTTCTGATAAACAGTAAACTCGTTGTTCTAGCGAATGCATTTCAAGCTAACACGCCGACATCGCAATTTCAATAGTTGAGGCCTGAAATTCTACTGGGAATAAGTATAGGTATGACTGCAGATGTGCATGCGGAGTATTGTTCATTTCGTGTTGGCAGAGCTTGACGATCAATCTGGTTGTAAATGGGGGTTAGAAGCGGGATTTGCTTGCGGTATACGAATTTACCGACGGACCACGGCTAATAAATAAGGGGAGGAGTGCGGAAAATGTAAGATTAAATGCTCGTTCGTTTACTCACATGTGCACATCAATTCAAGATGGCTCCTCCTGAAATTCGTAAGAAAGATCTCATCGTTAATGCTACATACAGATATTCCCCATCAGTCATTCCTCGTATATTCATCAATTCCAGCCGTCTCCAGTCAGCGCTTTAGAAAGTCGTCCACCATTAAGTTCGTACAATGAAATGCGATTCAAATAACCACGACCTCGCAATAATTATGACGGTCGGTCCAAAATACAACGAGATGGCCCCCGTTCTGTAAGTCTTTCGAAAGGAAATGGTCGAAAGATCTGCTCTTTCATGTTTATATCTCTCATGCAAAGTGATTTGATCAACTCCTCATATCCTCCGTTACCCTGAAACTTCAACCTCAGAACTCCAGTTTTTCTTTTACAATCCCAGGCATTACCTCCTCCGTTCGCCTCTCCTAGCTTCCCCACCAACGACACCCGCAACGCTCAATGGGTCCACTGTTCGAAATCCACTGTTCCTCCTCTCCCTCTTACTCTTTGACCTCCTCGGTGGATCATGTTCTTCAATTACCACAACCTCATCACTGTTCCCGCCACTTGTACTCGAACTTCTCTCATCCCTACTCCTACTCCTTCTCTCATCCCTACTCCTTCTTACTTCCCTTCTCTCTTCGACGACGACTCTCTCGGCAGGCGGAGGTCTTCGCTCTTCGACGACGACTCTCTCGACAGGTGGAGGTCTCCTCGCTTCTTGTCGCACTTCCTCCCTTACCACTCGAACAGGAGTGGAACTTCGATTTCGACTGCGTTGACGCCTAATCTCGACTTTCTCCGTGGTGCTCACCCTTCGACTATGGGGTCTCGAGCTCCTGCGCGAGTTATGTGATCTCCGTCGTGAATTCTCGCGGAAAGTTACATCTTCGGTAAAGGTAGACTCCGTCGCTGAACGCCTCATGGTGAAGCATGTATATAAGAGCCAGAGAAGGAGCAGAAACCCTCCAACCGAGCCTAAAACTATGCCGACAATTGTACCAGGCGATGGAGAATTGTTCTGCTCTCCATATGTGGTAGGAATTATGCTAGGATCGCTAATTGTAGTTTGTCGTGATGTTAGACGAGTCAAAATTTTCGCAAATTTCGGAGGAGAAGGGAGTTTGGAATTTCTGGGTTGGAGAAATGTAGAGATTGACTTTAAGAGTGTTGTCGTTCTCAAGGTCAACGAAGCTGAATGCCAAGTATCCCTGGATATCGAACTCGGCAAGAGTAGAGGAAGTAGAATAGGTGCCATGTTTGATAACAAAATCTACGAGCGACGATACGCTCGGGGCTGTAGAAAAACTCCTTTTTAATTTATCCAAAGACTATGGGCCAAAAAAAAATTGATGTGTTTTCATACGCTGCGTGTTGATACTTTTGATTGATTGTTTACGACTGAGCTGTTGAATCGGCTGGTCTGAGCTTGACGGGGTGATACGATTAGATTCAAGTGGAGTTGGAGGGGTAATGCTAGAACTTGATAAGCTAACTTCCGAGGCGTTCAAAGATGGAAATAGCTAGTATGAGTGAATGAGCAGAATGACGAACGAACGAGCGACCGATGGGCAAGGCAGGGTAAATTGAAGTATTCGGGATTGAAGATGTACAATGTGGAAAGAGAGAGAAAGGGAAGAGAAGGAAGAAGGATATAGGAGAGGGAGAACATTGGTAGGAGAGGGAGGTATAGGTAAGAGAGGAGAGGAGAGGAAAGGAAAGAAAAGGATAATATGGAAATCAAAAGTCGGAAGGGAAATGAAAATAAGTTATGCTACCTAGTACTGTACCTACCTACCTATTCCATCTACTCAGGCCTAACCTAGATAATGTCATGCCGAATATTCCTTCACAGCAAACGAAGGCTCACGGGTGAGGAATCTGTACCTGGTCGAATGCATTGCGTATGTAAAATAGAATGGGAGAATTAAATATAAAATAAAATGTAAAATACAAAATGTAAAATATAAAATGTATTAACTACTAGCAGCATTAGGTGGGTGTACTTTGGCTTGCGCAATCTAGGACTCCTCGGATATATTTCATGGTATTGCAAGATTAAGACTTACCTCGGAGAAACTACTAGGTATCTACGATATATTAATGAAATGAAGGGCTGAAATAGGATTGTGGAGTTGTGGGATTCTCATTCTCATCATCTTTTGAAAGCGCTTGTGCATGCGCATGTGCTATGTGAAAATAGTGAAAATACCGTTGGAATTGATTCGCATTGCATCTTCCTCCTCCACTGTGGAGAGAAAGTTAAAAAGTCTTTACGGAGGACTCTCTTCGCCGCCGACGCGTGTGATGGATGATGCGATGCGATGCACAGTTTGGAAAGTTCCATGGGGTTATGCCATTATGGTTAGAGGCTCCACCAAATAAACCAAGATCTTACAAGTAAAACATCCCACCCAGGTCATGGTAAAATCAAAAGTCGTGACACCGTTGATGAAAGAGATCTCTTCTTTTCGATGATCTCCTGCATCAGATGTTTGCATCGATTTCTCCTCTCCTGATATTAACAAGAAAGAAAGCTGTCGGTCATCTCTCATGAGATGTACTCATGTGTCGCCGGTCCAAGGGTAAGTCAGGATTTTGATTTGTGCTAAGCCACTAATCCGATGCCAAATTTGCGACAATAAATGTACCAAAAGTAAAAGCCCAAGAACTCCGAATGCCAAGCATTTTCTTTGTTTCTTTTTCATTTTAATACCAAAAGGTCATCTCGAGAACTCCGATTCTTCGCTTTTTCCTTTTCATCTTCTTTTCCTCTCTTCTTCTGGGTTTTGCGAATAAGTATATGTTTTCATTCCACATCCTTATACCCCAGGATTTACCCTGCGAACCATATACTTACTTGGTATACCAAGTCAAAAGTCGAATATAGTTTTGATCTTGAATTCATTTAGTCATCTTTGTATGACGTTGATCTAGAACTATTAGATACTACCAAGAGCCACTATCTACATATCTACATATCTAAATATCTGTCCTAATAAGAACATCGCCTTCTATCTACAAAACACCTCACCTTAATTCAATCACTCGAAGAGTATCAGACATTTTTCAAACGTCTCTCAGCACGACACACACAGACATCGCTTTGAATCCTCAACAATTCTATCATAATGTCTAAGAAATACGAAGAACGGCCTCCACCTCCAGCCTACGGCTCGGACGGTCCTGGTCAAAACCCCGCACCCGTCATGCCCCAAGCAGCCTATATGCAACCTACCCCTTCGCCTCAGCCTCAATATCAGCAACAGCCATATCAACAGCCGTATCCTCAGCAATATCCACCACCAGGGCAACAATACCCTCAACAAGGATATCCATCACAAGGAGGATACTATGCCCCAGGCCCGCAGATGGGATATCAGCAACAACCGCAATACGGATACCAACAGCCTTATGGGTATCAGCAGGGATATGGACAACAACCCTATGGACAACAGCAGAGGGGTTCTTCTAGTGAAGGTTTTTTGGGGGCTTGCTTGGGAGCTTTAGCTTGTTGCTGTTGTTTGGATTTATTGTTTTAAGGAGGCCCATTGGGGAGGATTAAAGGGACAGGATGGGGCGGCGACCCGGAATGGAAGGGATTGGGAGGCATAGTGCACGAATTCGACAACAGAAACGAAAGAAAGTACTTGATTTGAAGAAATATCGGACATACGGGTAACCAGGATCTTTGAACGTATGGATAGGAAGGTCTGTGAATAGATAATAGGCGTGGTGCTGGGCTGGACCTGTCATGGAACGACGCTGGAAGCGATGATTACAAGGGTCAGATGCGTAGGTCGGGTTGTTTGAATGCAAAGGAGTCATAGAAGGATAGAGTCATCTCGGCGTGAAAGGATTAGGCTCTTGATTCCATAATCCTTTTATAATTAACAATTTTCTTAAATACCTACCTACATATTTATACTTGATGTATTTATTCCAACATCAAAGATATATCATTCATTTCCCCACTACTCTGCCCCCACGGAAGTGGCTCCCAGAGGGCCAGCGGAGCGTCATCAAGCAAGAAATCATGATGAACTTCCACTTATTATTAGTTAATTATTATTATTATTATTATTATGGGGACAAGCCAAAGGTTAATTGCCTACATACCTAGTACTTCTATCAGAAAGTGACCTTCTTCATTCGTATACCACCAACTGTTGGAATGTGTCATTTACATTCGAATGAAATTATTCTCAACCAAATAAATCATGACACTATTTATTATTAAAAGGATCAAACCTTACTATATATACCTACTAGGTATATAATTAATTACCTAGGTACCTCTTCCAAGTATAAAAATATCAAAATCCAATTATCCGTGCGGACATGGGATTTCTAGAATTTCCATTTTGGTCCCTGCCAAGATATATTTAAATACACTAGGTCCACCAGAGGTCCCTAATAGATAGATCAACGTTAAAATCAGCCCTCCCGTCCAATTGAGTTGAAGATCTTCGTATATAAATCCAAACTCTGTCGCATTACAGCCTGGTGCTGACTATTTTCATTTCATTCTTTCAAATAGTCGGTTGTCTGACATGAATCCTTCAACAAAAACTCGCGACTGATTTTCATTATATCATTGCTCGTTCGTCTTTCTTTTTAATACTTCCAATATCATTCCACCCCACTGTCGTTTCCTCGCCGGTCTCGTTATGGGAAACAACACAAGATCTTACATGAAGTGAAGCATTTAGGCAGTACCCTCGCCCCACCTTCAACAAGTATCTGTACTGTGTTCTTAGCTACTACAATTACCCTCGCTTTCAAACCTTTTGATACGCTGCGACAATTGTATCGCATATCATGGCCGATGTCGAAGAGCCGCAGTTTACCACCCTTGCCCAGCGCATTGCTGCTTTGAAGCAACAACAGGCAGATGACTCTCTGGTCCCTCAAAATAATACCCTGACGATAGCTAAGCGACCACCACCGCCCCCTATCCCAAGTTCCAATCGACCTCACCTTCCCACGAGGCCAAAGACTGCCAACAATCCTCCAATTCTTACATATGGTTCATCCGTGAACCAGAAACCATCCAATCAGCCGATTGGCGCAAAGTCAAACTCACCCCCGGTCGGTCGCGATGGTCCGACGAACAATACCAAGAGTCCTGCTCTCCCACCTCGAAATGCTCCTCCTCCGTTGCCCACCAGGAAAGCTTCGACGCCATCCCTACCACCGAGGAGAGCGTCTACATCAACACAATTGGTAAGGAGAGGTTCGGGAGACTCGACCATATCACAAGTGTCCACTATCTCCGCCATATCATTGAATAGTTATGGCAGACTTGCCTCTTCAATAACATCCATTGGGTCAACCGATAAGAGAATGTTGCCCCCTCCTTTGGATATGGCAAAGCTTCCGCCTTTACCACCTTCGAGGAGGGAACTGCAGGAGAAGGCAAGACTGGAGCAGAAGGCTAAAATACCACTCGTTTCTGTAAGTATTATTGGTAGATTTTACATAATTTTGGGTTGTAGGTTTGGGTGGACTGAGTATCCTATCAAATTCTATTCACTTCATGTAGAGCTTCCGGCACTGTTACTGCAACTTTTCCTGCTAGCTTCCCGTAATACAGAGTTAACAAAGTTATATTACAGACCAAGTCAGCCCCGGTTGTTCTGAAGCAGCCTCCAGTTGTTGATCGTGAGATGCCACCCAAAATGCCTCCAAGACCAACTGCAAACATTGAGCAAGGAAAGCCAGTTGCTTTACCACCACGAAGATTACCACCTCCATCTTCCACTCGTTCTGCTTTATCTCTAGGGTTCGGTAACAAAGCAACCGAAACACCAAATCCTGCACCAAGACCAGCCCCTACACATAACAGAACCCCTGCACTTGCCGTCCAAGAACTGAACTCGGATAATTTTGATCGTGTCGTTTTCTCTGGGAAATTTGCTCTTGTGGATTTTTATGCTCCATATTGCAAATATTGTGTCGAATTGGACCCGCATTACAAACAACTTGCCGAGGATTTTGCATTTGCCTCTGACAGACTTGTTATTGCCAAGGTTGATGTCGACGAGCATAAATCTTTCATGACCAGATATGGCATACAAGGATATCCGACCATCATGTTCTTCGATGGAAATGGAGATAACCCCGAAACGTATCAGTATATGAGAGATACGGCTGCTATGACGGAGTTCTTGACTGAAAAGACTGGAATATCACCATCTGATGCACCAAAACCTGGAAGAGCACCACCACCTATTAACCTTAGATCGAAGCCAACATCGGCTCAGGTGAAAGCTGTAAGTGCTGCTCCAACTACATCATCATCTTCTTCAACGGGCTGTCTCTTATGTCGAGACTTCTCTGGCCCGGATCAAATTGCATCAAAATATTCAAGAGAATTCCTTCCAAGATCACCTGATAATACAGGATATCTTGCTGATGTTCTTTGTCGCCCTTTCAGTTCACCTACTGATAAAGCTCGTGCGATATTCGTTTGGCTTCACCATAATATAGCCTATGACACTGGGGCCTTCTTTGGCAATCGAGTCAAAAATGTTACACCAGCCGATACTATTAAGACCGGCTTAGCAGTTTGTGGTGGATACGCTGGTCTATTTACAGCTATTGCACTTAAAGCAGGACTTGAAGCCATCATGATAACGGGTCATGGAAAAGGATTCGGATATACGCCACTTAAACCAGGAGAATCATGTCCACCACCTAACCCAGGTGGCCATGCCTGGAATGCAGTACGTATTGATGGGGGAGAGTGGAAACTTATTGATGCATGTTGGGGATCTGGACAATTAGGAGACGATCAAACGTACAACAAGAATTTGATCTCATCCTACTTTACCATGTCGAATGAAGAATTTGGTCTCAAACATTTTCCGGCTGATAAAGCACATTTTTTTAGAAATGATAGAAGGATTTTAAGCTGGGAAGAATATTTCATTGGAAATATAGGTGGTGAACCATTACAAATTTTCAGCTCTCCAGAAGATCATCACGGTATCTCCCAAACTTCTATCGCACCCCCTCAGAGACAGATACAAGCCTCACCCACATCTAACGAAATCATTCGTTTCCAATTTTCCAAAATATGCATACATTACGACTTTGAGCGCAACGGACCTGGTAAGCCATATTGTATGCTGTTGAAAATAGGAGGGATCGATGGGAGAAAGGAGGATATGGTACCATTTGAATTCGATGGCTTTTGGTGGTGGGTAGATGTTAAGACTAAGGAACTGGGAGCGAGGGGTCAAACAATTAGTTTGTTTGCGGTTACGAGTGTCAATGGAGAGGATGCTAGGGGTATGACGAAGAAGGAGTACGAGGTGAAGAAGGGGAAATGTGGAATGGGCTTTGCAGGAGTTGCGGCTTGGGAGCTAATTTGACGTTGATGGGGTCGATTAGCGAGCTTTGGGTGGACTTCCTGGTAATATCCTCTGTTTTTGTTCTCGTTTGGTATACGGCGTCTGGTGAAGTGCCGGGCTTGAAGGGCATTGGTACATAGGATATCATGATTCATATCACTTCTTTTTCTTTTTTTCGATTTCATAGTCGCACAAAATACCCAAATAAGCATAGCACAATGCAAACCGATAACTTCGTTTTTTCATGTCTTCCACGTGGTTCCACGCATCACTTGTGCAGCCTCATCGCGCATATGTTGTACTACTCAAAATATTCCACCAGTTTCTACATAAGCCTCGATTAGCCTTGTTATTTGAGGGATGCTTTACCATTGCTGGGTTGTTATGAGCAGCATAGAGCGGGGTAGAAAGAGGCTAATGCAGCGTAGGTAGGTTTTGAGTGGGTATAAGTATATGTTTGTATGCCTCCCTAGATTTAACTTCTTCATATTCTCTGAGAATATTTGAGGTAACAAAACAAGAAGCCACACAAGATACTAATAAAGATTTTGAGGACAGTGAGTCGCCCTATCACCACTTGATCTTTTTCTCATCGTCTTGTGTACACAAACAAATCTCTAACTACACGATCTTCTTGGATTTAGGCAGATATCTCTGATACACAACAATCCAATCTACAGCATAACTTATATATCAACTGTCACGTCACGTAACATCACCCAGAACAGAATGAAACCAACATCAACTTCCATCCTTCTTCTCACAGCCATTACCACCTTTATGGGAATGGCAACCGCAGGACCCGTTGCTTACGGTGTCTGTCAAAGTGGTTGTGCGGGTGTGGTTATGGCTTGTTATTCAGCGGCTGGATTTACTGTACGACTTCCCTCAATATACCCCCATGTTTCGTCCCTTTCCCTTTCATTTACCACTTTCCCGACCTCCAGTAAACCAACCCTTCATCAAAATTCCCCCCTTCCTCATCTAAGCCCCACCATCTAAATCTTCTATCAAAATCTCTTTTTAAACCTTTCTGTCCACTTTTCCTACCAATTTATACCCTCTAGAAATAACGGGACTAACACTCCATAAAACAAACAGTGGGGAGCAACTTTAGGTGCAACGGCACCTCCAACGATTATTGCGTGCAATACGGCTTTTGGCCTTTGTAGTGCCAAGTGTGCGGGATTCCTTGTGGCCCCTATTCCTTGATTTTTGGTCGGTGGAATGAAGAAGGGTGCGGGAAAGAGTCGGGAGAGAAAGGAGAAAGAGAGATGAATGAGGGAATGTGAGAGAGGATAGGGTTGTAGTTGTACAGATGAAGAGGTAAATTTGGGAAGGAAATATGGAAAGACAGATTGTCATGAGACGATACTACAAATACCTCGCAATGATGATTTTGAATACTAGGGAAAATAATAAGGTTCTATGGGGGTCTGTGTTAAATTGATCGATTATTTCATTGCGAATTCTCGAAATTTGAAAGCACTAATTCCCCCGGGACGTCCCTCAAGTTCTCAAAATCACTGATATATAAGTGGGCGTAGAACAGGTAGGAATTAGTCGCTATCTTGCTCCATCTGTCAAACGTAGACATTTATTAGAAGGAAAACAATCGCTGCGTATGGAGATTTATCTTCGTTGATGCTTGACTTCCTAGTCTTTCTCATGCGCAGCGTTGGACATACTTTAGTTTAGCTATTTAACAATACCGAGATATCAAACTCTGTAATGCCAAACGATGTGACTTTTTGTGACTTTAGTGTGCGTGACTTTGTATTTGCGTCAGCTCCTGAAATTTTCTTGTGTTTTCCCTGGTCAATCTTCTAACAAGTCATTATCTATGGCAAATGTCACGGCTAGTTCATATGCTGGAATAGACCAAGCTACGCTACCATACCTCAAAGTTGACATCCTTCTCAGGACTATGATTATTCCGCCCTCCCAATTGCTTAATTTCCAACTTGATTCTTAGAATCTACCCTCTCCACCTAGTGTTGGCCCATTGTTTTGCACTTCTGGTGCCGAATTAAGGTTGGAGGCTAGACTTAAAGATTGGAAGCCATAGTTGAATAAAGGAGGAATCGAGTATTAAATTCGTTATAATTGTTGATATGTATTAGGAATAGGTATATAAAGCAGCAGGAAAGACGCTACTGATGCTTTATATCGAAGATCGGGAAGGCCAATGAATCTGTCTAATGTTACACCAAAGAATTTGAAACTTCAAAAGATAAATATTTGAGAAAATCAGCATAATAAGGTTTTGCAATTGAGACAGCTTACTTATTGTTCAAGTAGCAGAGTAAGGAGGTAGTCCAAAGCCACACAAGCCAGAAGAAAGAAACTAGCCATCGGCAGTCGGATCTAAGAATAGTTTAAGTGAATATATTTAGAGGCTCTAAAATATTTACCACGCATCTTCCTCGCCTACCATTTCCATTTATAAGCCGAAAGCCTCCTCTTACTTCCTCTCGCTATCATTATGGGCTATATTTAAAGGTGCACCATTCTCCTCCTCCTCATCGCTGCCACGACCGCGTTACCAATATGATGCAACATTTATTTGTAACTCAGCTGCACCCCCTGCTTTTCCTCTGCAATGTGTGTCATGTTCATATGCAACTTTCTACCCTGCTTAAAGGCATCCATGATACCTCGGCTATATTGTGATGCGATTAAAACGACTGACCATGCGAATTATACAAGGTTATGCTAGAGCGTGACTAGTCGTGACGAATTACAAGAAGTCATCTAAATGTTTCAGTTTCTTACAACCTGAACATTGCTTCATCAAGGGCACGCTCAATCTGAGTCTCTTGAAGCTGCCAGCACTCTTAGTCCAACACACCAAGAATGTTGCAGCCGTTCCAGTAAATGCACATCCCTCAGTACCAGAATGAAAGAATATACAAACTGCGAGACAAGGTGAGGTACTTCTGTGTCGTCTTTAGTGGCAGCAGAGTTTTAGCAGAGGGATATGCCCAATTTTGCGCGGGTAGTTTTGGACAACAACTTTAACACTATCAAAGTTTAGATAAGGTTGGATAGATGGCGGCTGATGAGATAGTTCAAATGATATAGAGGAGGAATATGAGCAGCTTTGTTAACAGGGGTAAGAAGCTCGAACAGATAGATGACCAAAGGGGCTCGCCGGGACCGTGTGCTTCCACATCGAATACAGCACTTGATGTTTGCGAGAGGATACTAAGGTGATTTTCTCAACATGTAATTCTCGCCATGGGATTTCGACATATAAGACGAAGTAACAGAAATTTCAACTACTAACCAATGAAATTATCAAAACAATTATTCTCCTTACCTGCTCTCTCTAATCATCATAATGAAATCCTCCACAAACTCACACGAAAGGATGGACAAAGGATTTCAGACTTATGTGATACTCCGAGCACTACTGACATCTTTTCGTACTCGAGCTCTTTAGCCCTATAAGCCATCAAAATCTGATGGCTTAATTCTATGACTACAGCAAATTGGAAAACCTTATCCTAGTACTTCAACACTATCAATGAAAGAACTTATCTTAAATTGATGAGCGAGTGGAAAGTAAGTTGCGAACGAGCCCGTTCATTGCCAGATCAGATAATGAATTCCACGACATATCTAAGTGTCAATACCAGACAGCCCCTACAACTTCGCCTTCTCTCTCTCTTCCTTTACCTTCTTCGCCAATCCCACAAACTTCCAACACAATTCTCCCATGGGCCACATCGCCTGCCCATGGACCTTTGCCTTCGTGCTACTCGCCTGTCTCATCGCCCATCTAGCAGCTATGCCCTGATAAATACATGTATTTCTGAAGAAGCCAAATGCCACTCCCCAGGGCAAATCAGGTTCTGGGTCCCAATCCGCTGTTTCTCGATAGCAGGAAATTAAATCTGATTGCGAGGGCAGACCGGGTAAGTTTTCTTCTTGAAATTGTGGAAGGGATGCGAATTTCTTCTCGTTGCGGACGGCATAAGGAGAGAGAATATTTATTATATCAGAAAGAGGGTGCCCGATTGTGGACATTTCCCAGCTGAAGAGGATGGTTATTAGTTTAGACTTCTACGCGATATGAATGGGAATATTGAGGGAAGGGAAGCACATACTCCAGAATTCCAATAACTCTTGGCTCCGTTTTGTGAAAAACTAAATTATCGATCTTATAATCCCCATGAATCAAGGTCCCTCTATCCTTCGGCTGGTATTTCTTATCTCCGAAAAACCCTAATATCTCCTCAATATGTGGTATCTGACCGACTGGCTCCTTCGTCTCAATATCAACTGTCGAAGCTTGAGCCACACTTATCGTGCCAAAAGTTTTGATTTGACGATCGTAAAATCCCACTGGTTTACCAAAACTTGTAAGTCCTGCTTTTGATATATCAACGCGATGGAGTTTGGCTAGGGTGCGAATCGCATCGTGCCACCTATTTTGACACTTCATCAGTATTGATTCCTCATCATAATCTAGGACGCAACATCACAAGTAGAGGGAAAACATACATCTCCCTCCTCTCCTCCTCTCCCACTCCCGGAATTCCTGGATCTTCAATAATTCGTCCATCCAAAAATTCCATAATATAAAACGGTGTGCCAATTACTCCTTCGTCCTCACATAAACAATAAGCTTTTGGAACTGGTACATTTGTTTTCTCCAATGCATGAATAACGCGATATTCGCGTTCGACTTGATGTGCAGTCTTCGAGACAAGCTTTCCGGGTGGTTTCTTGCGCATTACATATTTTTGGCCATTGGATGCGAGGAGTTGGTATGTTGGATTTGATTGACCGAATCCGAACTACACGTTGCCAACTAGATTAGCAATGAGCACCGGGGCGGTATGACATCAACCTGGGAGTAGAATGGGCGATACGGACCTGTTTAATATCAATAGGGGTCTTGATCTCCGGTACATGCTCTTCTATATATTTCTCCAAAGCTTGGAGGTCAACAGGTTGTCTTACGGGACCGGCCATTGATAAAATATTAGGGTAGCTTCTAAATGAGAGTTGTAGTTAGATATCGCTTGGAACATCTTGTGGAGGTGAAGTTGTATTTATGAGATAAGCTCTGAGCTGAGACAAATATTTTGCCTCGGCCTCGGTTCAACAGGGGGTGCGGAAATACGCTAGCCCCCCGGTGAAGGCGGGGGAAGCTTAAATGTTGGAAGTAGGGGAAAGAGTACGAGTACCTACCTGTACATGTGCTCGAGTAAATTCAGGAGGATAATCATATATGTAAATTTATGTAAATTCTAACAGTATTTTTAATTGTCAATCTCTAAATATTAAACAGTCCCCGATGTCGTTCAATTATGCTAATATTTTTAATACTATCACCTTGTTTTCCCTCAGTATTTGAAGCCTCACCATTCAGTTCATAACACAGCCAATGTCACAAGTTCAGCATTAGCGACACTATGGTGCTCGAGTAACTTGCGATGAATTGATTCATTCATAAATTTGGTTCCTTATATACATGTACTCGTATATGGCCTAGTCCTTCCCATCCAAAAAAAAAAAAAGCCAGTAGACACGTTCAACGGCTAAGTAGATGTAAATGCTCAAACACATCTCCAACCTCTTCACTTTTTTTTACCCAAGTTCCCTTCCGCTTCTCCTATTCGTCCCACTAGATAATACAATAACAAGAACATAACAAGGGGAAGAGGCCTCGTATTAAGCGGGACACCCTGTCCCATCCTTCCTCTGCGCAATTGAAGTAGGAAACTCCAGTTCGATATAGTCGTCCAAGCCAAACTCCATTCAAACCCCACTATGAATACATTTGGAAGAAACCCAACAAACGAGACTTGACAAAAAAAAGAAAACAAACATTCGATGCTGTGATAGCCGCTAGATTCATGATATGCAAATAAAAGGCAAGGCCAGATCTACGGCCGGAATTGAAGTACGTGTACTTGAGAAGAACAGAAATACAAGTGTGGGAAGATAAATAGGATAAGAAGAAAATATATAAAAGGAATGGATGCTCATGTCATCACCCTAAAAGCCCAAAGATATCGAGGCGAATTTACGGCGTGGGATTCCACACGCCACGTGCAGTAACAGTGAGAGAAGAATTATCCGGTTGTCCCTGTAATCGTCTTTCCTTAGGTAGCAGAAATCTAGAAATTCAAACTATGCTGGAGACCCTTCCCTAACGTGATCTGACTTAAACTCAACGTCCTTGCATCGCCCTTTCCAGTATCAACACTCGCCCTTGCACCCCCACTTCCGTTTTCCTTCCCACTGCCGAAAACCTCATCTCCAAAGTTTGGACCGGCTAAGTCTTCATTAGGGGTCTGGAAAACTTCGGAAGCTGCTGCATATGCTTCATCATCACTATCACCGCCAAAGCCCTTAAATGTGCTCTTGCCCGATGATGCGGTGTCGAGAACTAGCCCAGCGCCCCCCACGGAATTGGGAGTGGGATACGACATGGGTGCTACTGACGGATATGAGACGATTTGCTGCTGTAGGGTGAGGACAATATTCTCAAGGTGCTGGCGAGCAGATTGTTCCGCTAGGAACATATTCGTCAAATTGTTGTAGTGCTCCATTGTCAAAGGGGCATCCTTTTGAGTTGTGGGGGAGCTGGATGGAAGACCGCGAATCGTAGTTGAGGTTGATAGAGGTCGACAGGTTGTGTGGGAACTGCTTAAACGCACATGGTCATCTGTTGTTGCAGCGTACGGAGCTGGTACTGTATCATCAAAGTCAGGATGGTAAGAATTGTTATGAGACGATGATGTGGGACGATTATTGCTGTTGTTAATGTTGTTACTGTTTGGAAGCCGGTTCTGAGCGCCAAATTCGTGCCAATGTCGATGCCGAGGTAAGACTGGTAAAGTCATTTCAGAGTTATCAGTTGGAGGACGGCGTTCTGAGGAGCTGCGATCCCTTTTACCGCCTTTTGGAGGATCCTGGAGGGTAACGTGATCCCCGTTCCCATTTAGCTGTCGATTAATCTGATACACTGTCTTCTCCATTTCAACTAATCTAGACTCGATACGATCAACTCTGGTTGCCAGATCAGCAGCCTGGGTGATCTTCATTCCAGCCAATCCACTCAAATGTCCAAAATTAAATGGCTGTGGCTGATCCCGAGATTCTACTGCTCGTGGACTTTCCGAATCGTTCACTAATATAGGTTCATCCGCTTCCGCCTTGGTCGAAGATAACGGAGACAATGGCCCTGGATCGTAGCTTGCTCTCCAATAGCGAATCTCGTCACTGCGACGTCTAGTCATTCCCCCCACAACTCCTGCAGCCTCTCGCAATTGCCCGACTGACCTTGAACGCCTGTTTGGATGGCTACCACTTGTAATTGCCATTCCAATTAATCCAGAGCACTCCTCGTCAGAGGGAGCTTTACTGCCTTTAGCTTGGGCGCTAGCCGGCCGCGGTGAAAGTCCCGTCCAATCTGCATAGCCTGGTGTTTTATCTGGTGTATACAATCTACCAGTTGTGACCCTTGTTCTTGTCGTTGTACTTTGTGTCTGTGTAGATGTGCGATTCGTGTCCGGCTCTGTATTATTCTGCTCCTTTAAGTTATTCCCTATGAAAGGAGAATGCGATCGAAGGGCCCGGTTAAACTCATTGATCGGCATGGACGTAGAACGTTTGGGTGAAGTCGCGGTGTTCATTGGATTTCGGCTGAGCGCAGTTGGGTCCTACAAATCATTAGACAATAGTAACGTAACGCAACATGGCTCTACTCACACTACGATGATGTTGTTCACTTTGCAGAGCATCAACGCCTTGCCTCTTGTTTGGCGTTTCTTTCCGTTTCTTTCCAAATATTTTACCAAACACTCCTTTAAGAGTCGACTTTTTTCGCGCAGGCTTCAAGAGAACCGAATCTGACGGTCTGCCAACAGGTGATGAGCTCCGGAGAACACTATAGTCCTGTGTCCTGCGCGAAGGGGGGTTATAAGATGGCCGGTCAGACGGTAAGGGTGAGGTTCCTATCCGCCTGGGTGGTTCGATGTAGTCACCCATTCCAATATCTCCATGAGCCAGAGCACTATCTCGGCCAGAAATGGCGGAATCCCTCATGACTTTTTCGACTCCATCTGAACGAAGAGATCCAAGAGGAGTTGCTATACTAGTTCCTGGAGACCGAATTGGAAACTCGTCGTCATCCTTTATGGGAATAGGAGCAGAAATCCTCCCACGGATGGTAGAACCGGTATTTGTTCGACCAGAAGTTTCCGACTTCGAGGTCCCAGTCTTCGAAAATTTACTCATCTTACTGAGAACCGGGACGGGGCGTTAGAACGGGCCTTTCGTTCTGCCTGTATTCATAAGTGGGTCGAGGATAAGGATAAAGCTGTTATGATAGTGGATTGCTTGAGAGACGTGGAATGATTCATAGGCATATTCGCAAATTCCCGAGCGATGAGAAGACTGGAAAGTCTCAGTTCCCTAGTCGAATTATAAGTTATTCTCACGAGCGTCCATCGGTCCATATATGTGTATGTATATGAGTATATATCTTGAGCAACTCCGCACCGTTCAATGGAATGGGTCCCTTACCAGGGAAATTGATCGATCTAGGGCGCATCACACGTATCATATATTCTGCGACGCCCGTAAGCTACCGACAAGGAGTGACCATGAAACCAGATAAATGACAAGAAAGGAAAATTGGAAAGACGGGGAGATCAATTCAAGAATAGAAGTAAATATTCAAAGCCAAACCAACAACAGTAAGGCTCAATCATTTCATCCCTGTTGAAGCGGCTCCATGGAGGTGGGTAAAGATGGTAACGATACGAATATCTACCGTGTGGATTCGTTTAGCACTAAGGGAGTTTTGTATACCTATTCGAGAATGCAACTACACAATAGTATGCTTGTGTGGATGGTGTGAATAGTGTGAATAGTGTGAATAATGCAATCAATAGTACTTTAACTCATGAAGCTCATCGTCCAGACTCCGTCCACTGGAATTCAATAAATGAGACACAGTCGTGTCGTCCAAAAGTGGAGTTTCAGGAAGGGAGAATAGCAATTTGCAAAGAGCTAAAAGTTCACCGAAACAACATATTTTCGGAGGTATAGCTCTTTATGGCTCACTTTGAAATTCCTTTTTAAGGGCTTCAACCAAAAGCAGTAAGTGGGAAGGATGTAATCCTTATTTTGTATTTGGTGCCGCAATGCGATCGGTATGCTTGCTTTGAGCGCAGAAGAGGGGAACAAATTTTGAATCTCGTAATAGGTGTTGTGCGTGTGGTCACTGTGGTGGTCGTAAGTTCTATCATGCAGTTGGAGATTAAAGTGGTTGTGGGTGTAGCTTTAACAATCATTTGAATAAAAGTATATCTTTTTTTTTGTACCCCTTCATTCAAAGCGAGGAAGCAAATACCAAAAGTCTACTACTCATCTCAAAAGAGGAAAAACAAAAGGCAATAAACATCAATATACTCAACAACTTTATTCTTACTCTCATTTAATAAAATCCCAGGTTATAGACAAAATCTTCTTTTATGACTTTAATTTATGTTATGAATGCTCTTTCTACTCGGATTACTAGGTGTCTCTGATATGATAACGGTTAAAATGCACCTCCCTGGTTCGACGTTTGTGTATGCAAATCCCAGGGTGCCTTCACAGCAACCGCTGCGCTCTCGAGTTATCATCCGGCGCCAAATAAAGAGGATAGCATCGTCGTAAGGTTAAGGATTCTGCTCGTATTATCTAATATCTTCAAATGATAAAATCTCATGGCTTATACTAAATCCAAAAACGAAGCGCGGATTGGCAGGATAGGGTAAACAGGCACAAGTAAATGCCATAACAAACTACAATAACAAATCTCCTTGCTCGCCGCATCACATAAGTCTTACAGTATCTAGCTGGACACGGCATGTCGGTACAACACAAGGTCAATTAATTGATGCGTAAGGTCTAATTATCCGGATTTATCTCATGCTTCCCTTCAATGCAAATGATCGGCTGTCTCGGCTGCATAAAACGAATTTAAATACACTGCCAAAGCATGTCAATAGTTTCACCCGTACTCCGTAAATCTCCTCGATCAATATAGAGTATAAATAACAGGTACTCTATCAAAATTTTCTAAGGGTCATTGAATACATCTGTATCTATCCCTGAATTTTCCAAGCAAGAAACGGGAACGATAACTCAATGTATGATTCGCGATTAGCTTTTCATGGCATAAATCCGTCTAATGAATTATGGCCATTGCTCCAGTCTTTAACATCAAGATTCAACTTCTCAACCTGTATCCACAGTCTCATTGAGACTTGAAGATGCGATAGGTCATCCATCTTCACGTCTTCTATGCAGCGTACTCGAGTGCAGAAGCTAGATGTGACTAATAACACCGTCATGATCAAATTGAAGCATTTCGATCAAGTCTCTTTGAGGTAGGGGGTGGATTTCTTTAAAATGTTCTGGTCACTCACTCCATAGTAGAGCTCCACTCCACCTGGGATCCGTGCCACCGCCATACTCTATTTGAAACTACATGGGGTCCTTAAAATGGAGTTCGTCATTCATCTGATGCACACCCTCTTCTTGAAAGGGAAAAAAGAAATCGCGTGGCACGACAGAGATGGTGTTCATGAACATTTTGTGGATCCTCACCTAGGACTAGAAGTAGTTGAGTGATAGCTTCCGAGAAAATCCTCCATGCATGCATGACTGCACAATATTTTTCCATAAGAGTAAAGTCCATAGAATGATCCATACCATAAAACTAAAAGTTTGGTGCGGGGCCCAAAGTGATAGAGGTGTAACGGTTTTCGGAATTTTTGACCAAATTTGCAATTGATTCTTATTACGAATTTAACTCCGCTATCGACGGGTATCGTAAGTCGGCATGTTCTTCCAAAAAGTCCATCCATCGTTTGAGGAACTTACTACCTCTGTATCAATCACACATAAATTGTTAGCATATTGTCTCAGGCCTACTGATGGAGTAGACATGTTCAAGGAAAAGAAAAGAAAGAGGTCTGAACTCACCTCGAGACAGTTTCCGAATCGCCAATGACTGTCAACGAGCGTCGTGGTCGGGTCATAGCGACTAAAATGTACAAATCGTATCAGTTGGATGATCAAGCCCTCCATATTTTCTCGCATAGATATTTGGATATGTGATGACTAGCATCCCATTGTGTGAAATTGATTATTATAAATGCTATAGCCTTGGAGCCCTTTTAATTTCGTTTGCCGGAGATAGTGACATACTGGGATGCGGGGGCGGGTATTTAGAGACATTCATGCAAAGAAGGGTTCATCGGTTCTGGGCGTAGAGAACAGATGAGGAAGTTAATGCAAAAGTAAATGGTACGCACCGTTCAATCTACGTTTCTCTCCTAAAAATCCAACTTCGTATTCGCTATTACTCCGGACGAGGGAAACAATGATTGCTTCCTTTTCTCTTCCTTGAAACCCATCAACACTGCCCAGTTCAATGCCAGGGAATACCTGCTTCATCGATCGAGCCATTAAGGCGAGCTTTGTCAGGTTAGCATTATATGAGAAAACTGGAAGGTTGAGCACAAAAGTGATATCATTCTTACCTGAGCATTGTATGGCGTCACAACCGCAATATCCTCTGGCTTCAATCCAGCATCCACAAGATTTTGGACATGTCGTCTCACGAGCGCCGCTTCCATTTCGTTGCTTTTGCTCTCACCCAACATTCCCTTTCCGGCTTTCTTATCGACACCTTCCTCCTCACTCTTCTCCGGAAAGTCGCCACCTTGTGTGTCGAAAAAGATTAAGGGTTCAATAGTATCCTCAGTTTCCTCCACATCGTAAGGCAGTTCCGTGAGGAGTCTTGCTTTAACTGCTTCGGCTGCAACAAGTTTTGATTCGTATAATTCGTCCGAAGGAAACCTCATAATCTTGTCATGCATCCGGTATTGTGTAGTAAGCATAACCTTAATTCTAATTCCATGTAATTTCAGTAATCTATCAAACAAAGTTGTCTCCAAAGTCATTCCCTTAATGATGCTCTCTGTCTCTGTACTTTGCGGGTTCGTCTTTGTCTTTGAATTTAGTGATTTGATTGTTGGTGGTAACTGAAGGTGGTCTCCTGCAAGAACAACTTTGCCAGCTGACAGCAGAGGCACCCAACATTGAGCTTCCAAAGCCTGGCTACGAAGCTAAGAGTTAGCAATTACCAACCAAGTCTTTTGAAAGAGATGGAGGACGCGTGCCCTGAGAAGAGATGAAAATAGAAGCTTAGGGTTGAACGCAAATGTGAAGCAATTATGCCCTTACCTAGCTTCATCAATTATCACAACGTCAAAGTTCTCATCCCTCAATTGGTAACCTCCAGCACCATGTAAAGTTGCAAGCACAACTTTTGAACCTTTTACCAAGGTATTTACACATTTCCTTTCCCGTTCTCGAAACTCCTTGCGGAGCTCCTTGAGATCGCCATATATCGCTTTTCGCTCTCTACCACTCTTGGTCTTTTTTATTGAAGCTTGTTTGGTATCCATTTCTTTCCGCACATCTTGAACAATTGCAGCTGCTTCTGAAGTCTGTGTAAGGACATCAAGAGAGTGATTGACAACTGATGGTAAAAGTCTAGCCGGGTGACCCAAACGTAGAATAGGTACCTTATGTGGTGCAAGCCTCTCGACAATGTTATCCACGGATATATTGGACGGCCCACAAACTAATACTCTAAGGCCTTGTTTGAGCATCTGCAAAATAAGCTCAATTAGAGTATGAGTTTTTCCAGTCTATCGAATATCAGTGACTACATAAAAGATTATCCCTCCATTTCCATCCCATCTTAGCATCCTCGATGGCATAGGATTATCACGTTTTGTAGTGACTTGAAAAAACTTCGGTATGCCCAGGACCATCTTTCATCAATTCGGATATATTTAGGACTGATTTGATTTCAAAAAATCAACCTCAAAGAGGCCCTGATGGTAGAAGAAAATTGAGACTACTCACTCCAGGTGGCCCGTGGATTAAAGCTATCTCTTTCGAAGCCAACGCAAATCTAATAGCATGCTTTTGACTATCGTTCAGACTCAGATCCACCCACTCTATTTCTTCGCCCATCAAATTCTCTGGTACGGGCGAAGCTGACGACCAGCCAAATAAAACCCTTACGAAATTCGAGTATTCCGCTTCTTGCATCTTTCCCAACTTTCCCATGGTACCGTTCATCCTATACACCCATTAGCTTTCGCCTCCAAGCTCTCTCCTCGTTCAATCGACCGGTAATTCCACAGATGAAGTATACAAACCTCTTGTACGTAACATCATTTGCCAACTTAACCACCCAACACCTTTTCATTCCCCCAACATTCTCTTCTCCTTTCCCATTCTCATCTAGCGCGACCCACACGGCACTCCTCCCTACCTTAGTCACCACACCTTTACTTCCCTTCTCCTCTAACTCCTTGACTTCTCTCTTCTTCGCGCTTCCACTGGGTTGCTCACTAACTGCCACGATATCGCCAACTCGTATTCCATGTTCTTGTAATTCGCCCTCTCCGGACCCTCCGCCACCTTTACCTTTTCCTACGGAGCCAGAACTAGAAGTCGCCGGGTCAGGACCCAGCTCAACGACAGTCTTTCCTCCCAATCCAGTTCTTTGAGATATCAAAACGAGATTTATAATAGCAAGTCCAGCGCGATGAAGTGAAGTAGGTGAAGTTCCCGTTAGGAAAGTGGAGGTTTCGGACAGCTCAGATTGAAGTTCTTGGTCTAAGAGATGGAGTTGGGTCGCGCAGAAGGATGGGATATCTACGGGTTCGAGGGAGGAAGCCATGATTTGAATCTAGCTCAATTTTTTAATGACTTTAACTTTTTACGTTGTCAAAATCCCGTGGTTGGAGGGCTGGATGAATAGCACGTGTGGTTGGGTCGCCTGATTAGGCAATGACGGTGGTGGATTGGAAAGAAGGGATGAAACTTTCTGTTTCAATTCTTTTCTGTTGCAATACAAAAGTCATTTGGGAGATACCAAAATATGTATGACGATAAATGTGTAAAGGTTGTTGATTTTTGAAGAACGAAAAGATGTGCTGGACAATAGAAACAGATCGATATCGTTGTTATGGGTCAAAAAATTTATGTTTGAGGCAAGTCCCACGTGACTACGTGGAAACAACATCAATTGCACTTCCCCTACCCTCGACTACATTTAACTCTTGCCAGAATCTTGTTATACTTGACGAAAATGTTTATTTTCTTTATTTGATATACTTACATTGAAAGGAACTTTACAACCCTTGGTTCTGTTAGGAAACGTTAATGATGCCGCGTTCATCTCCATTGGCCTTGAACTCGTGATATTGAACTTGAGTGACATGTTGTGATAATCAAGTTACCTTTCTCCCAATTTGATCTTGATTCTGAACCCTTTTTCTCTTTCTCCTCCCTCTCCCTCTTTTTCATTCTTTTCCTAACTTTCCACTCTTTATCGCCATCCTTCACATCAAAAGTCTACAAACCAGGCGGGATTTTCTTCTTCAGTCTCCACCTGATTCCCATTGCTCCTGTTCTATATTTCTAGTTTCCTATTTGTTTCCTATCTTTATTCACTTTTATTTTTTCTTCGTTCTCCATAATCTTATCACTCCTTTAGAGATGGAGTCCCAGATCGCCAATGAGATTTCCCAAACAATGATTACGCTGGCCCTGTCTAGATTCCAAAACCCAGATACATACAACACAGCCACCTTTCCGACCCCGAAGAACATGCATCAAAATGACATTGATCAAATTGGAACCAACTAATGTCAATCCTATTGATATCAAGATGGCGAGTCAGTATGTTTTCCAATCAGAGAGCGCTAGAGGATAACCTGGAAATGTTTGCTAAGAGTGTGAATACTACTGCAAAAATATTGTTTGATACGAATTATGTGCCTTTATCTCGCCCTTTAATAGAGTTTGCGAATGCGTGCTATGGTTAGGATATATGGGTTTGAGACTTTGTCAAGTGATTGTGCAGTCAAGGACATTCAAATCTAACAAATAAAAGAAATTTGAAATTTTTCGAATAAGTCATATACCCTACTTTTGGGCCACCCTCTAATATAGGTCACTTTCCTTATCGAAAATAACAAAAATCAATTTTTATAATTTTTTTATTTATAAGTATAATTTTCTAAAATTTAGAATATAGATTTATTATTTATATAATAATAAATTCTAAAAATTTCAGATTTTTTTGCGATTTTATTGATCGAGATTTTAAAGGTTGAAATTTCGATTTTCAATTTGTATAGGATTTATATACAAATTTGAAAATCTTGAAAATCATTAATGATTTTTCAATAAAAATTATTAAAAATAAATTTTATTTCTTTATAAATATATATTATAATTTTAAAATAAAAAAATCCTAAATATCGATTGATGTATAGTCATTATAATCTAAATGATTTTATATTTTATTATTAATTTTTATTCAAAGTTTTTAAATATAAATAATATTAATAAAATCTAAATAAAATATTTCAAGAAATATAATACATATAAAAATATCTTTATTAATAAATTCTTTCATTATAATCATAAATTTACCCTCTTCAATATTCTTTATAAATACTTTATTAAAAATTTAAAAAAAAAATATATAATTTTATCTTTCTAAAAAAAAAAATTTATAATCAAAATTATATTTTTATCCTTATATAAAAAATAAAAAAGGATTAAAATAAATTTCATCTTGAAAATAATTGTTATTCTAATTGTAATAATAATTGTAATAGATTTTTTTTTTTTTTATATTAAATCAATTTTTTTTTTTACATTTATATTTAATAAAAATAAAAATAAAAATTTATTAAATTTGTATTAAAATCGAAATAATAATTTCAATAATAATTACAAAGTAAATTGCCTTAAAAATAATATCTTTATATTTTCATATAATATCGAATTTTTTATAGATTAATTTAACATATTTATCATTTTTTTTTGTAAAGAATAATAGAATAATTTATATAATCAATAAAAAGAAGTCTATAACAGTTAATATAATATAAATTCTAAATGTAATTGATGCCGAATAGATCTTTATAAATACTGATTCTAAAATTATATTTAATATGATAAATAAATTTAGAATATTTAAAAAGATTATAAAATCTTAATAATTAAGATTATATTGAATAGTAATGATTTTTTTTATTAATAATCTCTGTTTTATCTTCAAAATTGAGGAATCGAAAGGAATAAATAAATTTAAGAAATGAAATGATTTAAAGAATCTTTTTGATTATCAGATTAACTTTATATTTCAAAAGTCTATAATTAATAAATTTAAGGTTTATCTATACTATTACCTTTTTGAAGATAAGAGAATCTATTGTTGCAGTCAGGTCTCCGTCAATATTTATAAACCCCGATGGGATGTTGGTGATAGCATGAAAATAAATATAAGTTTAAGATTTATACTCTCAATCTTCTAAAAGATATAAAAATATATGAAATTAAGGATTTTTAAATTAAAATTATCTTAAACGATATTTCTGATTTAGAATAAATTTTATTAAATTATTTTATTTTAATCTTTTTATTTTATTTAAAATAGATATATATATATTTCAAAACTTAAATGATTTCAAATTATAAAAATGATCAAAAGATTAAGAAAAGTATTAAAGTAAATTAATATAAAAATTGAGATATTACGAATGTTATAATAAAAAAAATAAAAAAA